TTTTTCAAAGTGCGTTAATATGGTCGATATTAATGCACTTTGAAAAAAAATTATTTTTTTCAAAGTGCGTTAGCTTGGTCCCAAATTTTAACGCACTTTGAAAAATTTTTTCAAAGTGCGTTGTAACAATGCTTTCCATATCTAATATTAGAATGGAAAGCAGAGTTTATATCACTTCAGTTCTATACATTAATTAGCACTTTTTTTTTCACATTTATTGAGTTTAATCTCTCATCTCATAAGATTTTTCTTCATGATCACTATCCCAGGCGCAACAGCTCTGATGAGGAGTCTGTGTAGGTCATGAAAGATTTTTTTTTGTAATATGTAAAATGTATTTAAATTGTTAAAATATTAACATTTGCTGCTTTGAAACATTTTGATTAAAAATAAATAGAATTAAGGATTAATTAGCACAATAAAATAAACTTTTCTCCTATTTAAATGAAGGTAGTTTTTTACTACAAAATTAAAATAAATACAATGTACTGAGTAAAAAATATTTAAAAATTTAATTCATTTTATAGGAGTTATTGGTACCTGGAGTTATTGGTAAGATTTTTGAAACATTGATTAATATAAATTGACTGAAACACCTAAAAAAATACTTGGAAAAGTTGAGTAAAAAAATAATTAAAAAATTGAAAATCATTGAATTCATTTTATAGGACTTATTGCTATGATTTTCCCTATATAAGTCATTGACAGTCTTATAGATACAGGTAGTTTATTCATACATTTTAAAACACGGGTAAACGCTACCTGTTCCCTTAGAGGGACCCCTTAATTGAGTGTGATAATTATACTGTTTTATAGGGAGTAGAAGTTCAGGGAACACACCTTATTACCCCCCCCCCCCCCCCCCCATCTCATTCTCTAATTTTTGTTGTTTCGTTTTTGCATTTTATTTTTGTCTTTTTGTAAGGGTTTTTAATTATATGTTTTAAACCCCCGTTTCATTGAAATCATTAATAAATTTCTTCAAAAAGATCAGGTCTTCATTTGCTTCTTAATTAATGAAATAAAAGAAATAACGATTATAATGGTAATCAAGATCCATTGATGCAGAGCAAACAGGGATCTCTTAAAACATCAGAGTAGTTATCAAATATTAACCGATCAAATGCCATGGAGGAGTACCCATCTCCTGTCGATCGGCCACACATATTCACGACTTTAGAAGTTTCTGGCTCTGAATTGGATTACGAGATGTTGATTAATTAAAACAGTTTCTAGACAATAGTTTTAATTAGAATGTGAGACATTGATTTCTTTGTAGCTTAAACTGGATACTGTATTCTTGATTTCGGTATAGAATGCACATTTTTGTTATATTTCGCCTTATCATTCCTTGTGTAAAAACTATGTGACACTAGCCGTTGTTTCAAAAAAAAAAAAAATGGGGGGGGGGGTTAAGCCGAGCAATTTGCCTACATAAAGATAGATAAAAAATCAATAAATTCATTTTTCACAAATTTCACTTTTTGTTAAATTCATGTAATGCTTATTGCAATTTGCATACAAAATTGACAATACCTGAATACTGTAAAAGCGAATTCGATTCTGATTAACACAACAAAATAGCAACACGCTCAATTTTCAGGAAAACTGATATAAATGAATGCTATTACTACATTTTTAAAATAGAGTGGGTCATCGTACCGTTTTTCTGAGAACGAATAATGAAAGGCAGTGGAAAGTCGTTTCCTTTTACATTTGCATAAAAGTGGAACGAAGAGCCACTCTATATAATAAATTAAGTTTACCTTCTAAATTTTAACCGTAGCCTTAAAAAATTGTAAGTGTAAATACGCTTGCCAAACATATATAGAGAGCTGTACCGTAATTAAATAGCTATGTTACAACGCACTTTGAAAAATTACGCACTTTGAAAAAAATTTTCAAAGTGCGTTAATTTTTGGGACCAGGTTAACGCACTTTGAAAAAATTTTTCAAAGTGCGTTGAATTTGGGACCAAATCAACGCACTTTGAAAAAATTTTTCAAAGTGCGTTAAAACTGTACATCATAATTTTACACCATGTAAACATTTAACGCACTTTGAAAAAATTTTCATGAAACAAAAGGAATTAGACTTATATTTTAGAAATAGACAACAGTATTATCCCCTCGCAACGTATGATGGGATATAGTGATGCGATTATGTGTGTTATTACTTTATGTGTATGTTATTTTTTTCTGTGTGGAATTGATGTAATTTGTATCGCGATCGATGTCAAATGCTGTCTTGATTTACTGAACATGCTTTTTGGGAAGGAATGCTCCGCTTTGCGGTGCCCTTACTTTGATGTGTTTCTTTCTAAAAACTGATGGATTGAAGAAAACCTAGAAACGGACAACAAAGAAAAGACTGGCTGAATTAAGGTCTATCAGCTCAACTCTTTATCATTCCCACCCAGATGTATCTATTTCTATAACTCGTAAACTTAAGTGTCAATGATATTTGAAAAAAAGAGCATTCTAAATACAATATAAGCACTGTACAAGGAAGTCTGTAGTAAATCGAAATTTTGTTCTTTTAAATCTCAAAGTCTGTTTATGTTAATTTTCAGGAAAATCAGAATATTAATTACATTAATTACATTTAATTATATTAAGTACCTGTCTGCTTTTCGATGTTAATTTGATACCATATCTGATAATCTCTCTGTTAACCTCCAGGTATTTAACTTACATGATATTTTCATAGGAATTGTTCATTTAACATGTATCTTATATCTTTTCTCATGTTTTACGCAAATAAATAAAGCATATATATTAAATTAATAAAATACGATTATTTAGTTTTAAATAGCTTTAAAATTGGTGAAAAATAAGCATTTTTTTTCGTTTTTTGTCTATAAACATATGCCCCCCCCCCCCCCCCGTGCTTTGGCATAAATTTGTAAAATAAAAGTCCATATTATCTGTAAAAAGGAATTTTTGTTTCACGGGGGGGGGGGGGGGGGGGGGGGGGGGAGTTATTTAAAAAATATTTTCAGTTTTCCGTTGATTTCTATAGTGGAAAACACAAGTTTTGCCAAAATTATAGAGTTATCTCTCTTTGGTATCCCAAATAAGTAAGGTTTTATGAAAATTCATATAATCATTCCAAGATGTTAAGTTTTGAGAATTGACTTATAGATAGGCGGAAAATAATACTATCGTTCGTAGTTCTTTACGACCTTGAATGTTGACCTTTTGACCCCAAATTCCAAAGGGGTCTTCCTAAGACCACAGGGATTCTGTTATGTTTAATTTCATTGCAAAAGCTCAAAGGGTTGTCGAGATATCGTGTGGAAACGAAAGCGTTACAGAAAGACGGACGGATGGACATAGACGGACGGACGGACAGGTAGACCCAAATTAATACCCCCCACTTTTCAAGCGGGGGACAAAAAGTATCAAATCAGGTTCAAATGATAAGTTATCATACTTAAGATTTGTAGGAATATTGACTAAGCCATGCAGAATTTTTTTTTCAAAGTGCGTTAATATGGTCCATATTAACGCACTTTGAAAAAAAAAATTTTTTTTCAAAGTGCGTTAATCTGGTCCCAAAAATTAACGCACTTTGAAAAATTTTTTCAAAGTGCGTAATTTTTTCAAAGTGCGTTGCCACATAGCTATGTACGAGGTATGTGCGACTGCATGGTGCAGTGGTAAGCCAGGAGATCTCTAAACCGACGTGCTTTTCGATTTTTTTTAAATTCAATTGATTTTATAGATAAGTTGCTATAGGAATAATTAAAACATTCTTTCACTCAAAAATAACATATACGAGGGCTGTTCGGAAATTATTGAGACATTGTGTATATTTTGCTTTCTATTGAACGTCTTCCCGTGAAAATTTTCATATACTTTTGACATACTCTAGTAATTAATAAAAGCAAGAAATATTTTACATATATTAAATATTTTCTCTAGAATGGTATATAAATGCGTCAACAGTAGGGGTACCCGGAGCAGTCACGAAATCAGATATTGAAAATATGTAAAACCAACGTTCTAACTCTTCGTGGATACATAATAAGAGCGAAAATAATTCAGTTTAAGTGTATAATTTTTCAACTTTATTTCAAATTCATGCTGTGCAACTCTGATAGAATTTTGATCAGAAATATGAAGATCATAGAATAATTAAGCGCGGTAGTGAAATCTACTAACAACGACATATTGGATTTTGACGTCATGGGCGGCGCAGCCAGCCAATACCTAAAATTTTGTGTAGCGCAATGTAAAACACTTTTCCAGACAAATCGACCTGCTAAAACAATAACAACGAGAAAACATAATATGTTAGGGTTTGTTATTTCATTGTTACATTTCTTTTTTCAATTAATTTAACCAGAGTAAAATTAAAAGCTCTGGACGACTATAAGTTGTTATGTACGGTATTACCTTTCCCACAAATGAAAGGAGGCAACAACATACCTTTTTAAAGAATAGTTTTAGAAAAGAGACTGTTTGATTTTTGTAATGTTATATGAAATAACAAAGAAGGAAGAGTATTAAACGCTTCCCGGTCGTTTCACATGCGAAACCATCTATGGCTAACGTAACATTAAACGACGTAGCGATGCTGCTGCGCGGGTCGATAGACATATGCATGTTTATTATTTTACCGAAACTTATCTAATAATCATAGGAATTAGAAATTTTGCATAAATGTTTTACTCGTTCTTTATAAAATGTTGAAGAATTTTCATGAAATTATCTTTGTCTGTTATGGAATAAATGTAATTGTCTCAATAATTTCCGAACAGCCCTCGTATATGTATACTGTAATAATGAACCCATCTCCTAATGATGATATTGAGCAAGGCCAATACATTCCTTGAAATACGAAATAGATAAGCGTTAAATTAGAAATATCATATAAATGGGGGGGGGGGGGCTACTAATGTCTGAAGTATGAAAATATTTATTGCCCTATTGTGTTCCCATATATTGCTTTGCACGGGTATAAAGTCTGCCTGTCGAACACTCGGGCACGGTTCACTGAGCACAACCCAAGTGAATAGTTAGACAGGCGCCATTGCCCAGAGACATTGACTTTGCAACTGATAATGGGAAATTAGATGTCTTACAATTTAAAAGAGAATACGAGTGTGGATTATCTGTTATTCCATCTCCAACCGACCATTATTCTTCAACTTTCAGTCAAATACCACCGAACATGCTACGAATTGACAGAAATGAAAAGAAACGCAAACATTTCAGCTTGATGCATGAGAACAATGAATTTCGGTATCACAAAGAAATCAATGGGACAATATTCTGGGCCTGTAAAGTGGCAGGTTGTCCAGGGATGCTGGAGGAACAGAACTACAAAGTCCGGACGATAAGGGAACATGTGCACAAAAGTCATGTGAATGATAGACGAGCTAAGGTTTGTTTACCCAATGGTAGTATTTTCGACGCAATATTTTAATTCTGGATTCGTATTACAGCAAAATCCATTAACTTTGATAACAAACAAAAAGAGCACCAATATGGGAAATTTTTTTTTTTCTAATCACTTTTAAAAAATTGGATAGAGGATATTTTCAGAATTTATGTCGTACAACTGCCAGACTACAGCTTCTGTGTCAACAGTGATTAATATAAAGCATGCAAGCATTACCTTGTTGAGTTTCTGCAAAGGAAAATTGTTATTATTTCTTCCCTCTATATTTCGTAAGTTCAAAGTAAGGTCATATTGAAATAAACAATGAAATCGAAATCTGGGGACGAAATGAATCGGCTAACATGTATATTATACTGCATGCAGTGGTCTGAATTTTTTTAAACAGGTGAGCAAAAAATGTTAATTTGGAAGCAAAGTTAAACAATAAAGTGTTAAATAAAGTACATATAAAACAAGTGCATTTGTGTGCAGTTAAGTGATGAGATACCTGTTAATTATGAATAGCTGTGCATGCAAATAGAAATATCTTAATGTTTAGATACATTAAAGAGATTATTAAAGTTAGTTTTAAACCCTCTGAATTCTAAAACTTTAAATTCATATCTACATACATGTATGTCTAACATTTTTTTCTGACCACACCAAATGCAATTCCTTTACAAGCATCCGTGGATATGACAATAATTAAAAACACTGAAAGTAAAATTTCACAGAACAAAAATTATAATTGAATTCCTTACATTATGATATTTACTTCATAATATAATTATTGAAAAGCTATGTATAGTTAAAATATTTGTAACTGTTGTTGACACATATTCAGGTCTAAGCATGTAAAGGAAAAATTCGACAGATACCCACAAAAAACCAGTGTTCCGGGGGGGGGGGGGTGATCAACTTGTGTGAAAAATATTCAGTCTTGTAAATCTTATTGTAAATCTCCTTTGGAGGGGGCGTAGGTTCCAACTTCTTGAACCCCCTCCCACGAAATAGGTTTTTCACGTTCAGGAAGGAGATGGGGTGCCTGGTGCTTGTTTGAACATTTTCAGTAGTAAACAAATATTATTAGAAAATACAACATGTATGTGTAGAGAACACCCGGCCCCTTCCTGATGTTACGTGCTTGCAGACATTGGTGACTACATGAAACTACAATATACTGCAGTTGATCACTTAAATACAAGTACTCCTGAAGGAATTAGAGTATACGATAAGTTTTCCTTCAAGGTGGTGTTCCTTAAAGAACAAGATAGAGTAACGACCGAATCTGGTCCTTATTTGATGTAAAAATCAGAACGCTGGTACAATTGTTAGAGTTTGTAGTTAAAAAGTTAAAATGATGCTTACTTTAAAACAAGCACTAATTTAGATTCAAAGCTTACATGGAAGCCACTAGAGGGTGCAGAAGTAGGACATTTCCAGAATTTCCTCAATTCTGGTGGAATTCCATCATACTTGAGATACTTTTCTCTTCTGAAAACATAGAGCACAAGCTTGTCTATCTGAGATTTTTACACATAAACTACATCTAATACTAGTGTATAGGAAAGCTTGTGCTCCATGTTTTCCAAACAGAATGTGCCGTAAAATCGATGAACATTTGCATAAAAATGAGAAAATTCAAAAATTGACAGTAGTATTAGTAGAACCAATACTAATTTTGTGGCAGGGGTGACAACAGGTTTTTATGGATAAACTGTTGGATCATTCTGAAAGACACCCCAAATCGGGACCAAATAGGCTCTTACCCTATCCACTGCTGGTAAAGTGCGAATCGAGAAAATCTTGGTTTCGGACACCAGCTACTATTGGCACCTGTGAATTATCTAATTTAATACATATTTTTTTATAAAACACAATAAAAATCACTTTCTAGAAAGCAAATTCATTAAATAGTTAAGAGATTGGATTGCTTTTATACCCGAAAAGGGCTCATATCGAAATATTACTTGTAAATGACTGTTTACATCGTTTTTTTCACGTACTCGCATTTGCAAAGTACATAAAGTACCACAGGACTAATTGGACAGTTAACTTGATAAATTTAACTTTAATCCAACGTTTTTCTGTGCCATTGACACAAACAATGTGCTTTAAATGAATTATTTCCATGGGATTTGCCAATAACTAGCAAATTCATTTTATAGGTGCTACAACTGGTTTCTGTTAAATTTTGACACAGGCGACTTTTGATTTGTGTAAATGCGACAACTGGTTTACGTCTCTGAGACTGTTGGTTTATGTTACTTAACGTGAATAATATGAAATTATTCAAATTTACATGAAAAGAATAATTGTTTTTATAGTTTATAGTAATTTTTGACTATTGATTGAATCAATACATAGTGTTCCATCAATTTTTTTTTACGGATATTGTGTTTTTGGTTAAATTATTTTGTTACTTTTAAATAGAGTGATATGGTGTGAATGAGTAAGACGATGACACCAAATAATCCAAAAACTGCACCAGATATACATATACGAATGTTGTGATCAAGCGAACAAGCTTTTTAAAGCAATAAACGAATGCGTAATGGAAATATTTTCCTTGCAGTATATGTTTATTCGAAACACGATGTGAGTATCTTTAGAGTTGAGTTGCATATAGTCTAAATTCATCCAGTAACATCTCAGGTCCGTAGTATGCAAGTTGAGGTGTACTTTTTTCTGAAAATCTGAAAATAGTCTTTTGATTTTCTTTTAATTCATGTTCATGATTTTTTTATGCAGATATGCTTGCACCCCCGTTTTTTTAGTAATCGTAAAGTAGCTGCCTTCCTGTAACTCGTCGGTCTGAAAAAAAATGAGATAGACGACCAAAATGCCACTCATACAAAAATCTGTTTTAAAAAAATTATTATGCACAAAAGCTGTGCTTGGTGCTAAATTAATTCCTACAGATTCTTTTCTCAACTGCACAAAAGCTAAAAAATATAATCCTAAGACCTCTAGCAACAACTCTTGTAGTTGACTTGTTCACGAATCGCGTTGCAATTGAAATGATTTTTCTTTAAAAATGGAAGTAAAAATGCGAAATTCGATGGTCTCAACTTCATGTCAAGGAGGGCTATTTACAACAGTTGAGGAAATAGTAAATGGATATTGTAAAGGAATTTACTTGTATTTGGAACATCCAATTAGAAATAGTTTGAGAATATGACAGTTTGAAACCGAGAAACAGTGCATTTTTTATACACAATAAACATACACTTTTATTCCAGTTGGTGGCACTGCAGCTCGCCCGTCTGTCAATATATATATATATTTTTTTTTTGAGAGCTCAGTTCTACAGCTAACCGTAAGGTTGAACTCTGGCAAATCCAGCCGTTGGGGAAAATGGGATATTTGAGGAAAGGTCTCCCACACACCAAGAAATAGACTGTTCTTCCTAGCCGCAGAACTGTATGTAGCGTTATGGTTTTATTGGTCTTGATAGTCCAGGATTAAAACATAAAACCATAACACTATAGTTCTGCAGATTTGTTCTTCCGAGACTGCGCTGTTTATTTTTGTTGGCTTGTCAATCACCTGCGAGTCTCATTTTTCTTTCATATACATTTTTTAAAATTCACGGGTCTGCTTGTTTAATAAATAGATAGGTCTATTTATGTCATTCAAATATGAGAATATTTTGTTGAAATATTAGAATATTCCATACAAGTTGAATATCGGATATACTTAATGCCTGTCCATGCCATATTTCCAAGTCAAAGGTTAAAAAATTATTCAGGAGGTGAATAAAAAAGTTATAACGCAATTTCATGTTTCAACGTCTATTTCCTTCAAATACTTATATATATATATATCTTCAAATACTTATATATATATACATCAAAAGTTAGTAACCCTTAAAACATAGGTAGTCAATTGAAGATTACTAACAAGATGAAAGTGGAATTATTAAAATTGAACTATGGGATAGAGCTTTAATGGACATATAACATATTTTAGTGAAAAGGATTATTTTTAAAGAATGATATCCAATGTATACTAAACAGAGTGAATTCTGAATTTTTTATCCTTTAACTTTAATCACATAATCGAACAATTTATGTGGGGGGGGGGTATATGCAATACGCATTAAATATTTGATAAAAGCTTTATTTATGAAACAACTAGTAAAGGACTGGGGGTATATGTTTCTGGGACGTATTCAAGGACGTTGCACTATCTAATTTCGAAAATAAAGTCTTTAGATGCTTTACTAGGAAAACAATGATACAGCAGTAAAACGTCGCGCCTTATGAAACAGAACAGAAGCCAAACGTAGCAATTACAGGTGCCGAAAGTCGCACATACAGCAACCATACTCGCGCTGTATATCAGAAAACTTTATATTGCATCAAAAGTTTTAATCTTGTGAAACATTAAAGGCTTGGGAAATCATAAATGACTTATACAATACATATTCATATCACTTTTAACACAAATAACGCAGTGTAAATCGTGTTTAACATGTAAAAAGAAAATATGAATAGATCCAGTGAAATACATTGAACGGGTGTAATCTGAAGCATATACTGGATTGCTCCTTACATGTATTCAACTAACAAGCAATTCTACTGCATAAAATCATACTGAACATTAATAATTACGTCTTAATCAAATATTATATCATTTCTGATCGTTTAGTTGATATAAACTGCCTCATTGATGTAAACCAATAGTAGCTGGTGTCAGAAACCAAGATTTTCTCGATTCGCACTTTACCAGCAGTGCTATCCTGTCCTTTATCTTTTACATGTCCTAGGTTAATTCTGTTTCCTAGCCTACGCCTGCAAAATACATAAAGCGACATTCTGTAAGCATATCAGAAAATATGTACACGTATTGTAAACGCACATTAGTAAAATTCAAGTGAGACGAAGCCCCTGCTTCTGTAACGTTCTGCATGTATTATTTGCAAGAAATGGCAGACTAATCCATGGTACCATACGCAATCAGAAGACAAATACAATCATGACCCAATAGAAGCCTACAACATCAACAATAGTATGAAAATGTCACGTGACCCTGTCCAACCAGTTGACAAACCACTACCTCCAACACCCAGAGAAAACGAAGAGAATATGACACCTAGATATTTTTATTTTGATATGCCCGCTAAGTCCCATACAAAATCTGCTATACCTTCAGTCACCACTGGGCAGCTACCAGGTGGACCGAAGAGGGAACGGTTAGACTTCGGTAACGATTTGTCAGGTACTCTAATTGGTGTTTACATCTTGTACGTTTTCTTAGAATCTTTTCTCTATGGAATCTATATAGAGTACAATGTGAAGCTTTTCAACATGTTCAATGAGATTTTAGATTATCTGTCATTTCTTCAAATTCGAACTCTTACCCCGGATATTAATAAGTAGCAACACTACTGGCTACTTCCAATGAGGGTTTAGTGAAAGTTTTCAAATTATTTGAAAGAATCTTTGGTTATTTGTTATTTTGATAGAGAGCTCAGACAGTTTGAGATCAGTCATTGAATGTAATGACTACAGACAACGCCGATTCTGGGTCATCATGGGAATCATCACACTCATCGCACTCATCACTGTAGCCGTGACACTGTCTCTCTATTTCATTGGTGAGTTACTCATTCTAAATAAGCAATGAACATAGATAATGGATTCTTTGAATGATGTTTCTTAATGAATTTCAAGTCCGCACGTGTTTGGAATAAAAAGAAAATTGGTGCACCGTATACATGTGTTCTTATATTTAATCAGATACACTACTTAAGTGCATGGTTTAATAATTTTATCAATAACCCGACAATTTACCACATTATAAAATAAAACATTGATAATTCTTTTTAGACAAATCAAGGTTAAATGAACAGCTGCCTAAACGAGGTGACGACGTTGTTCCACAGACGACTACTGATGTGCAGTCTACCATAGCAAGGGCAGACGAAGCACTATCACAAATTACCACAACAGCAATAAACGGGGCACAACAAGTGCCAACACAAGGCGCATCCACCAGTGTTTCCACACTTCAGGCTGTAGTCCGAGATACTAAGGTTTCAACAGATCCGAATGTAGCGGCTCCGGCTGTGGAATCATCCCTGTCCAGTTCAACTACGACACAGAAGACATCGTCAGCATCATCAACGACAAAGACCATATCTACCACAACAGTTCAGACTAGTTCTCTATCTACAGGTGAGTCTCAGTACTCAAAACAAAGCTGACACCAACTGTCACCAATATATATATATATATCACAGCAGTAAAGAATTGTTATGGTCTCAACTCTTCATACTAATGCAGTTTTCGAGAGGTGATTAGATGTCCAGTTGTTGCATCTCGCATTTGAACAAGTATATTTGGAATCCAAAACATCTTCTTTCTATATCATAAACCCTCAATCCTTGTAAGAAATACCATGTAATTTTAGCATACTGATAGTTCATGTCCACTGTCATTTAAGGTATCTCTACATTTATGCTTTTATTCATTATACCCCCGCTTGAAAAGTGGGAGGATTTATGGTGATCGGGATGTCCGTCCGTCCGTCTGGTACGCTTTGGGGTACCCGTCTCTTATCCGCAACTCCTCTTTTACCGCTGAATGAAATTTAATGAGACTTTTACGGAATCTTTGTTACACAATGTCATTGTGCACCTTCTATTTTACTGTTTGATTGGACACATACTTTGGGTTCCCTTGAGCAAAATGTGTGGACGACCATTCTTTCTATAATATTGAAGGGTATCCATCTCTTATTCGCCATTCCTCCTATACCACTGAATAAAATTTAATGATACTTCACATATTAAATATTACATAATGTCATTGTTCACCTCTTACTCTATCTTTTGATCTGACACTTATTTTGGGTCTCCCAGAGCAAATCATAGACTTTGCCACTATAATCATAAGGAAGGCAGGTAATATTTAGTGAGCTCATGCTCACAGTACTTTTAGTTTTTTTTTTGTGTCTAGGGCTTAGGCAAATGCTGCATCCTATTTTAATTAACTTCTACATTCAATGGCTAATAAAGAGACCATAGCTCAAAGGGCAAAGTGTTTGATACATTTCTGAGTATATTTGGAATACTAGTATATAATGCACTTTCATAATAAATAAAACAATATTCAGAATATAAAGTTACTTTTTCTTAATTTTTGTTTGATTTTATGTTGAATATTCGAAGGGTAAAGTTTTTAGCTCCTATAGTATTTTACATGTACATGCATGTAGAATATTCGGAGGGTTATTTTTTTCAGCTCCTGTGGTATTTTACATGTATGTTGAATATTCGGAGGGTTAATTTTTCAGCTCCTGTGGTATTTTACATGTATGTTGAATACTCGGAGGGTTAATTTTTCAGCTCCTCTGGTATTTTACATGTGTGTTGAATATTCGGAGGGTTAATTTTTCAGTTCCTGTGGTAGTTTATATGTATGTTGAATATTCGGAGGGTTATTTTTTCAGCTATTCTCGTACTTTACATGTATGTTGAGTATTGGGAGGGTTATTTTTTCAGCTCTTCTCGTATTTTACATATATCTTGAATATTCGAAGGGTTATTTTTTCAGCTCTTCTCGAATTTTACATGTATGTTGAATATTCGGAGGGTTAATTTTTCAGCCCTTCTCGTATTTTACGTGTATGTTGAATATTCGGAGGGTTAATTTTTCAGCTCTTGTGGTGTTTCACATGTATGTTGAATATTCGGAGGGTTATTTTTTCAGCTATTCTCGTATTTTACATGTATGTTGAGTATTCGGAGGGTTAATTTTTCAGCTCTTCTCGTATTTTACATGTATGTTGAGTATTCGGAGGGTTAATTTTTCAGCTCTTCTCGTACTCTACATGTATGTTGAGTATTCGGAGGGTTAATTTTTCAGCTCTCTTTGTACATGTATTTTACATGTATGTTGAGTATTCGGAGGGTTATTTTTTAGCTCCTATGGTATTTTACATGTACGTTGAGTATTCGTAGGGTTATTTTTAGCTCCTGTGGTATTTTACATGTATGTTGAGTATTGGGAGGGTTATTTTTTCAGCTCCAGTGGTATTTTACATGTAAGTTGAATATTCGGAGGGTTATTTTTAGCTCCTATGGTATTTTCCGGATCCCTGATTCTCAATAGAACGTGGACAGCTGCACTGAGTGACGATACTACACCACAGTATAAGATCCTTTCAAGAGCCATTGAATATGAGGTATGCATTCATTTATATCTTAGTAAGTAACAAAACAGAGTTATTTTTGACGTGTTAAACTCAGTTACAATAGTCACGATATGGTAATTAATTTATCTTTTTTTTTAGTTGGACACTGCATTTCTGACCAGTCCGCTGAAGTCTCTATTTAACGAAAGCCAGGTGACGGAATTCAGGTATGATATGTACCTTTGCATTCTCTTTCTTTAAATGAAAATTCTCTCTCATTTCAAAGGAAGATATCCACAAATTAGTAAAAAAAAAATTAGCGCCATCTAAACGTCTTCTCACTAACATTTTGGCAAGAAATGAAAAAAGTACGATTCATCAAATAGTGTAAATGTACAAATCATGAATGCAAACTAAGGGTTGGAGCAAACAGTATAGTTGAAACTTTTAAATGTGTAACAAAAAATAAGAATATACACAGATTCGCAAATCAATTTAGATTACTGCCAGTACTCACAGTACTAGTTTCAACAATTTAAGAAAAGGATCAAAGATGACTCTAATAGTGGCATCCTATAAAATTGAATTTTGCTACAATAGATTTTGAAATGTGAAGGAAAATCTTTAAAATTTTCAAATAATCAGAACGTTTGAGGGCATAAAGTTGACTCGATTAGTATGAAGATACTCATATTTATATTTAGAAAGGTCTTATCACAAGTAATATACATGTGATTCAAAAGTTACTCAGTATGAACAAGATTAAAGTCATATAGATGACGTATTTTTGATAAGTTTAGACTATATTAATTTAAAAAGATCTGACAGTTATTCCTTAAATATATATGAACCTCCCAAGCTTTCTTGCATCAGTTTCTTTTTATACACATCTTTTACCTCGCCAAATTCCTTCTTAAAGTTATATATGATGTGTTTTTGATTAAGTTCAGGCTATAATTGAAGAGATTTTTCTAATATTTAATTTTTCACTTAATATAAAGATAGGTCTTTCCTGTAAATTACACAATTTAATTCAATCACGTTTCATAGATATCCGAGATTAAAATAATTTAACCGATTTATTTACCGACTCAGAATTTAAATATCAGACACAGTTTAAAGTAATTTTACTATAGAAACGTGGGGGATATACAAGTTAAAAATCGGTAAAAGATTTAATTTGAACGTAAAAAGCGAAAATCATGTAAATTTTCATAATCTCGTTTTTTTTTTTTTTTTTTTTTTTTAGCTCAGATACGCGATATGTAACCTACACTATATATAATGTTTTTGTTACAAACGGACAGACTGACAGATTGACACACTAATGAAATTAATACCAAAGTTTCAATATTTTCAATTTAAAATGCATATGCAAGAAATTTCGTAAAGTATGACCTTAAATTTTATGTTTGTTTTGAATAAAATTGAAGTAAAATGATTATAAAATTCAAAATTTAATATCTAAAAAAAAATTAATCTCAGAAATCACTGTTGTCGATTCATCTCTCTCAATTTAAACAAGGCTTTCAATAATCTCTTTTGACAGTTCTGGTAGTGTCAGAGTGTTCTTCAAGATCGTGTTCCGCGTCACTGTAATGCTTGACGGACAGGTGGATACGTCAAGTGTGAACGTCACTGACGTCAGGCAGACGATAGAGGACGAGGCAAGGAGGCAGCAGACGACACGAACCAATGGCTACCTCAGTACAGTTATGGCAGGAAGCATATCGGTCAAACTAGCTAATGGTAAACGTCGTGTAAAAAGAGACATTTTTACATTAAAAGACACTTTTCAATGCAAAGACATTACTGTGATAATAAACTAGTGAAATTTTGTTTTGAGTGTTTTGATTTAAACTCTAGTAACATTTTTTTCAAAACCATAGTAATTTTTTTTTGTATTTAGTGTTGAATTCGGTTTTCTAAACACCAAAGATTAAAGTATTCAAAAAGTTTATTCAAGTCGGATATTTGTTTCCATATGAAATTAAACGTGTTGTAATTACGCATATTTTGTTTTTCATTTCGTAAATGTTATAAATATATGTATTATTAGTTACTGTTTAGACAAAAATGTTACAGAGTATAATCAATCAAAACACTCTTATTAAGATGGTGCAATGGAAACAAATTATTTCGACATTTGTTACAACAGGCACGTAGTATCGGAAGGCCCTGTCTCCTTTTTCTGTTTATGAAATTCTGGATTGTAGCTTGTTCTGGGGCCCCCGGTATAGTCAGGTCAGGGTAATGTGGTACCTAATGTGTGGGGGGAAATCTGGATTGTTTTAGAAGTTAGAATCTACACCAAGTCCCCCATGGATTTTTGAGATTGGAAGATTTTGCTTGCTTGCTTATTTGTTTGTTTGTTCTTTTTTTTTTTCATGCTTGCCAAAGTATTTTTTTCCAGTTTAGTTGATTTTTTTTCTCTGGCTGGAACCCCGCTTTCAAAATAGATATTACGTGCCTGTAAAAACAAGAAAATTTAAACAAAGTTTAAAAACCGAATCTGGCACATTTTTTCAAACGATTGGTCGAAAATATATCAGAATAGTGATTTCTTATAAAAACGTTTTGGAAAAAAAAATGCCACTGAAACATGAAAAATCCTTCAAAAATCAATTTTTTGCAAGCTTCATCAATTTCATAACTTAGAAATATCCAAGTCGTGAAGAGAAAACCTGATAGTGGACTAAATCCTTGATTTATACTCGTGACTGCTTTTTAACAACAAAAGTTCAAAGATTGTTGTGCAGTATCGGATTTTTATTTAACAAGACATCATATACTCAGTAACTCTGGAAATGGTACATAGTTATCTGTTTATAAATCTTAATTTACTGGCATGAAACATTATCATCCAGAGGCGTTTAATATGTGTATCTTACGATGAAATACTTGAATGAATTGAAATGTTATACGATCCAAAAAGGTTCGTCTATTAGTTTACAATCTATCAAATTATTATAAAATTTTCGTTTATAAACTGATACATTAAAAAATTACTGAGTATCTACAGATTAATTGAGATGTATATCAGCCGTAGGGAAATGATATACCTCTCGCCAGACTGTTAGATTTAATACGGGACTGCCAAAAGAAGAATCTCTTAAGGACAGACGAGACGTTCCTCAGTAATATATAATTTTTTCCAAGACTTTGTCATCGAATAAATACAACTTTAACATGTTTACTCACAAAATATTGAAGTACCTTACCGGGCATATGTGCGAGATACCAGATGATGGCATTTCTTATATAATCCTTTAGAGAAAAAAATAAAGTTTGCCAAAATCACATTTTTTGTGTTTCAAATTTAGAAAACAATTAGAAACAGGTTTAGATATCAGAAAGTAATTAAAATTTTGTATAATTTTCAAAAATTATGAAGATATACAAAAGAGATATTTGGGGAACGTATCGTCTGACCTTAAATCATACAGTTCTTCGATACGTTACGCTGAAATTCTTTTTAACATGATCAAAAATAGCTTAAATAGAAGTACATGTATGTAATTTCATTTTCAATATACAATATCACCAGAGCTGAGTTTTTAAATTTTCATTATTTGTATGTTTTGATATCTTTTAGCGGTTTCCGTGCGTGTGCTTTGCATAGAACTAGTAATCATTGTAAAAGACTAATAACTACTTCGCTTTAAGACAGATTATTGTTTTATTTGAATGAACATGTATGGATGGAATTCTGTTTAACAATAGCCCCAGTCGTATTAATGGGAGACCTTTTTCTGAATGAGGCTTGGAATGATTCCCTAAATGACCCAACATCGCCAATATCTCGGAAGCTGACAGCTCAGCTTAAGGCAGAGGTAAAATCTTCATCTTCATTCTATAAATGTTTACGAGAGAAATTAACAAGCAACAACTTATTTACTATATTCAAAACTACATGTACATATACATATTCCAGTTATTAAATGGACTAGTCATATGACAAAAATGTGTACATGTCTCACGGATTTCACTCATCGAATTTAATTTCAGTTACAAGCCACCTTACTAAAGTTGACAGAAAACGACTTTCTCGATGTAGAGATTTTGGGATTCAGGTATAAATGAATTTTTTTAAAAAATCAAAATTTGTTAGTGAAAATTGAAACATTTAGATATTTTTTAAAATTTTTCTTAGGCCGGGTAGCATAGAGGTTGTATTCAGAATTGTGATGACAATTAATTCCACACAAAATCAGTCGCAAATCGATGTATCAACAATTATTCAAGCAATCCAAAACGAGGCAAACCGCCAATTGCAACAAGCGGTGTCTGGTCTTCTTCAGAAACTTATAACGCTGACTGTGGACAACCAAACTTTGGGTATATAAAGTTATTCAGTTGAATCAATATATATTTTGTTTTCCCTTTTTTTTTAGCAAGCATACTGTTGTTCCTATTGATATTTTCCAGCCAATGCAACATCATCATCAGTCACATCAATTACTCCCACTGTAGCAGCAACAAATCTAGCAACCACTACCGACTTTGCAACAGCTAGTACTTCTTCTACACAGTCAACAGGAACAAAAGAGGTAGCAACTACCTTTGAACCAACAACTACTATCGAAGCAAGTGCAACAATGACTACTCAACAAACAACGTCCTTTAATGCAGAAACTACTACTGTGCCAGTAAAAAGTACCTCAAAACCAACAATTTCGACAGAATCAATCAAAACAACTTTTCAACTAGAAATATCTTCTTTTAAACTAGAAACTTCCACAGATCTAATCACGGCTACTACTGTACCGGTTTCAAGCTCCTCAAAACCGTCTGTTTTGACTGAATCAATCACAACTTTTCAACCAGCAACAACATCTCTCAAACTAGAAACTTCCTCTGTGGTAATAACAACCACCACTGTTTCAGTAACAAGTTCTTTTAAACCAAACATTTCTACAAAATTGATCACAACTACTACTCAGCTAGCAAGCACAGTCACTACACAATCATCAGCATCTACTTTGGAAGCAACAGCTAGTTCTAAATCAGCAACAACTGTGATTGAACCAACCGAAGCAACTATTCAACCAGGAACAACTTCTTTCCAACCAAAGACTTCTTTTTCTGAAGCAATCATTTCTAGTACCCAACCAGCATCAATTACTTCGACACCAACAATAATTTACAGTAAATCAATTGCAACAACTCTTCAACAAGCAACAACTTCATTAAAACCAACGACATTCAGTGAAGTAAACACAATTAGCAGTCAATCAGCAACAACCTCCTTTAAACAAGAAAGTATGACTGAAGCAACCAAAACTACTATTCAACCAGCAACAACTACCATGGAAGCTATAAAAAGTTCAAAACCAGCAGCAACTTTAATTGAATCAATCATAATGATTACTCAACCAGCAGAAAGTACTTCTTATCCAACAACTTTGAATGTAACAATCACAACTACAACCCATCTTTCAATCACACCCACTATTCAACCTGCAACTACTAGAGAGGCAATAATCTCCTTTAAATCAGCAACAACTTCCACTGAATCAGAACCGTCAACATTTTCTGAACCAAAAACTTCTTTTGAAGTAATCGAAATCACTTCTCACCTTGCAACAACTTCAACTGGAAGACTATTCACAACTCAACAAGCGCTCACAACCAGTAAAGCATCAGCTTTTACCCAACTAATGTCAATCTTTGACGCAACAACTGGTATTTATCCAAAATCTACAACTGAAGGAATCCAAACTATCCAATCATCAATAACGACTGCTTACACATACATCAGTTTTACGCTAGAAAGAACTATCAACGAAACAGCTATAATTTCTCTGCCAGTAACAACTACTAGTCAGTCAGTATTTAAAGCTAATGAAACAGTATCCATTACTCAACCAGAAACAATTACCGCTAAATCACCCATCTCTTCACAAATTGAAACAACCATTATTCAGCCAACAGCTTCGTTTATAACACCATCAAGTACTCAACTAGACGTAATTACTGTTGGAACTTCAGCAATTTTGCAGTCAATCATTTCTACCATTGAAGCAAACTTTACTCAACCAAGACCAACTGAAAAAATAACCCCTACTTTATTAGTAGCAACTACCTCTCTACCAACACAATACACACCTACCCCTCTACCAACCTCCAAACAATATACAACTTCCTCTCTACCAACCTCTACACAATATACAACTTCCCCTCTACCAACCTCTACACAATATACAGCTACCCCTCTACCAACCTCTACACAATATTCAACTACTCCTCTACCAACCTCTACACAATATACAACTTCCATGACAACAGCTGCTACACCGGATGTGTGTCAGGATAAAACATCAATCGTGGCTAATGGATGGGTGTGCGTTCTTCCTTACTACAGTACTATTACTACCGAAGTTGATGTTGATATGTTTTGCAAGTATGTTGATAAAACATGGGTAAATAGCAAAAATGATTATCTAAACTTTCGAACGAAAATTTTTGATATTTTTGTTTTTAGCTCTACTGGTCAGAGACCAGAAAAAGCTTATGCGATGGTAAGGTGTCCGCCGTCTGTTCGCCTGTCTGTAATTTTTCAAAATGCCACTCCTGGTATTTTTGGTCCAATTTCAATATCACTTGGCACACAAAGTAGACTATGCTAAAATGCATAATTTATTGCATCGGTTTTTAGCTCACCTTGGCGAGATGAGCTTATACTATACCCCCGGCTTTGTCGTAATCGTCGGCCTACCGGTTAAAGTTTTAGGAGCAAATCCATTCCCAAGTTACTATAAGCCCTGCCTGGACCAAATTTGCATGGATGATGCATCTAGGGATGGACACTTACTGACTTTCTTGGGGTGCTGGATCTGGCCTATATTTTCCATATGAGTGACCAGGTTTCTGTTTTGTAGCATGTACATTCCCAAAAGACTATAAGCCCTACTTGTACCAGACTTGCATGGATGATGCATCTTGGAATGGACACTACCAGATTTGCTTCAGAATCTGGATCTGACCTACATTTTCGAGATTAGTGATCAGGTTTAAGTTTCTTGGAGCAGGTCCATTCCCAAGTAAGCATAAGCCCTACATGGATCAAACTTGCTAGATGGTGCATGTAGGGATGGACACTACCACACCAGCTTCGGATGCTGGATCTGAAACAATTTATCCACAAGAGTGACCAAGTTTTTGGAACACGTCAGTTCCCCAAGTCCTACCTGGATCAAACTTGCATGGATGATGCATCTTGGGATGAAACAAATCTGCTTCAGATGCTGGATCTGCCCCGTATTCGCGATTCGTCAGTTTGAAATCAATCCACTACGATTAATTTTTGCGACTGAGTACATTCTTTATAATTACAAAGCAAAATAACTGGTTCGCTTCGAATAATATTCGCCAGTAAAAGCAGGTCGCGAAACTCGTGGATATTTCTTGCACGCGAATAAAAGTTGGTTTACAGTAAAGAATGACTGCACTTAAGGACGTTATTTGGAACCTTTTCGGTTACCCATTTTAAGCTTAACATTACAATATATCGCTAAATTAATCTGTGATTAATGTGCAAAAATATGTCTTTGATATTTATTTCTAGAATTTTTCGTCATGCATATTTCTATAATTACATACAACGCTATTGAAAAGAACATGTTTAAGCCATAAATTCCGGAAAATTGAACTGGACCGCTTTCGATTTTAAGGTGGCAGCAAAGGGGCGGAGACATTTAAATCGCATGGAAATGGATCATAAGCACATGGTTTTCCGTATTTGATTTACATTATATATGAAAAAGGCGGAGAGGAGGGTTTTGTGTTCATTGTGTACAAAAAATAAATGATTTATAACCATGCATATAATTTCATTAATTTGTATCCGCGTAAGTAAGTAAAGTAAGCAAAGAGCAGAACATTAAGAGAAAAACAAAAAGTTCATAAAAATAAACAAAATTGTGATAAATATATGCCTGCATTTTGTACGCTTAGGTTTGTAGTGTCTTTTTTAAGAATTATTGGTAGATGAAAATGACACTGAAATACATTTTTATTTTCTGAACATAATGGACTGTCTTAGCGTAAATGAAAAATAATTTGCAACCTGTCTATAGGATAATCTGAAATAAGTACACACAATAAATCCATAAATGAGATGCCATTTGATTACTGGCAGAGATAATTTTCAAAAGAGTTTTGATCTTTATTCAGAGTACAAAGGACAATGCATTAAAGAAAATGAATTTCGGCTTCTACATTATCAAGCACTGCATAATTTTCTCTATCTAACGTTCTTTTAAAATTGTAATACTTAAAATCTCACTGCTCATGTAGTATTTGCTGTCAAGCAGCGAATAAACTAAATCTTAAAATAATTATAAATTATGTGTTCGAACCTACAACATGCATTTAAAAAAAAATGACATTTTCACTTTATCTTAATCATCTTGAATAATAATTGTGCACTAAATTAATTAGTAACGGAAAAATAAAATAAAAAGTTTAGTTTTTTTTTTGGTGTGACTGTGGGCTCCTACCCTGACCTAAAACTGGTCGGGCTCCCGTTTTCAAAATTTCTGGATCCGCCACTGCTATATGTACAATCGGCAAAATAATACCCCTTTTCTTTTAAATGCTCCGAACAAAAACACTATAGTGAAAGAAGTCAACGTAAACTTTAAAACGCCAATGAATTGTACGCAATGATCTTCAATGTTTTGAAAATGGAAGTACATGTAGATATAAAAAGAATTTTCCAACGACTGACACAATGAAAGCGTATCGAACACTTGAATGTCACGTGAGAAAAGTGATTATAATATCAAACGGGTCACATGGGCTGACACTCGGTGACTTGCTAATTTAGTAGCTATCTCGAGCGAAGTTTGGGTACATTTTTTTAAAAATTAGATATGAGCCGCAACTTGACCAACATTGTCCTTTGGATATGTTTAGGTTTAAAGTAAAATACACATTCTGTGCATATAAGAATCAAAGTACTCAGAAGTACTGAAAGCCGGGCTCATTTACAGGGTAATGAACAAAGACCGCAATGACAGTTTAAAAACAAGCTGATTCAGACATTGAAAAGATGATTATATATATCTATATATGTCATATATAGCATTAAAAAGCTTTAAAATTAATTAAAATGTAGCTATAATTTAACAGCGTAAAATACGTGTCACATGTATCATTTCGGGGTTTTACATACCAACAAAAGTAAATGAACACTGATGCAGCAAGATTATTTAAGGTCAAACAATTATGCACAGATGGGTCTTCAGCGGGGAGTTTTGCATCAAAGCGTACATCAAGTCATTAATGGTGTTCCCCGCATTTGTATTAGTACACCCTTTATTTATAGAATATGACGCAGACAGGGATACCTGATGAAAACTTTTCGCATATTTTAACCAAATGATTAATCATCGAAAACGATATAAAGTATTTTATTATAATTATTTTTTGACAATTTTAGATAACTATGAAAGTTTAATTCAGTGTTTGTATTGCCTCAAAGGTGATTGCGCAGACGTACTATATTCTAACTCGTAAATTTAATTTGGCGGTGAAGAAGCAGCATTTTCTGTTGCTCACCGTCGCAATAGCCGGGCATTTCTCTACGAGAAATGAGCCCGGCTAAAAATGGTCAAGGTGCGGCTCGATGTAAACAAAGTCGTTGAAAACTGGTATGCATATGAATAACAATAGAAATGATACAAAACTGTAAGACCCCCGTCTCAAAAGATAGTGTCGCTCGGCATTATTTAATACTTTCATGTAATATAATACACCAAAACCTGCTCTTAAGACATTGTTTAATACCTATTAAACATAGATTTAATGAATTGTGGAATTTTATTTTGCGCAAAACATCGGGTCCCAACTCTCATAGCTTAAGTGCAGTCATTCTTTTAGCCGTATATTAATCATATTTGCATAGAAGGTTTATTCAGGGATGAATGCTATCAGACTTGCGTCGGATGCTGGAACAGAAAGAGACATTTTCTTGACTGGTGATCAGGTTGAGGATTTTGAAGCAGATTCATTCGAAAGAAACTAAAAGTCCTACGAGTATTTAAACCAAACTTTATAGATATTGATATAAGGATGAACACTAAATAAAAATAAATATTATGTGAGATTTGCATCACTAATACTGATACCATTCGTCGAGGTGAGCTTCGTAATTTTTATTACCTATGTTTGATTTCGATAAACGGTGTTGCCATGGTTAATAAAAGTAGAAGTTTCTGGGAAATTCCTTTAAAACGCTACCCCTACAGTTTTGATTTGATTTTAATATAACTTGACATGTAAGTAGACTGCACTAGGATACATTGTTTAATGCATCGGTTTTTAATTTCAATGAACATGATGAATAGTGTTGCCATGACTACTAAAAATAGAAATTTCTCTGAAATTCCTGTAAAATGCTACTCCTCCTACAGTTTTGGTCTGATTTCAATACAACTTAGCTAACAACTTAACTAATCTTAGATACATACTAGTAGTTTAATGCATTTGTATTTGATTTCGATGAATGGTGTTACCGTGTTACTAAAAATTGGAAATTTCTGTGAAATTCCTTTCAAACACTACTCCAAATACAGTTTTTTTTGGTTGTAATATAATTTGGCACACAAGTAAACTTCACTAAGAAACATATCTTGGTGCATAGTTTTTTTTTACTGCAATGGTTACTAAAAATAGAAATTTCTTAGAAAATTTCTTATAAACGCTCATCCTCTTTGAGCTTTTTGTCTGTTTTCAGTATAACTTTGCACACAAATAGACTTCAATAAAATACATAATTTAATGCATCGGTATTTGATTTTATTGAATGGTGTTGCCATGGTTACTAAAAATTTTAATTTCTTAGAAATACTTTCAAATAGATACCCCTCATACAGTTTTGGATTGATTTCAATATAAATTGGCACACGAGAAGACTACATTAAGGTACAAATTTGTATTTTTTGCTGCCTGTTGCAAAGTTTCAAATCCAAATGCTACTTTTCTTTTGTTATACGTACATACCAGTAGAACTACAGCCTTATAAGACACTTTTGTTTTTCTTTCTTCATAGTAACATTGATCCTTTTTCTATCGTTTCCATAATCAATGTTCTTGTTGGAAAATTCAAGAGAGAAGACTTAATTTTTGAAAGAGGAAAAATGGGATATTTTAGGTCACCAGGTCATTAAGGGATAGTTTTAATGATAATGAGAGTCATTGAATTAAAGGCCCACGGAACTTTTATTTCATGTAATTATTTTAATGATCACAATAGCTGAACGATACAGGTAATCTACGATATGTTTATAATCGTTAGCTTTCAGCATATAAACCTACTTAAATGTCGTTTGTTTTCAGGGTTATTCGAGATGTGCTGAACTGTACTGTGAACAATGTAGAAAAGGAGTTAAATATCTCCTGTCCATCCAATAGCTTGAAAACAGTTGCCAGTGTGTATAGTCCTTTACTTCGCGATTCGATAAAGATGAAACACGACCCAGTTGAGTGTAAGTAAACTTGGTAAAAATAATCTCATCTGTTTTTCATACTGATTGTTAGACCTTTGTAGAATGCACATTGAATTTTCGACGAATTTTTCAGTGATTCCCCGACCATAATAAGAACACGCGGTATGAACAGTCCTCAGGAGATGCTCTCTCCTCCAAGGCCCCTGATCCCACCTCTGATATTTTGTATGTCGGCCGTTTTGATCTGCACCTGATTTGCATTGTTTAATGGATTTTTGAGCTCGGATACTGTTTGTTATCTCCATATGTCTCTTTTAAAAGAATATAATGAAATATTGAGATATTGAACAATTATCAAGCTCAAAAACTTTACAAAATCGGAGTAGAGCAAATACCGACCTCTAAAATCATTAGAGAAGAGATCAGGTTTCATGGAGAAGCAAGCATCCCCTGCCGACGTCACAACCGCCTTGTCCTCCTTGGCATGATAGGACAAATGAATTTCCTTGTGTAAAGTTTTGAATAATATACATGTAACTTTATTATAATCATAGGTAACTTGGAACCTCTCAATGAAATCTGCTTTTCCCAAGAAATATTTGAAACTTCTGAGTTTCAACAGTGCTTCAAAACTTTCAATTTACTCTCCGATTTACCCAACTCAATGGAAAAAGAAGAAAGATGCAGGTAAAAAAAATCGCATATTGTCCTCAATTGCAATGAGTAGTAGTATAAAAACATAAAGTCTTAAGTGAAATGTCAAAAAAACTTTTGTATTTCTAGAATTTACACACACTCTCTTCGATGTGTTGGAGAAAACATAGCAGACTGTGATGCTGGTAATATCCACAAACTTATTAATTCCAGCAGTTTAGAAATTACCGGGCGTAACAGCAGTGTTTATGATCTTAAATGCTCAGGTAAATATTATGCTGTAAAAGGAATGAAGGGCAGCTTCATGTACTACACAGACATTAGGGGAAAGCATATAGCGTAGTGATGTTACTTTAATTGAGGCCACGGTTTCTGATCTTTTGCGCCAATTTTGGATAATAATGTGTAATTGGTGTTATCAGACCTCGTGCATGCATTATCCAAAGTAATTTTTGGGCGAGATACACCGATTAAAAAAAAATTGTCGCCCGCGTGTAGCGCAGTGGTTAGAGCGTCTGTTCTGGAGTCGCATCCTTACGTTGCAGATTCGAATACTAGTACCACTGTGGTACGTGTTGACCGGTCCTTCGAATGAGACCGTATAAACTGAAGTCTCGTGTCGTAATAGGTGCTAACACGACAAAGATCACTCCCTGCTCAAAGTGTCGAGTATACTAAGACAAAATTTGCAGTTTCCACCGGCAAGTGGTGGCGTCTCCATATTAGAGGGACGTTGATCAACATACAAGCACACAAACGTAACAATAGTTTTTTCCTACTTTTTTTGTTGAATATACTGAAAAATAATTTATCTGTTTTTGTAATCTTGAAGAAAAAGAGTACCCTGTAATATAAATTTAATCCACATGCTTTAATTTTCAGACTTGGAACCGTCTCAGTCATTCTGTGATGACAAAGAAGCTTTACTTCTACACATATATGGGAAGTGTTACATTAACCTGCTGATTCTCTCTAGGACTTCCTGCATCACGTAATTATAACATTAACATTACTAGTATGTAGATTATTTTACATGAATCTGTTTATTCTCTCTTGGACTTCCTGCTTTACATTATTATAGCATTTACGTTTCATTGAAAGTGTTACACTTAATATTCTCTCTTGGACTTGCTGCTTTACATAATTATAACATTAACCTTTCTTGGAAAGTGTTACATTTATTCTTTCTTGGACTTTCTGCTTTACATAATTATAGCATTTACGTTTCATGGAAAGTGTTACACTTAATATTCTCTCTTGGACTTGCTACTTTACATAATTATAACATTAACGTGTCATGGAAAATGTTTCACTTATCTGTTTATTCTCTTTTGGACTTCCCGCTTTACGATTGTATTACATGTTTGTTATATGGTGAGTTTTATACTAACATGCTTAATTCTCTCTCGTACTACTAAACCTGCTACATGTACATGGAAAGACTTTAGCGTTTCGTGAAATTTATGTAAATTTAACCATTTTCTGATACTAGTTTGTGAGATTGGTTGATTTTTGTTGTTTCACGCCGAGTCGGAAATATTTCAGCCATATTCGCCGACTAATATGTGAGAAAAATATCATTGAAAAAAATTAGCTTAGAAACGAATGTAGATTTGAGCACTGGTCAGAGGCCAGAAGAGCTTATGCAATAGAATAGGGTCTGTCTTCTGTCCATTTGTCCATCCATCTTTTTTCCAAATTGCTACTCCTACTACGTTTTGGTCTGATTTCAATAGAACTTGACACACATTTGGACTACAATCGGCTTTTGCTTTCAATGAAATGTGTTGCCATGGTTACTGAGAATAGGAATACCTGTGAATTATTTTCCAAATATTAATTCTCGTCAGTTTCAGTCTGATCTCAATATACTTGTAACTTGGCACACAACTAGATTAAACTAAGAAACATAATTCTTTATTTCGGTTCTGATTTCAATAAATGTGTCGCCAGCGTGGCGCAGTGGTTAGAGCGTCTGCTCTAGAGTCGTGAAGTAAGGAGTCAATCCTTACGTCGCGGTTCGAATCCCACTGTGGGACGTGGAGATCGGTTCTTCGGATGAGACCGTATAAACCGAGGTCCCTTGTCGCAGTAAGTGCTGGCACGAAAAAGATTCCTCACTGCTCAATGGCCAGTATAGGACAAAATTTGTAGCTCTCCACCGGCAAGTGGTGGCGTCTCCATATGAGTGAAAAATTCGCGAGAGGGACGTTAAACAAAAATCAGTCAATCAATAAATGATGTTGCCATTGTAAATAAAAATAGAAAATTATGTGAAATACTGTCAAATGCTACTCTTGCTACAGCCTTGATTTGATTTCAGTATAACTTGGCACACATGTAGACTACCTTATAAAGATTCATTATTCTATATATCGGTTTTTACTTCCATTAACATTGTTTCCATGGTTACTAAAAAAAATTCCGTGAAATTCTTTTAAAAGGCTTCTCCTCCTACACTTTTAGTTTAATTGCGATCTTGCCACAAAAAAGAAATTATATCAAGGATTTTTATTCTGTCTATTGATGCTGCAAAGTTTTAAGTCCAGATGCTACTTTTCTCTGTCTTTGTTATTTCATCAAACTAGTTGAGCTGCAGTTTCAACAAAGAATTTCTGGTTTTATATCCTTTATATGATATTTCCTGTTCATATTCAAGTAGTCATTGTTTTACTGGATAGCTCTTTGATCGTACAATCGTTACAATATCGTGTAATTTATTTATAAATTTCAGGGTTGATTCTCTTATGGACTGTGCTTACAATCAAACAGGAGAACTGTACTTTAACTGCTCCAAAACTTCCATCAGATCATCCCTAAATAATGCATCATCGTTTTATGAAAGGAAGTTTCCTGGATATGGTCAACAAATTGCAACATGTATACGTACGTACACAAACTTTTCATTAATCAATATTAGGTTCAAATGTATTACATGTAGTGCCTTTGGTCCAACTAATGAGGTTTATTTTGTTACTTCAACCAAAATATTATTTCAGATTACTTGCACTAATTTTATACTTACTTTAGAAATGCTGATAAAAACGTTAAAGGTTTCTGAAAAATAACTGTATCTAATAACAACTGCATTGCCAGTAACGAACATTGGTCGTGGAAAGGAAAAAAAAAAATTCTGGATAGCATATCATAACTTCTGTATTTTTTCAGCAGTTTGTAAGATATTGGAATGTTAGGAAAATAATTCCACGATAGGCTTGTCTAATGTTTTTCCTGCTCTGAAATACTGTAGTTGGCTTTGGTTGTTGAATCCATTTGTACAACGCACATGCTAGCTCCGCTAAATGTGTGTGGGTTACATTGGTGGGGCACTAATAAATTACGACTTGATTCATAGATATGGGGAGGCGTTGAAAAGGGAATCTCTCTCTCTCTCTCTCATAAAATAAATGTACTTCTCAATACTAAATAATGGAAATATACATGTATATTCTGCAGTTACACTTTTCAAAATAAAACAGCAAACATCGTAGTATTTACCAGGGATATATACACTAATCCTCCACTCAATATTTTTTTTAATTAGAAATGTTTCTTTTATTACCGTTTGTGTGCTGTGCATTTTTTGTCATTATTGCTTACGATTAATTAGATAATGTCTCTACATACCAGGAGGGAAACACAGATACGATGTAGGTAGAAGTGGCATAATCCATCGATTCCCATTTTTTGGAAAATATAGATGTAACTTTTCGGCGATTCATAGTATAATTACTTAATGTAACCGAACACGAAGAAATAAAAAAAATCCACTAAACTAATTCTAGACAAAACTAAGAACAGATAATATATACTCATAATTAATTCAAAACTCACAGAATTCGTAATAATTAATTAAAAACACTAAAAATCTTTCCACTGTTTTTTATGCATTCAAAATGACCAGTACATGTTGTGAAATCATAGCGCCAAAGGCCGCTTTCAAAAAATCGTTCAGGTGTGAAATATGGTTTTCCTTCAATATCTTCGTTAGTTGTGCATAGATTTTGGTTCGTTTTTTTCTCTAGTTTTGTTTGAACATGATCTTCAACATATTGAAAAAAAATTCCCACCGCAGGTACCCTTTAAGGACAGATGATACAAACAATTTTTTTTTCTTTGGAGGAGACTTGGTATCATGTCACAGTTTTAGAAAAGTAGAAAATTCTTGGAATTTTTTCTTCTTAGAACTGGAAAATGAAATAGACTTTGAAATCATTAGTAATATTTCAATAAAATAACAAATTTGGACAAAACACACTCAGTAAAGGTTTACAGATGAAAACAAATTTCAGAATATGTTAGCATGGTGCTTAGAATGTAATAAAAACGTTCGAAAAATATACCAAGCCAGGTGAATTTTATTGGGAAAAGCAAAATAGTAAAAATCAGCCTATGTGATTTTTCTGATTTTTTTCATTTTCTTTTTCCTTATAAAATTCAACTGGCTTGGTTTACTTCTTTAACGTTTATATTACACTTTTAGCAGCAAGCTAACATATTTTGATATTTGTTTTTACCTGTAAACCTTTATTGCGTATCATTTGTCCATATTTGTTATTTTATTGAAATATTACTAATATTTTCAAAGTCTATTTCACTTTTTAGTTCTTAGGAGAAAAAAATTCTAAGAATTATCCACTTTTCTAAACCTTTGATATGCTATTTAGTCTCCTCCAAAGAAAAAAAAATGAAAAAAAAAATGCCTCTGCACGCGCACTGATTCTCCTGAAAACAACGGCATATGAAGTATTATGTTAGTTATATTATGTTAGTTTTTTTATGGATTAAAAGGATTATATGACTGTATTATTACAAATCAAATTCACCACATCAGAACCTACAGGCCTAATTAATTGTATAATATTCACCAGATTTGGTGCCATATTTACTAGATATCCAGCGATTTTGACATCTTAAATGATCAACAATGGTTCGTTTTGCAAGCCTATCGCTAGATTATTTACCTTCAGAAAATGATATGTTTTTCCGTATGTAAGGAGAACTAGACCGTCAAGATAACTTCTAATGAACGTTTTTTAATCTTATTTATCCAACATTGAACTGTTACATAAAATCTTTCCATGGTAATTAAATGTAGGTTGATATTTATCAGAATATCAATCAATATTAACCGCAAAATGAGTTCATAGTTATATATTAATATTATTGATACGATATTTATGAATTATCGGAATTTAAGTCGGCCTTTTCATATTAGAAATAATGATGCTTTTAATAGAAATCACAGACACAAATTGCAGTATAGCAGTCCAGGATATTTATAGTCATCCAGAAGCCCAGAAATGCTTGGGAATCTACTTGTTACTGTTACTTACAAATGGATCTGCTGCACTGTCGGATAAAACACAATGCTAGTGAGTTTGTATTTTCAAAACTAAATTACATGTATCAATGTTTAAAATTATTCATCCTTTCTTAGCTCACCTGAGCAGAAGGCACAATTTAAGTGAGTTTTGTTTATCACATTTCGTTCGGCGTTCGTCTGTAGGTTTGTCTGTAAAAATCAACAATTTCCACTTCTCAAGAACCAAAGGGCCAATTTCCTTGGCTTAAGGGTATTTATATTTGATGAAATGAAGGGCCACATCTTCTTCCAAGGGGAGATAATTTTGAAAAAAATGTGAAAAATTAATGGTATCTTTTAAAAACCTTCTCAAGAACCAATGGATCCGAAAAAATGAAACTGAAGTGGAAGGATCCTTAGGTAGTTCAGATTCAAGTCTGTTCAAATCATGACCCCGGAGGGAAGGGTGGGGTCACAATGGAAGAACAACAAAGCCATGATTGGTCATATTTAGATGGAAGCATCCTCAGGTAGTGTAGATGCAAGTTTGTTCAAATCATGACCCCCAGGGGTAGGATCAGGCCACAATGAAATATCAAAGTTTTACATAGGAAAAAGTCTTGAAAAAAAAACCATGATTTTTGAAAGCATCCTCAGTTTAAATTTATAGGGGAAAAGGCAACAGTGAGTCAAATAGATATATAAGCATCCTAAGTTGGTGTAGATTCAAGTTAATTCAAATCATACAACCCACCTATCCTCCCCCTTTTAGGGATCGATGGGGACCTTTTTTCAATTTAAGTTTTTCAATACTGGATTATTTTTTGCATTTTTAGCAATAGTTCTCAGGCGAGCAATGTGGCCCATTGGCCCCTTGTTATTCTTTTTGAAATCAAGATTTACCCTAAGAAAATCTATATTTTAAGAGCTCCTTTGAACTAGTTGCAGAAATTAACCCTTTACATTTTCTCTGCATTTAGTACATACCAATCAGTTGTACATTGCGTAAAAGATCGATTGGCTTCCTGTACAGTGCAAGACTTTGACAGTCTTTTAAGGCCCTTGGTGGCAGGTGTATACAAACAGAAGATTTCACCATTATGTCAAGGTATATGTTATCTATATATCCTCCTAAAGAATAGTATAAAGGTGTAATACATTTTTCATTTTTCAATAACTTATTGCTAACTAATAATTCATCGGAATTACATGTAGCTAGAATATGAACTATCCAAAAAAATCGCCCGTTTGACAGGGGGGAGGGGTTAATAGCTACAACATTCATAAATAACTATACTTAAGAAACTATTATTTATTTTTAGTAAATGATGTCTTAGCTCCTGCCTGCACAATAGAAAGTGTCATAATAGACAATGCTGATATATACTGTAAATCACCACTGGCAGTTCTCCAAGCTTCATGTAGTTTAACGTCGTGAGTATTTTTAGTTTGATAAAGTGTTACTAGATATTTTGAAAATACTTTGGTTTGACTCGTGCCTCCATCCAGCCATTTTCAAGTAATGAGCAGGGGTGAGCTGAATTAAAAACTTTTGGTTTCCTTTTGTTCCTGAATTTTCGAAAGAATTTTTTTAACAATGGTAATTTTCATTCTTATGTCGATACGATATATACAGTGAGCTTGAGATAAAAGATACCACAGAGTCTGACACATCTAATACATGTATTTGATTCATATTTAGATATTTTACTAGAAAAAAAGACGTTAATGGTACTCTAACAACCAAACTCAATAATAAATGTTATGACTTTAATTTTACAATCGTTTACTTTCCTTACTTATGCAGCCATATGCCTTCATCACCTGCATACATAGCTAATATATATCTCAGTTGATTCGATACGCAAGAGCATGCTCTCAGAGTATGAACAATTTCTAAAACGGGGTAAATTATTGTCAAAAGTTGGTGAAACAAGTATATCAGCAGTCTCGTTTAAAGTCATCATTTCGTAAGTTCTATGATCTACACAATGACCTTGTCAGCAAATACAATTTATCATTGAGTCAAATGCTGACTGACGTTTTTCACACTAATTGTTAGTCCATTATTTATACACTGAAATGACGATGGATCTTTTCGTTATTTCCGATCATTACAAGGAGCACACGGCGGGTGTGACCGGTTAACAGGGGATGCTCACTCCTCCATGACACCTGACCCTACCTCTGATGTTTTGAAGCTTCGTGTTTTCTCTGCTCATATTTTGTATTGTTTTATGGACTATTGATCTTGAATATTGCTCATTATCTCCATATGATTCTGATCAGTCTTTCAATTTTTTAAGTGCATTGGTAAACATTTCATTTGAAATATTAGCATCATTTTAGAATGATATAGTCAAACCTCTAAAAATCCATATGAAACTTTTTTCATAGTATTATGGCGAATGTAAGAATATTTTTAACAGCGCCATGTTTACAATGTTAACAATTCTAGAGTATTTGACTTTATTCTTATTCACAGGGTTTGCCTTTCAGAAAGGTTCACCGAAGAACGAGTACATACTGTGGAGTTTTTTTTAGCTCTACTGGTCAGAGACCAGAAGAGCTTATGCGACAGTAAGGAGTCCGTCGTCCGTCCGTCCGTCCGTCTGTCTGTCTGTCCGTCCGTCCGTCTGTCTGTCTGTCTGTCTGTCTGTAAACAATTTTTCAAAACGCTACTCCTCCTATAGTTTTGGTCTGATTTCAATATAACTTGGCACACAAGTAGACTACACTAAGATACCTAAATTAGTGCATCGGTTTTTTATTTTGATGAACGATGTTGTCATGGTTACTAAAAATAGAATTTTCTGTGAAATTCATTTAAAACGCTGCTCCTTCTACAGTTTTGGTCTGCTTTCAATATTACTTGGCACACAAGTAGACTACACTAAGATACATAAAATAGTGCATCAGTTTTTGACTTCGATGAACGGTGTTGCCATGGTTACTGAAAATAGAATTTTCTGTGAAATTCCTTTAAAACGCTACTCTTTCTACAGTTTTGGTCTGATTTCAATATAACTTGGCACACAAGTAGACTACACTAAGATACATAAAACTCATAAAACAGTGCATCAGTTTTTGATTTTGATGAATGGTGTTGCCATTGTTACTAAAAATAGAAATGTCTGTGAAATTCTTTTAAAACGCTACTCCTTCTACAGTTTTGGTCTGATAGCAATGGCTTCTTTTCTCATACTTTGTTATAAGTACAAACCAGTAGAGTACAGTCTCGACAGAGACTTCTGGTTTCAGTTACACCTTATCACATTTTCCTTTCTTGCCTTTTTTGGTCAATGACCAGAAAAGCTTCTGCGATAGAAAGATGTCTGTGGCACAGTCTGTCCGTCTGTCTGTCTGTAATCAATTTTTGAAATTGTTGCTCCTCCTTCAGTTTTTTCCCATTTTTATTATAAATTGGCACACAAGTAGACTACACCAAGATAAATAAATCTATTTATCGGTTTTTGATTTAATGAATGGTGTTGAATAGAAATGTCTTTGATTTTTTTAGTGCTACTACACATACAATTTTGGTCTGATTTTAATATATCCTGGAACACATTTTACATCTGATTCAGATGTTTGAGATGATATTAGACAGCCACGAGCACCAATATCTTATCATTTTCTTACCCTTTAATTTGTTTCTTTTAATGTTACTAAAATTGTTTCAGGACATTGAAACAAATTTTTAACCTGGTTGTGACGCGAAAATTTGGCCTCAGACGAAGATCTAGATCACTTCCGGTTTAATGAAATTTTGTCGAAACGCGAAACGCCCCAGGATATTGTCCAAAAGGTATCTGTGATGATGCACTGTCAAATCACCGGATCAAAATCCTGTTGAATACATTTGAGATTTTTTCTAAGGAATGTCAAAGCACCCCCTCCACACAATTTCAACGGTTTAGAAAGATCCATGCAATAGGTGTGGCAGTAGATGGTTCAGTATCTTATTCATGGGTATACATGACATCCATAAGAAAAGGATGTCTTGCAGTAATTAAAGGGAGTGGTGGTGTTATTCCATACAGATTATTTTATGTGAATTTTAATATTGAGGCTACATCATGTCCTTGACACTTTGCTTAAAATTCTGAGGAGATTCTTACACGAAATTTACGCAACATCGAACTGAAATATGCAGAATTAATGAAATTATTTATTGTGTACATTTGTTTTTTAAAACTTAAATAATGTTGTATTACTTGGCACACAACAGACTACATTTAGTTATTTTATTCTGTGTATCGGTGTTTGATTTTAAAGGCTGGCGTTTCCATGGTTACTGAAAAATAGAAATGTCATTTTCGAAATGCTACTCCTTAAGTTTTTGTCCGATTTCAATAACTGTTACCGAGAAAAAGGCTAAACCTAGCATATTTTTTTGAAATCTTTTGCTGTTGCAAAGTATCAAGTTCAAATGCTTCTCTTCCTCCTTTTTAAGTATGAACCAGTAGATCTAGAGCTACAGTCTCATCAGAGACTTCTGTTTTCTCTTTTCCCTATTCTCCCAATTTTTGGGTTCATCCGAACTATTATCTCAGAAACCCAAATTAACCCTTTTACTTTCATTAATAGACCTCATAACATTTATTGCAAATACTTCACAAACTGTACCTTTTTTGAAATCATAAAAGATAAATTATTTATGTTCATTATTTATTTAATACCATACTTTGTAGAAAACGTTTTGTATGCTCATTTTTACAAATATGCACACATTTGTTACTTTAGACAAATTTTGAAATACTTTCTTATAGCGTCAGTATGTACGTGGGATGTATTTCGAGCACAATGAGCATGTTTAACAACACGTGCACAGAAGATGAAGTTCGCTCTGCTATGATCAACGCAACGAATTATTTTGAAAAACTGTTTCCAGGGGAGGGCCTTAACATATCCAAGTGTATAGAAAGTAAGCAAGCAATTCTATAATCGTATACAGAAATGGGCGGAAATTTTTTTCTGTAATCATGTCTCCTGGCTGAAAAAAAAAAATGCACACATTGATCTTTTGGTATTTTTTTCTGTGCTTGTTACTTTTTATAAATCTACATAAACATTTCACATCTTTGTCAGAAAAGATGGTATAATTTAATCTGAACATGGACATTGATTAGAATAGCGAAAGTTTTATGTTTTATTCCAAACATGAAATACATTGGATTTTGTATTCGGTATCATGATATTAAGTTTTAACCACTGCGAATATTAAAACTTTGTAAACGTAAAATGTGGAAGCTTAGTTTAACAAAGAAATTGTAGCATGTCTACATACGAGGGGTGATCAAAAAGTTCACAAACTAATTGAATAACTTCCATACAAGAAACAATATTTGGTTTTAATGTTGATTATATTTTAAATTAATCCTCCCCGATTTTAATGCACATCAACCACCGTTCTGCACATGCGCGAATCACGTGATATTGGCGGTCACGTGACCCCCTCCATAGCGTTCTGTCACAAAAGTTAAAAGATTTTTCCGAGTTTTATATTTCTTTCCATGTGAGTTAATTTTTATGACAAGAACAGTTAATTTGTCAGAAATGGTCATATCTCGGCAACAGAATGGGTGGATAATAACATCCTTTCCAAAAATAAGCATGGCGACCATTAAAACACAAATCTTCTGTCTCAGGAGAGACCTTTATTCAAGGTGGATAGTTTTGTGTGCATCCTTTTTATCATATCTAATATGTTTAAAATCTAAAGTAAACGATATCTTAGGTATTTAATACTTATATCATTGTTCAAACATTCAACTATTTTTCAAAGTGCTAATTGGAGGTCTTTGATAGCAAATTGCTTAATTAAAAATACATATCTTTTCAAACTTGCTTTCACTGGGCAAGATGACAAGTATCATTTTTAACCATCAGCCTTCCTTCACTAAAACGATTAATCCAATCATTAATTGAATTTATAGGAACTCATTTATCTCAATAAACTGTGTACAAATTATTATATGATACTGTAGAGGGATTTCTAAGATATTACAATAAATTGTACAGTCGTTTGGTGAACGAGTTCGACTGAGACAACCATTTTTCGTCACAAGTGACCTAAATAGTGACGTCATTTTCAAATTGTGACGTCACAAACAAGGAGAGAAACTTTATTCAGCATATGCTATTTATAGACCTTGTGTATGGCTATGTGTGTACCGAATTTCATTCTAATCTGAATTGTGGTTTTGTAGATATAGAGATAGTTTGCGAACTTTTTGATCACCCTCGTATCCTTTTAAGTATAACCTGATGTGTAAAATAGATCAGATTGAAAACTCTAGTTTATTCAGTTGTGTACATGTCAACTGGACCACTCTTGCACCCCCTCCCTAAAACACTTACTTGGGCTCATGAAAATTATTGATTTGATTTGATACTTTTACTAAAATAAGGCACAACTGTATTCTTAAATGTAATGTCTGCTGAAGTTTTAATTAAATGCCTTTTATAGCGCAGGAAAAGGGAAATTGCACAGTGGACAAAGAATTCTTCAGTACACCAGGATATATACGCTGTATTGCTCCATTTCATTATGGAATGACATCTGGGCGTGGTGGTAATTTAACTGAAACAAAATGCAGGTAAAAAAAATTAAAAAAGAGATTGACTGACTGAATTTTTACGAGATCAATGTTAAACAATTAAAGGCAAACTATTAACTTAAACAATTAAAGTAGCGACATTAACTCTTGATATTAACTTTTTTCATCTTATCTTTACAGGTTGATAAACTTCTGTTTATACAACTAAATAATTTACTGACCTGCTAATTATATTTGATAACAATATAAAGTAGTTTACAAAATTAAAAGCAATTTTCACAGACAATATATTTTCAAAATTTAAGGATAAATAACACAAACTTTTTTTTCAGAAATCAGCAATATTTCTCATAGATTTACATTTAAATTGGTAACCTGAATAATGTTTACCAAGTATATTGGGAGAATTTTATAAGATTTTGTCATAAGGTTAAAAAGTTGGAATTACATAGAAAGCAAAACAAAGTCTCATATCTAAGCACCAAGGAAAACCTACGATTTCTTTTTATTTCAGGGATTTATTATTTACGTCATTTCAAATCAGAATTAGTCAAAAATATGTATCAATCAGCGCATTAAGTTTTGTTTGTTTTAAGAACCGTTAATGTACAATTATAACTGGTTTAATTCACATGACTTGTGTTTATATTCATATCAACCCTGTAGATCCATGCGTAATTCATATCAATTCTGGAGGTTGATACGACTTTTGTGAGATCAGCTTCAATGCAATACAAATTACGATACGTTTATGTTCTATTGATCTAGATATATTATAGCTGCTTGTTTCTTTTTAACTCAGAACTTACCAGAGGAGCTTAGAATGCACCAGTAAACTTAACCCAGCCTGTTCTCTCAAGGATTATGACGCAATGATTTCGTTATACTATAAATCTTTAGAAACTCCTTTACTAGATCCGTCAGATTGTCCAAGTAAGAATTTTTTATTTTTTAGAATTACAAAAAAAATATTTTTTAAAATAGCACAAAAAGTGTATGTTTTTTTAAAAAGTCATCTAGACTGCATGTTAATTAAATGCATCCATTGCACTTCAAAAAAAAAACCAACGAGATAATATTATCAAAAGTAACAAAAAAAATAAAAGAACTGCATATTTTTTTTTGTTTCAGTGAACAGGAGTCTTCCTAACTTCTGTACAAGTACAAATGAGATCATGTATATAGTCAGTGTTTTCTGCCGAGACCATTTTGAATGGATTAGGGACTTCTGCCCCCATTCAATGTAAGATGTACTAACAATGTAGTTAAGGTATATCGTTATTTACTTGCACATGTACATAAACCAAGAAAGTCAGATAAAATTAAACAATAAAAAATAAATAAATAAAGGTATGTATGTGTACTTCAGCTGTTCGAAAAAAGGTTTTTAATCTGTCCGTAATATGCATACTCTATAATTTGATGATGTTGTGACTTAAGTTTTCTTTTAAAAAATCAAAACCTTTATGCTCGTTGTTCTTAATCATCATTTATTTTTATTTAACTCGAAAATTACAGAGATAATTTTATGGAATGTGTTGCAAACTGGACATCAAGAACGGCATATGAATGCGACGAGAACATTATCATGGAAGTAATCTCTAATGATCAGATGTTTTATAACAGTATTCTCCCTGGATCGGGGTCTGCAATCACTGCGTGTATATCACGTATGTATCTCTGAAGTCAATGGATATGCAGTGTTAGAAAGTGAAAATTATCTATAGATTTTTTTCAATAATCTGCTAAACCCTGATTCACTATAATTGTTTTGTCCGTAATTTTTCTTGATATATATAAGAAGGAAAAATTTATTTTTTTATTACAGAATTTCTATCCAAGAGGAGAGGTAACGTTTTTCATTATTAGTAGTATTGATTTTAAAATTGTTTCTGATAAAGAGATTTTAGTAATTAACGTGACAGTCAAAAGCTGCATCAGGTTGCTGCAGTACAATGTACTATTTTTGCAATATGTGTACTTTATTTTAGTGAAGAGACTGGCGTTCACGATAAAGATGATGTCTGGCTTCTTTTGGGACGATTCCTTGCTGAATCCAGATTCTTCTTATTTTCAAGATTTAAGTAAAATCATCGCTGGAAATGTAAGCTAAATATTAGATATTCTTTCGCTATACATGTAAGTTACTGCAATGTTTTGGAAGAGAACTACTAACAACACTTTTTTGCAGTTTGAGAAAACCTTTGGTGCGGTCCCAGGATTTCTTAATATTTCTGTGTCCTCTTTTAGGTAAGATGAGACTGTGGATCGGCTATTGTGCATTACTGAAATAGTCATTAAAATGCATCTTGCTGTTTTCTTTTACAGGAAAGATACAAAATATTTGGACATGGCTCTGAGATATGATAGTTCTATGTTGTCAGGAGTTGATTTTATGGATGCGATCCAGTTGGCCGTTCAGAACCGGACAATTGATCAACTTCAAGTGGAAAACTACTTCTTGTACAGAGGAGGTATAAAATAAGCTTTTTTTAGCCGGGCTTTGCTGAAAGCAAAGTCCTGGCTATAGGCATCATGATCGACTGTCTTACTATAAATAGCACAGTAAACAAAAAACCAAACAGCGTCAAAGCAGACGCTTCTGATAAACAAAATAGTCCCATTGCGAGACGATATTGAAACAAATATTTTTAACATCCCAATCGTTGGAAAAGTTAATGATCAATATTTTTGCTTGATAATTAAACTCAAAGATAAATTTGATATTTTTGATTTATTGGGACATAATCGTGATATAACAATTTGTGCACATACACTGCTGAATGCATATTGTAAGCGAACTATTTTCAATAGCGCGGGCTTTTCGAAATGTTGAAATTGTTGAAGAGTTTCATGTTTCGATGTTATGTTAGTGGCTATATCCTGATTTGATTTTAAGCAAATTAATAGTATAGTGAATTGGAATTTTTAGAATAAACATGCGTGAAGTCGCTTGCCAATGTACAAGTATCAGTGTTTCTACATGTAGTTGGCGATAAAAGTACTGTTTATTTGAAACTAAAAGAATGTCTAGAAAATACACTTGTGCATTATTTTAACTTTTCCAAGACTGAATTTTTAAATCATGAGAAACAATGCTTATTGAATAGAAGATACGTGAGAATTTCTTGGAAATATTATTTATTAAATTTTAAAATCATAACGTATCTTGCATTGGGGTCTGGACTGTAAATTTTAATTACTGGTATATGAGATATTGTTTTAAATTATAATCATACAAACTCTACCTGTTAAAAATCATTGGCCAAAGGAAAAAAATTACATATGTACTAATTTCAGATCAGACAATATACTCGAGCAATTAAAGCCCGGCTTTCAGTTCTTTCAATACTTTGATTAAAATATTGTGATCTATTTGAAGTAAGTGACGCTTTTTTTAAGTTAAAACCTTCTTAATTGAAAATGATCTTCATTAGATTTTGAATGCAAACACAATAAAATTACAGAGCTAAAGGATGGCGAGTGTCCTACTTTACAGAGCAAAGGGGATTGTCTGGAAGAATGTCAAATGGACAGTAACTGCACAGGGTCTGAGAAATGTTGTTATAATGGGTGCGGGTATACCTGTCAAAAACCAGGTAAATGTTAACTCCTTATAATTAGATGCATAAATCAGAAGGAGAGCTTTCTGCATACGTATACTGAGTATATGGAATCCCTTGTGATATAAATTTATGGCTAATGCTGTATACGTATGTGAACACTTTTTCTTTCCTAAGTTTCTGGCATCCATCCTTGTGAAGACTACGAGCTTTTAGGACAGTCAGGAGAACAGTGTTCTGGGGCTTTAGCTCAAAATCTGACATCAGCTTCTAACAGAGAACAGTTCTGCCTGTAGGTTTCTCACAGAGTTTCTTATCTCTTAAATGATCGAAAAATATCAAAACTGCCAAAAAGCCTTGTAGGTGCGAAAGAATCTCTCTCTCTGTATATAACTTAATTAATAGTCTTTATAAATACTTAAAAAAAACATTGTTATCTATTATTTTTCTGCTAAATGATTTTCACACTTTTGGTTACAATTACCCATCAAAGAATGTTCTTTTAAATGTTGAATTATACGGTTACATGCATATGCTTTGTATATCAAATTAAATTCTATAATGTGTTCAACATTGTTTATATTTTTAGCGTGTCTGAGAAGTTCCTGAATTGTGTATACGAAGGCATTTTGAAAGAAACAAATGTTCAATGCTCGAAAGATCAACTCATTACAGCTCTGAAAACATTTGGACCTGTAATGAAATCAGTGATGAACCTTCAGTCTAATCCTGCTGAGTGTATGTAAATATTTTGTTTATAAGAGCTTTAACATCAGCATAGTTTTGTATCATTTTGTCATAAAAATAATTAATTATATGACTCCAGCCTTTCTTAACTTATTTTTCATAATGGGTAAAATATGATCAGCCAATTTTCCCTTTTAAGTTTTGGTCATTTTTTTCTCTGGATAGGTACGTTTAATATGTAATATATGTGGTCTGCATTACTTTTTTTTGTTAGATACTACATAGGAAGGAAATAAATATATAATCCCCCATGGTTTATGATTGGATATAATTTTGCCTTTCAGCTATTGGCACACAAAGCTATTTCATGATTGACACAGTTTTTTATTTGTAATTTCGAATCCATCTTGATAAAACGTCATTGTGCATCGCAACCATGGATGTGAAACAATATCAAATGAGCTATATATTCTCTTTTAAAAGGTGTAAACATGCTAAAATTAAATACACAACATTTATTGAAAAAAAAGAGGATTCATTTCACACACGGAGTATTTTCCCTCGATACAACTGTTCAACTGTTGAACAAGGCCTGACTTTTGTATCAATACAAATAAACCGTCATACTAAAGAACTAGATTACTAATGATATAATTGGAATCGTCGCAAGTTTAGGGAAAACGTAGAAAGTTTCTCTTAAAAAGACAACAAAAATAGATATTTTGACAGAAAACAAGTAGATAAAGAAATTATATTTTAAAATTATTATTTAAAATATTCTAAAACTGTAAATTGTTTCTATAAGGTAGGCTCTTTTCAAAAACCCGTAAAAAATTGTTCTAAATGTTTTATAGAATTTCAACAAACAAAAAAAATATAAATACAGCCTAAATGTATTTTTTCATGATCGAAAAATGATTCTCAATTTACCAATCAACTGCTTATTTCATATACAATAGTTTAATTTTTATAGCTGATGGTTGTAGTGTACGGTTCTTCATTTTCAGGTTACGAAGACTTGACTTCACGTAAGTATGATATACATGTAAACATCGGTCAAAGATATAGATGTACAATAAGTACCTTGTGATATGGAAACTTAATTAAGATACAGAGGTGCAGTGTTATTTTAATTGAGTTTAATATAAAAACATAACAAAGAAAAAGGAGTGCATTGTTTTCTCAGTTGTAATGTACAAATCTTGTAGAATATAAAAAAGCACTGTTCTCTTAATCATGTGTGATGTAAGAGTGGTGTCAAGGCAATATTTTCTAATATTGCATAATATAAAACCAGTTACATGTGTCAATCCAATGCTCTTTAATTAAGTGTGATATAAACTTTGTAGAGACACAGGTGTCGATTCAATGTTCCTTTATTACCGGCCGCCAGGAGGCGGTCGGTTATTTGATATGAAAGTTTGAAGTCGTCGTGCGTTTCTGCGGAGTTAAAACAATTTATTAAATAAAAATATTTAACATTCATATTATAGAATATTAAACAAAGATTGTCTAAATGTTTAACAAAAAGCACAATAATCATACAGTTAAATTTTTTATAAATAATGGGTAAATGTTTCATCCAATCCTGATTGTCAAACTGTGACATGACAGAAGTGCGGAAAAAATTAGCAAGAGTGTTAGGAATAGTCTAAAACAAAGACCGCATCGTATATCAACAATTTTACTTTCTCTTTTTAAACAGGATTTATTGTATTTATTTTAAAATAACGTGCATATTCATACATTTCCTATGGAAATTTTTCAAAAAATATGATGAAATATTGTTTTCTTAAAAGCACAGAATCTTAAGAGATTTTGGTCCAGGTGACAAGGATAAAGCGCGTTTTACAATGTGCCTTGGCATTTCCCGCCACATCTCAACACCAAAACAAAGAGAAAATGTAGTGTTGGATCTAAAGGGAGTTGGGGAGGGGGGTGGTGGTTAACATCTTATGAGAGCTAGCGAGGAGCCCACATATTTATTGCGTTTTTATGAAAGTAAAGCTACATCTATAGTTATAGCTAAGTTTAAACTTTAGTTTTGTACTTTTTAGGTAAAAACTATACATAAACATCAAACTTCCACCGAGATCTATATATAGTTTGCTTATACATGTAATATTCATGAAGAATATCGTCAATGTCGTAGGAAGTCTTTCATGTCAAGGAGATATTCAAACAGATAAATAAAAGAAATTTTGATAACAGGAACACGCAAATTTCAGTTTCTATAATTACTTCATGAAAGGAACAATTAATTGATCTGCGGCCGATTTTTGACGCTTGCGTCAATATATGTTTCTTGTTTAGTGTGATATAAAAACCTTATAGAGATAGAGGACAATCTCTCACCAGAGGGCGTTTTACGCGTCCGCTCCAACAAGCGGAGCGCGCCCTCTGGTGAGAGATTGAGATAGAGAAGTCAATTCAATGTTCTCAAATAAAGTGTGATATATCGACATGCAAAGCTCAAATCATTAAATGTTATATCAAAATCTTGTCAAAATATAGATGTGCAATGACACGCCTGCTATTCGATCAGTTGCACAACCAGCAGTTGTGTAAAACAATCAATAAAGAGATCGATTTCCTGTCATGCATTTGATGCGAATAACTCCAGTAGTAAATTGATAGTAAATTGACCCGATTCAGGCAATAATTGATATTTTTATTAAAATATAAGAATTTGATTCCTTGAGCAATTTATTTTTCTTTATTGTGACACGATAGCGGTGTTTTTCTTTGAAGTTTACTGTTCTGTATTAGCAATACAGAACGGGACTGTGGTGGGCGGAGCTACTTTCCGTTCTGTATTAGCCCTGTATACAGTATTGTATTTGCCAACTATTCTGTATCTAAAATACAGCACGGTCTAAAAATAAATCTGATTCAATTTAGCAAAAGCACATACAAATAGTAAATGCTGATTTTTTCCGATTATAAATTTTGGAGAAATACCCAGTATTTTCCTGAGAATGTAAAATGTCAAAATTTCTCAATCACTTTTTTAAACTTATTCCACACAGAATTTACACGTAATTTCGATCCAAAGTAAAATGAAAATTCGCAATAACGGAAAACATCCTCTATACGTAATTTCGATCCAAACGAAACGGAAAATTCGCAATAACGGAAACAACCACTCTCCTCGTGCAAAATCATTTAAGTCCATTTTTTCCGCGTTTTTATTTTTTAAAATCCTTCTCGCAGACGACAGTCACACATCTCTTTCTTTTCGTTTTGAATGCCGCAATTCAATTTGAAAATAAAATCCGTGGCATCAAAGTCCATCGAAGAATTTTCTGTAAATCCTGTCTTTGTTTATCTAGTTAAACCGGGATTTTAAGACCCCTGAAATAAATTATGATAAATCTCCATCTACAATAGATCACAACAATGACGGTTAAATCCTCCAATTTATTAATTAAGACTGACTATCACTCGATTACGTCTACCCCGTTAAATTGTCAAAACTAATGTGACCGAATTTTACGTTTTCCGTGGAAATATATATACTGCGGATGCGTACTCCCCGTCGGGGCCTCATCTACAGAACTGGCGGACCGGAAGTTTGGATGCTGCAAAGTTATAAAGTGGGCGGAGCTATTTTTGATTGATCGTGTCACAAATCATTTAGAGAACTCGACAGGTTCTGTATCGTAGCTATACAAATTTGGGGGTGGAGACTCGTGCTGCGCACTCGTATCCATCCCCAAATTTGTATCTACGATACAGAACCCGTCTCGTTCTCTAAATAATACATATTACACTCTCATTAAATGCATTGACTGTCGATATTTATTTTGAAGCAAGGGCTGGTAGAGCGAAAAGGCCCATTGAAAAAAGTATTTGCCTAATAGGATTCATGTTAATCTTACCTAACCTTAAAAATTCAATGTTCACCATGAGTATGCAACAAGTGCATCCTATCCATCGAAATTTGAACTTCGAATTGTGTATTATTTGACAAATATTCGAAGTAAATAACATTGCCCATGCATGCGATAATTCAGTTGTGAAAGAGATTTCGGATTATGCATGAGATAAAGGACAAAAAGTTTCAAACTTCATAAATAAAACTAAACAATAATTATAACGTAGTCTTCCAAAATTTTAAAAATAAAATTATAGGATTTTCCTGCAAACAAGTTGAATTTGTGAAAAAAAAAAGATAAAATAAGTAAACTGTTGAAGTAGATCTGTTCTTTTTTTTTTTTTTTTTTTTTTTTTTTTGAGGGGGGGAGGTTAAAATGTCAGTGACAATCAATATAACTACATTAAATTCTTTATGTGTGAATTATTTGCATCATAAATCGTTTGTGAATTTTTTAGCTTAAAAATCCAACGCATCTTTTATATGCCTATTATGCAAAAAACAGCATATTAACTTCTTTCAGTACCAACTTGTTTTACTCAAACATACCTTACCTTTATTTGACTGTACTGTAAGAAAAGTGGGAAGGAAAAATAAATTGCTCATGGAATCATATTCTTATATTGTAACAAAAATATCAATTATTGCCTGAATCGGGTCAATTTATTAATTACCTGTTTACTGGAATTATTCGGTTTATTCCCACTTAGCCAAAATTCTGAATTTCTTATTCCCATCTAGCCAAAATTGGGATTTTCACACCTGAGTGGTCACCTGTGTATAGTCTGTTTTATTAACTGTACTTCTTACCTGTGATGTACAAGTTCAATATCAAAACACATATCATAAATGTTTGATTTATAGCATAATTATTAATTAATCAGGTTCAAAAATAAATAAATAAATAAAATACATACCGGTGCATTTATATCAATATCATTTTTAAATATGTAAAGAGAATGAAAAAAAAATGATTTTCTTGAGAATAAGTGAGAAAAAAAAAATAATTCACCCATTTACAGAGAGATTTTTTTGACAATACACTAAAATTATTTAATGCATTTGGATCATTACTTAATTAAATCTTTCCGATAAAGAGATTATACTCAGAAAGAAAAGAAAAAGAATTGAGTTTATTAAGTTACTTTGCAGAAATATTTGTACTAAATAGGAATTACATTTAAACATGTACTATAAAAAAATTAATTGATGGTAAAAATATAATAATTATAATCGGGTTTATATACTTTACTAGAAATACATAAAGTGCCCATGCAAAACTTATATTTAATTCTTATATAAATATTTTTTTTTCTTTTTCTTATTTCCCATGTACATGTATAAACATTGACAGTTGTAGCATTTTACGCTGAAAACCTCATAAGTTGTTAGAACTTGTTTTCAAACCATTTGTATAGTATTTATTCAATAAAATATGTTCAAACCAATTCTTAATGCACAAAAAATGTTTGGATGATAAAATAGAGTATCTATTAGAGAATATCTTGCTTTAACATATTTTTCAAACAAAACAGTTTAATATAAGCATAATTATTTATTTCTAAAAAGTTTATTTAAAAGTAAAAATTTTATGTACATATTAATTTATCAGTCATCTTATTCATGTGTTTCCATAAATGTGATATTTTATTTTAATAAATTATTTATAATATATATATTATTTAATAATAGAATTATTCGCATTTAAGTTTAAACACATGATTACAGTACATAGATTCAAGATTTCAAAGACATTCATAATACCGTACCTTTCATTCAAATGTATTATTAAAATATCTGTGATACAAAGTATATTAAAATTGGTACTTAAAATTTTTAATAATTTTTTTAAAAAATCAAATTAAAAAATGCATAATATAGAAAATAAAAAAGAATACAAATCGTTTTACCGTTTACAAATTTAAAAAAAAAAAAATTAACTTAATTTGCAATATCAGCATTTAATAAGTAAATTTTAACCTATTTCTTGTGGTTAATCTTAAACAGACTATAGGTCACCTGTAATTAATTTCTTTTGTTCTCTCCCTCCCCCTACCTGTACACCATTCCCATCCAGCCAAAACCAGTCGGTTTATTCCCACTTAGCCAAAATTCTGAATTTCTTATTCCCATCTAGCCAAAATTGGGATTTTCACACCTGAGTGGTCACCTGTGTATAATCTGTTTTATTAACTGTACTTCTTACCTGTGATGTACAAGTTCAATATCAAAACATATCATAAATGTTTGATTAGACACCAATTATTCGCATCAAATGCATAACCGGAAATCAATCTCTTTTGATTGTTATACACAACTGCTGGTTGTGCAACTGATCGATTAGCAGCTAGGCGTGAATGTGTTCTATTAGTAAGTAAGTAAGTAAGTAAATATTTTATTATAGTGACATGTGTATATACAGTTATTTTTTAACATTCGTTATACAATTAAACATAATATATGTTCAACACCCGGCCCATCGGACCTATAAGTCACTTTTAACAATTTATATACATTACAATTTACATGCGTGTGATTTTTCTTTGTCTTAAATTATAGGCTTTATAAATAAAATTTGCAGATTGACGAGGGAAGTGAGTTAACAGATATTTAAAGAGAACATTTAAATCATTATATTGTAAATTTGAAATTCCAATATTTCCTAGAAAGTCCATTTACAGTCAAAATTTCTCACTCTGGATAAACACCATGTCATGTCTACTAACGCATGCGCACTATTAATGAAGGGTAATATAAAAACTTTATAAAGATATAAGTGTGTAATGTCCTCTTTATTAAATATGATATGAAAACTTTGTTGAAATATATGTATGTAATATTCACCAAGGAATCAGAGATAGTGTTACACAATAACATGTAATGTAACGTGTTCTCTTCAGAAACAGCAAAAACAAAAACGAAAAATAAGGTTTTGTGAAACTATTTATTCTCCTCTTATTATACATATTTTCAGAAATGTCAACAACGTTGGAATTTACCACCCCTCAAACATTGACAGACTCTTCTACAACACCACAGTCTGTTTTATTACGATACTGTCGAGACAGTAATACAATTATTTCAAAAGGTTGGAGATGTGTTGTTCCTGCAGTAATGAATATTACAACAGCCAAGAATTTTGCCGAATTTTGCAGGTAAACTCTCGTTCATTCTAATTCTTTGTTTAAAAAATTGTTTGGTTGCCCTCTCCCGAGCGACTGACTAAAATGGCCCGAATCAAAACTTTTAATTCACCTGTATTCCAGGATACGACATTTTTAGCTCACCTGAGCCGAAGGCTCAAGTGAGCTTTTCTGATCACATTTTGTCCGTCGTCCTTCCGTCCGTCTGTCTGTCTGTCCGTCTGTAAACTTTTCACATTTTCGACTTCTTCTCAAGAACCACTGGGCCAATTTTGACCAAACTCGGTACAAAGCATTCTTAGGTAAAGGGAAATTTAAATTGTTAAAATGAAGGGCCAAGTCCCCTCACAAGGGGAGATTCTAAGAAACGACTAAAATAGGGTGGGGTCATTAAAAAATCTTCTTCTCAAGTACCACTGGACCAGAAAAGCTGAAAGTTATGTGGAAGCATCCTGGGGTAGTGTAAATTCTAAATTGTTAAAATCATGATCCTCGGGGATAGGGCGGGGCCACAATGGGGAATCAAAGTTTCACATAGAAATATATAGGAAAAATCTTTAAAAATCTTCTTCTCAAGAACCACTGGTCCAGAAAAGCTGAAAGTTATGTGGAAGTTTCATTGGGTAGTGTAGATTCTAAATTGTTAAAATCATGACCCCCGGGGATAGGGCGGGGCCACAATAAAGTTTTACATAGAAATATATAGGAAAAATCTTTAAAAATCTTCTTCTCAAGAACCACTGGGCCAGAAAAGCTGAAAGTTATGTGGAAGCATCCTGGGGTAGTGTAAATTCTAAATTATTAAAATCATGACCCCCGGGGGTAGGGAGGAGCCACAATGGGGAATCAAAATTTTACATAGAAATATATAGGAAAAATCTTTAAAAATCTTCTTCTCAAGAACCACTGGTCCAGAAAAGCTGAAACCTATGTGGAAACATCCTGCTATATTCTAAATTTTTCAAATCATGACCCCCGGGAGTTGGGCGGGGTCGCAATGGAGAATCAAAGTATTACATAGTAATAAAAATTGAAAAATCTTTGTGAAAGTCTTCTTCTCAAGAACCACTGGGCCAGAAAAGCTGAAAGTTATGTGGAAGCATCCTGGGGTAGTGTAGATTCTAAATTGTTCTAATCATGACCCCGGGGGTAGGGCGGGGCCACAATGGGGAATCAAAGTTTTACAATGTTGAATCAAAGCATCCTATGGTAGTATAGATTTTAAATTGTTTAAATTATGATCATTTGGGTAGGGTGGGGTCACAATATGTATTACAAGGGGAAATCTGGTAAAGAACGGAATGGTCAAAGCTTCTCAGGTGAGCGATGTGGCCCATGGGCCTCTTGTTTTAAATTTCTAATATCGTAGACAAATATGTTGACGTTTTCTGGAAAAAAAAATTTTTTCCACCTACCTACCAAACGAATAATTTTACCCATGAGTTGAGATGGGGCAAGTAAACATTATTTTTAAAGACGGTCCAATCATTGAAATTTGATTGATTGATTGATTGATTGGTAGTATATTGTTTAACTACATCTCGAGAATTTTTCACTCATATTGAGAAGCCACCACTTGCCGGTAGCTAGCTACACATTTTGTCTTATACTCGACACTCAGGACCATTGAGCAGTGGGGAATCTTTTTCGTGCCAGCACCTAATATGACACGGGACCTCGGTTTATACGGTCTCATCCGAAGGACCGGTCTCCACGTCCCACAGTGGGATTCGAACCCGCGACTTAAGGATGAACCCTTTACTTTGCGACTCTAGAGCAGACGCTCTAACCATGCGCCACGCGGGCGACTATTGTAATTTGAAGATATAACCTTATGACAACATTTGATTTAAAACTTTTATATCTTTTTACAGCTTTGTTGATATGGTTTATATATGTATAATGGATGGAGTAGCGGCTGAATACAACTTGACATGCAGACAAAGTGATAAAGAATTTGCTATCCATTTGTTTAGTCCTATGTTTAAGACTGCATTCAACTTGGAGTATAATCCAGGAAGCTGTGAGTATGTTTAATTCAGTATAATCCAGGAAGCTGTGAGTATGTTTAATTCAGTATAATCCAGGAAGCTGTGAGTATGTTTAATTCAGTACAATCCAGGAAGCTGTGAGTATGTTTAATTCAGTATAATCCAGGAAGCTGTGAGTATGTTTAATTCAGTATAATCCAGGAAGCTGTGAGTATGTTTAATTCAGTATGATCCAGGAAGCTGTGAGTATGTTTAATTCAGTATAATCCAGGAAGCTGTGAGTATGTTTAATTCAGTATAATCCAGGAAGCTGTGAGTATGTTTAATTCATTGTCGTTCAACAGAATGACTTTCTCCTCCCACCGAGAGCCTTCATCAAAAACTACGGGGAAAAAATTGAAACTTTTGGTGAAATTGGCACTTGATATAGTCTTAGACAAAATCTCTCATGTACCAGCAAGGAACATTCAATTTTGAAAAATTGTTGGCGACGTAATAAATATATTATATTGAAAACAATGTTAACTGAGGTAAAACAACTTTATAGAGAATGCAAATTATTGTCCTTACGGTTTTTCAACGAAAATTTGTGTTTTTATGCTTATACTTTTTTTTTTAAAAGATGAAAAATGTTAAGAATAATACATTTACGAATTCAATACATGCATGATATTCCTTAGAAAAGGTTTGTTGTAAAAAAGCATCTTTAATCTAGAGAAAATGTATGTTAAATCCTTTTAAAATAAATAATATTATTCCTGTAGTTTTGATATTATTTCAAACATATTTTGTTCGTGTTTAGACTCCTATTTCCATAGTTTTGATTTTATTTTAAGAAGATTTTTTGCGGTTTTAAACCAAACTTTGATGCAAAATTTTATGTATAACTGTTTTTATTCGACAACAATATTGCCATGGTTATTAAAGCATGCTTTTTTGAAATCCTTTCAAAACGCCTCTCCTCCTAGAAACCTTTAATTTAGTCTCGTTTTAATTAATTTTAACTCATTTTAAATTCATTAAAACTCGTTTTAATTTAAGATTTTCTTTTTTTTCAATATACTAATCACTTCTAAGGTTTTGCTTTAAGAAGATAGGCGAACAAGGCGTGCAGAATGCATTTAGATTCAGATATTAAAAATATCATAATCAATTGCAATTTCTGAATTAATTATTAAAAATAAATTATCTTTATTGAAATTTATGAAACTATGTTAAAAAATGTTTACATATATACATGTACGTGATTTCTTTGTGCTTTCTATATAAATATTTCTTCACTTAGGACATTCAAGTTAGTTTAAGAGCTGTTGATAAATGAGCTTTCTTAATAAAAATTAATTTCATTACAATGTGTTTCTGTAACGATACTGTAATAAAAGTAATGTCCGAAAAACTTGATCTCACTTCTATTCTCAATGACCGTGTAGTGTAGGATAGCGCCGCGAGAATTCCATCAGCATCAAAAGCAAGTCTTTTGACTTGCCTAGATAGCCGGACGGTCTAGTACTCCGTATTTGTTAGGAGACAGATTCTGTAGGTCAAGAGTTTAAGTTAGTCATATTGTTTACTTGCTTTTTGCAATAGTTTGCCTTTTTTCATTCCATCTAAATCACAAAAAGAATGCTCAGTTAAAATAGAGCACGATTTCTTAAAATATTGAAACATCCCATATATGTATCTTGACGTCTGTTTTTCACTAGAATTGGATTTTTATCATATACAGATTATTTCAGGTTTTGCGCATGAAACCACAATTAGTACTTTTTCATGGATATCAACACAGTTTACGACATCACTACCGTCCATTGCCACCACCATAGCAACAATGACCACGCCCACTACTCCTTCTCCATTATTGGCGAAATGCAGCGATACAGACGTAATTCTGTCCAAAACTTTACAATGTGTTCTCCCAAATTTTGCCAACATCACAGCAGCTATGGACGAAGTGGAATTTTGCAGGTATTTCTCACAATATTATTATATTTTTAGCTCACATGATTAAACACTTCAGCTGAGTTTTTTGGTCAGGTTTTGTCTGGCGTTCTTTAGCAAATCGAATTTTATAAATCTCCTTTTGAAGTACAACATAACAGTGCTGATTCATATTACCAGGTAATATGAAAGCATCCTCAGATGTTATTAATTTAATTTTCATCAAATATGCCCCCCCCCAACCCCGAACCCCGGGAGGTTTTGATTGGGCAACAAAGAAGATATGATTTTGTGCAATAGAAGCAAGTCCAAATTAATTGATAATACTAATAGGCTAGAAGTAGAAACCGAGATCAGATTTTATATAATACTAGTGAAACTTAGAAAAATAATCTCTTTCTAAGCAGCGAGATTATGTCAGTCTTACTAACAACAAACCATCCAAATGTTCCGAAGATTAAAGCTGGTTAAATCTCAATTCATCGAGGCTACATAGAGATGCGATATTGAGTCATTTTTTAATTGCAACAGTCGCCTGCGTGGCGCAGTGTTTAGAGCCTCTGCTCTAGAGTAGCGAAGTAAGGAGTTGATCCTTACGTTGCAGGTTAGACCCAACCTGTGAGACGTGGAGACCGGTCCTTCGAATGAGACCGTATAAACCGAAGTCCCGTGTCGCAGTAGGTGCTGGCATGAAAAAAATCCCTCCCTGCTCAATGGCCCTAAGTGCCGAGCATAGGACAAAATTTGCAGCTCTCCACTGGAAAGTGGTGGCGTCTCCAATTGAGTGAAAAATTCTCTAGAGGGACGTTAATCAAAATACAATCAATCAATCATTTATTGCAACAAAGAAGGAAAACCCTTCGTCTAAGCTCTCCCTTAAAGGCCACTGTGAGTCAAAGCTGATTAAAAAAACAGGAACATAATGAATCAGGTGAGTGTTGTGGCCTGAGCGTTGTGATCCGTGGTGATATTATGTAATTATACTCATTCAATTAGCATAAAAAGCAAAGAAAAAATAATCATTGACTCTTAGGCAGAATCATGCTAATTATGTTACAGAATTAATAACTCGATATTGTATAAAAATGATTATTTATGTTAAAACGTTTGTGTTTCAGAATTGTAGACCTAATATTTGTCTGTATCATGACCGAAATTGGATCAGAGTTTTCTGTCCTGTGCAGAGAAAATGACAAAGAAGTAGCCATAGAATTTTACGGTCCTACTTTGCAGTCCGAGCTAAGCCTGAATTCCAATCCTGTAAACTGTAAGTAAACTGTCATTCATTAAATTTAATAATAATTTAAAATGGCTTCTTTCCCTAAAAAACATACGATGCATCAGAAAATGACAAAATTTAATGCTTTTAAAAGCTGCGAGACGACATTGCATCAGCAAATTTTCATGTAGCTGTTTGATGGCTCAAAAACACTACATATGTAGATCAGGCCTGGGGGCCATAAAACTTAGACGAGCTCACTTTTGATCTCAGTTTCACTTTTCCACTATTAATTCCATTGTAAAAAGTGAGACTGAGATCAAAAGTGAACTCGTCTAAGTTTTAATGCCCCGGAGCCTGAACAATGATGCCTAAGAATATGAAAAAATTATCCAATACATGTACATTAAATTTCAATCTATTCACAGGTTATTTAAAGACTTCGAGCACAGTTACTACGCCCTTGACATCACTATCCTCTGCGGAACCAATCATGACAACAACAGAATCCGTTCAAAGTACCACAGAAGAATTTTCATCCACAACGACGACTTCCCAGAAGTTCGAATCGACGGAAATGACGACTCAACCTTCAAAAATGACTCCAACAACAGTCACACAATCACCGTTCTCTGGCAAATGTCGTGATAAGCAGGAAGTTTTGTCAAAAGGCTGGCAATGTGCGTTGCCATTATTTGTAAATGTAACAACCGCTGGTAACCTGCTTATGTTCTGCAGGTGAGTATAAATACAAGTATAGTTGATTCATTTCAAAAACGATTCTTACACTGGCATGAACAGATGTAACAAATTTCAATAATTAATGTTTCAGTTCTTTTGAAATGATATTTGACTGTATAATGGATGGAATTGAATTGGATTATGGAGTAAATTGTACTGAAGAAGATAGGAATAACATTACATTTTTCTATGCCCCAAACCTGCAATCAGCCATGGCATTGAAATATGATCCAAAAGAATGTAAGTCAATTTTAATAGAATGCAGAGGTCTATACTGTCATAACCTGAATAGAAATATAAATGTACATTGTACAGTAGCATTTTAATAAAAAATGTTAAAACAAAAATATATATAGTTTCATTTCTACTTTACAGGCTTTTTACTAAAACAGACAACAGTTTCTCCAGGCAGCTCTATGAGACCAATAACAACAGAATCCCCGTTATTAGCAGTATGTGAAGACAGTGATACCATCCTAGCTGTAGGATGGATATGTGCGCTTCCACTCTATATGAATATATCTAGAGAAACCGATATGTCTGTGTTCTGCAGGCAAGACTTTAAATTCAAATCATTTACCAAAAAGGAACCATAGAAATAATCTCAAAGCACTAATTTAATTTTAAATATGCATTTTATAAAGATATTTAATTCTGTATTTTATAGTTTGGCAGAGTCAGTGTTTATATGCATTTTGGATAAGATTGGTACCAAAAGTGGTGTGCAATGTACAGACAGTCACAAAGCCATAGTAATACGCAAATACAGCGAAAGTCTGCAGTCTATCTCTACCCAGTCCTTTAATCCCACACAATGTAAGCGTTCTGTAAGATGGTAATATATTGTCTAGCTATAGCATTAGTTCAAATATATTGTTTGAAACCACATATTAACCTACTTGTTGTGAAATACATATCCATTGTATAACTTGCATGTTACAGGCTATGTAATGACTAGCACTACGGAGGGAATAACTTCGGTACCACCTTACACAACTACTGACAACCCACTGCTTGCCAAATGTCAGGACAGCGCTTCCATTACGTCGGCAGCATACATCTGTGTCCTTTCATTGTATAATAACATAACAACAGCAGAGAACAATTCTACTTTTTGCAGGTATGAATTTCTTAAGATTGCCATTTTCTATGATTATCTTTTGGTTGTGTGTACAAGTCACAACAAATATATGCCTTACTTAGAGAGGTTAGTGAATTTGTAGTTACTATAATATAGTCACAGTAGAGATCTTTCTGAATTTGTAGTAAAAATAAGGTCACATTAAGGAAGTTAATCAATTTCTAGTTTTTAGAATAGTCACATTTGAGAAATTGTTGAGTTTGGAAAGGGAGGAGAACATATCTGTTTTGTATATTTACATATATGCATGTAATTATGTTTCAGCGTAATGGATGTTGCTTTTTCTTGCATCATGAAGACGATAGAAACTAATCACAACATCAGCTGTCCAGCGGGGGACAAAGAAATAATGATCACCAGCTATGGACCTGATCTGAAAATAAACCTCAACCTCAGATTTGATCCTACTGATTGTATGTACAGTGTATTTTGATATCAATACTTAGCTTTTACATGTATGAGAAACCAGATAAAATGAGAGTTATTCAACAAAGAAGATGGGCGTATTTGACGTGTAATCTGCAGGAATCGTTTGTACGAAACATTTATGGTTTAAATGATCATGATTTGGTTGGCTGAACATAGCTGGTCAGATTTTACAAATACAGCCATAGATTTTTTTCATTTAGTTTGAAATACCTTGTCAGATTGTTACATTTATGACCATTTTTCATAGGAGATACAAGAACATAGTAATGTTTCACAAAAATAAACACCTATAATATTAAAGGCATAGATGATGTGTACATCTACATCATAGAATATATAGAAGGTTGGAATTGATTTCGCTCTAGAACCAAACTGAACCAGAATATATCTAATTCAAAATATTAATACATCAGTACATAAAACGAAACTGACAAAATAATTGATTGTTTGTATTTAAAATAAAATAATAATTAAATCCCCATGCGAAGCTCGAACCAAAAACTTTTCACATCTAGTGCACTGAACATGTAGCCTATATTACTGAGCTATCACCGGTACACATACTATACGGTTTTAAATGGACAAAGAAGCATCACATTTACACAGTTGGGTATTTTTTTTTTGGAGAAAGTTCATTTTTTATGATCTCTGGGACTTCTCTCCATTTTTTACAAATGTATATTCGTTTCTTTGAATTAAAATGCACACATATATCGATTCAAAATCATGGAGAGAAGACCCAGAGATAGAAAAAAGAATTAGAGAAATGAGTTTAAAAACGTACCATTTTGTACGAAATGTCTGATCTAGCCATATTCAAGTTAATTTTAAGCAAATCAAAATTCACTTTCGGGAAAATATTTTCCTTCCTAATTGCACAGGAACCAGATTAATAAAAAAAAAAGTTAAAATTTCATGTGACATATCGAAAAAATTTTCACTTTTCAAGTACGCCCAGATTCCTGCCAAATACCAATCAAAAGCGCCCTCGTTCTTTGTGCAAACACACTATATAAGATATTTTTTATAACACTTGTCTTTTAAATTAGAATAATTCACAACATGAAATTAAAGTTATCAAGACGAATACTTTGCATAACTAAAATGCAAAACCATTGCGACTAAGCAAAGAATACGAGGATTCGTAAATTTCATCTTATTTCAGGGTGATTTCACTTCCAAAATTACGAAAATGACATGGCGCGAAAATACCCCCGCATTGTCGCTTTTGTTTTGTTTTGTTTTGTTTTAAACAAATTTTTAGGTCACCTGAGTAAACAAACTAACTAAGTATATAGTTATGATGAGCAAGAATGCCTCATCCAAAATTGTGAAATTTATGACCCCAGGGTCAGGGGTTCTGGTGTTAGGGCGGGGCTCTATTGATTATATAGAGAAAATGTAGAAATTGCTTGAAAATCTTTTTCTCTGCTGCTGGGTATTCAATGAATTAACTAAGTATAAAGTTATGATGAGCAAGAATGCTTCTTCCAAAATTGTGAATTTTATGGCCCTAGGGTCAGGGGTTCTTGTGTTAGGGTGTGGCTCTATTGATTATATAGTGAAAATACATTAATTCTTAGAAAATCTTCTCTGCTCCTGAGTATTAAATAAACTAAGTATATAGTTATGATGAGCAAGAATGCTTTTTCCAAAATTTTGAATTTTATGGCCCCAGGGTCAGGGGTTCCGGTGTTAGGGCAGGGCTCTATTGATTATATAGTGAAAATACATTATTTCTTTAAAAATCTTCTTCTCTGTTCCTGGGTATTAAATAAACTAACTAAGTACATAGTTATGATGTGGAAGAAAACCTTTGTGAATTTTATGACCCCAGGGTCAGGGGTTCTGTTGTTAGGGCAGGGCTCTATTGGTTATATAGAGAATATGCAGAAATTGTTTGAAAATCTTCTCTGCTTCCGGGTATTAAGCAGATGAACTACCTATATAGCTTTGATGAGCAAGGGCCATTCTTCCTGAATTGTGAATTTCAATGCCCCTGGATCAGGGGTACCATAGAGGGGGGGGGCTCTACTTATACACTGAAAATGAATTAATTGATTGAAATCTTCTTTGTATCAATCAAATATTTTTGATAAGCAAGGGTGCCTTTTCCAAACTTGTGAAATGTGTGGACCAAGGGTCAGGGGTTCATGTGTTGTAGTGGCACTATACTGATTATTGCTGAATATTACTGATTAATCGAAATGCATTTTTTTGTTCCCCTACTCTGTCTATGGGTATTAAGTAACCAAACTAAACATGCTAAGTGTTTAGTTATGATTAGCAATGGTGCGTCTTTCAAAATTGTGAATGCCATGACGTCTAGTTTAAAACATGAACCAGAGTCGATCGTTGTAAAGTTGTTGCATGATGCTCAAGTGACCTATAAGGCCCATGGGCCTCTTGTATTGTATAATTCATACAAAGGGATTGGTTGAAGCACGTTCTTACAACTACGTGTAAGGGTGGTGTAGTGGTAATAGCGTCTGTTCTAGAGTCGCGGAGAAATGAGTTGATCCTTACATCGTGGGTTCGAATCCCATGGTGGGACGTTGAGGCCGGTTCTTCGGATGAGACCGTATGAACCGAGGTCCCGTACCGCAGTAGGTACTGGCATGAAATTATCACTCACCCTCAATGGCCGAGAATAGGTCAAAAGAATAAGTCAAAATTGTGCAGCTCCCCACCGGCAAGTGGTGGCTTCATCAAATGTTAAACGTGGGACGTTAAACATCAATCAAAATGTAAAATTTAGAATAAAATTACGGCTTAGGAAAACTCTATACAGTAACAGTTTAACATTGGACTGTGCGCACTTTTCGACCTGGCATGGGACGACGGCTATTACATCAAGTTTAGGTTCAATATTATTATATGTATATCTTAGATGAATTTTTCAAATTGATCGTTTGTCTTTTTTACTTATTGGTTTAGAATTTGAAATGAAAAAGAATATTAATTATACTTATGTACGTATTGTTTTTATTATGTTCTTTGGTTGGATTTGTTCTTCAGGTTACACATCGGAGAGGGTCGTGAGAGCCACTAGAGTTAGGAGAAGTTTGGTATCACCGTGTCAAGACAGTGTGACGCTTTTCTCTAAGGGAATATATTGTATGGCTCCTCTCTATAACAACATTTCAAATGAAAATTCGTCATTCCAACGGTTTTGTAGGTACAGTATATTTCAAATACCAATTACAACCCTAAATTGAATATTTTTCTGTTTATATTGTTAGGATAATTCAGTATGTAAAGTTACTGTTCATGACTAAAGAATTTGACGAGGCATCCTATTAGACTAATTTCCTTTACTGATTAAAGATCTCATTATCACTTTAAGTTAAAAAAGTTCAAGTAAAGAATTAAAAACATGAACTCTTTTGTGGACAGTAGTTTTTAATTTTTTTTTTATTTTCATGCAAGCGTTTTTGAAGATTTTGCTGTCTGTGTGATGGGTGAAATGGCTGCAGAACACAATGTGACTTGTGGTCAGTTGGAATACAATACCTTTGTGAAGACCCATAGTTCAAGCATGCACAAAACCATGGGTCTTGCTTTCAAACCATTGGATTGCTTGATGATGTCATCAACAACCGAGGGACCTAACACTACATCTACGATAGAAACGACAACTCCTCCATTTAATTCGTGTCTAGATCCCGATTCCACTTTTATCAACCTAATGCCATGTATCGGTCCTGTCTTTTTGTCTTTGAAAACGGAAAGTAATTTCACTGTTTTTTGTGGGTAAGTGAAAAATAGAATGCCTGCATACTGTTAGATTGTCTTTAAATATTTCTTATTAAAGTCACCATTAATCTTGTTAAAAATATATCCACACTATGGAGATTATTATGCGAGGCCAAAAAAAAAAAGTTTTATTTGAAATTTTGAAAAGTAAAGGTTTCAATCAATCTTTTTTATTAATTATTCTTCATACCAGTTTCTAACACCAATACTCTGTATATGTATCTGATTCACCCACAGGCTGACTTCCAACATTTTTGAGTGTCTCATTAACAAACTGGAGACTTCCTTAAATACGACCTGTTCTGGAACTGATGCTGCAAGGACTGCACAAGTTTATGGATCAACGATTCAAAATAAATTGTCCCTGACATACAATCCTGTTTTGTGTAAGTTAAAATTGTCTCATTTTTTGTAAAAATTGTATAAAAAGGCTATTTATAATAATAACGTACATTATAGTATAAAAACTGTAATAAAAGTTGTGTTTATTTTTTTTTTTGTGTTAGTATCCTACTGTTGAAACTTGGAAGAATATAGGTTTTATCTCTGTCTGTCCATCTTTTTGCTTGATTAAAGAAGGATATGGAGATAACGAACAGTATACAATCTCAAAGTCCATAAAACAATATAAAATAAGAGCAGAGCAAACACGGACCCCCAAAACATCAGAGGTGGGATCAGGTGCCATGGAGGAGTGAGCATCCCCTGCCGACCGGTCACACCCGCCGTGTGCTCCTTGTCATGATCAGGAAATAACGGGAAAAATCCGTCGTCAATTCAGTGTATAAATAATGGACTAACAATTGGTATGAAAAACGTCAGTCAGCATTTGACTCAATGATAAACTGTATTTGCTGACAAGGTCATTGTATCATGATCATGAAAGGTCATGAAAGTTTCTGAAACACCGATTGTTTTCCCTTGAAGTTGAATATAACAAAGATACAAATTAATCATGATATAAATTCATTTTTAATTTGTTTAGATCGAGTTATGGCCATTCATACATTAAATAGAAAATAATACATACCCTTTTCCATATCACATCCTGTATCAGCCCGAGACACCAATATCAGCCAGAGGGCCGAAGGCCCGAGGGCTGATATTGGTCGAGGGCTGATACAGGATGTGATGTGGAAAAGGGTATGTTTTATTATATTTATTACATACTAAGTAATAAAATACAGTTGAGAAGAAAATAAGTAAATAATCATGCATGGACTTCTTACTTACATGTACATAGTCTAATGTCTCATAAGATTTGGGTTTGTTTCTATTTCTATTTCAATGCACTTGATCCGTAATTTGAAAATATTCAATAGTATTACATGTATTTGTAAATTAAGATTAACCTTATTTTCAAAAAGTTTAAATTAAGAGAATATGAACCCACCAAAAATTGTGTATGAGTACAAGTACTGTTATTGTGGTTTAATTTACTAAGGGTGTGATATTGACGTCACAATAGCCGTATCAGCCCTGCAGGGCTGATATGGATTTACAGGGCTGATACGGATATCAGCCCCGCAAATCCATATCAGCCCTGCAGGGTTGATACGGCTATTGTGACGTCAGCCATATCGCATATGCAAAAAACCTGTATTTATTACTAAGTGTGTAATAAAGACTTATAAATGTTCTCTGATTCCGTATGTTTGTCAACTAATCTATTTTAGCTTTACACATATGTTTTGCTGGAAGAAACATAATCATAATTGAAAGTTGGTTTTTTTTTCAATTTCAGGTTATAAGAACAAAGGTGAATCTGAGTCCAGTCTTACACTGCAACCATCAGTATTGATTACAGCATCTCCTCTTATAAGATCTAGTGTTGGAACAGAACTTCCAAGTATATCAAAAACAGAAGCTTCTTTTATCAAACCCACTTCGACATTTCTGTCTTCAGTTTCAACTAAAGCATCTCTTTTGATCGAATCAACTGCATTTACTACAGTTTCTCCATTAGTTGACTCCAGTTTGTTACCTCAAAGTGAATCAATCTCAACATCTCCTTTAACTGACTCTAGTTCAGCTTTAATCCCTTCTAAATCTACCGCATATCCTTTCACTGAATCCAGTGCAGTGTTTTCTATGACGACTGAGACTAGCACATTCCAGACCACTGCTGAACCTCGTCCTTGCCAAGACCTAAACAAGGTCACTCTGCACGTGCTATCGTGTGCTGGGCCTATTATATTCTCCCTTCCTTCAGCAAAAAATCCAGAAGAATTTTGCAGGTACACTAAAATATATATATTTTATTCCATTCAGTATTACGAAATAATCTTTCAGGCCTATACTGAATTCATTTATCAAACTTCACATATGTAGAAAAGTTCCAAATATAAGGGGTTTTTTATTAAATATTTTTATATTTTGTAGATTGTTTATTCAAGTCTTTGATTGCATTGTGAACAAAACAGAAACAGCCTCAAACATATCATGTTCATCCAATGATAAGGAGATGATTGTGCAAACCATTGGATCTCAGATACTCAGTTCACTATTAATATCATATGACCCAAATATTTGTAAGTATTAATAATGAAATTTCGGAATTTTTTTTTTATATTTTGCGGTATTTTAATATATTTCTATCTATCTGGACGATTATTTGTCATCTATGGGGAGATATATTGCTTAACCTCGTATCTAGTATTTTGAATTCATTAATAAATTTATTATTTCATATGCTTGATCCTTTTGTTGGCCTTTTTCGTTCTCCTCTGGTCGCCCTCGTGGCGCAGTGGTTAGAGCATCTGCTCTAGAGTCACGAAGGAGTCGATCCTTACGTCGCGGGTTCGAATTTATCTGTGGGACATGGAAACCGTCATTCGAATAAAACCGTATATAAACCGTGTCGCAGTAGATACTGGCACGAAAAAGATCCCTAACAGCTCAATGGCCCTGAGTGCCGAGTATAAGTCAAAATTGTGCAGCTCTCCATCAGCAAGTGGTGGCGTCTCCATGTGAGCGAAAAATTCTAGAGAGGGACGTTAAACATACAAACAATCAATCATTCTTCTCTAAGTCGATATATGCCTGAAATATTGCCGACTCTGCGTAAAGTTTAATTATTCAAGCAATCCTTAATCATTCTCCTCTGTTATAATCAAGATATAAAGTCAATTTAAAGCGATTTTTTACCTTTCCTTTATAAATCTGTAATAAATCAAGTATTCAATGTATAACGACCATGTTTTGTACCCAATGTATGATAAGTCGAAAATATTTAATCATGGAAGCATTTTTAGTTATCAAATAAAAATACAGAACCAAAGAAATTTCAAATATTTTGATAATTGTCCAATGAATTTTACTTTGAATTTTACGTTGAAGTTTACGGCAGTGCATGTTTTATTAAGATACATTGTATTGTGAAAAAGTAATTAGAATTTTATACTAAACTCTCAGTGAAAATATGCATAGACTATCTCTTAAATAAAATATGAAATATAATAAATAATTTACCACTGATATTTTGAGAAAATCAAAAGTGTTCTTATTTTCTGTAAGGGCAGGTAACTCCTTAAAACATTTTAAGTGCAATTCGGCCAGCTTCTCAGATCTATTTTTAGTAAAGTGAATTTAGTTCATTTAATTTTCATGCTTATTTCATTGGTTTAATATTATTCAAAAATATTCAATACCCCGTCCTTATACACTGAATACCTTAAAATAGACGAGCCTTTTAATGAGAAAACTATGTTCGATAACACTTAATATTTTATTATTTGGAAAAATATAAGTGTGGCTATTAATAACTCGGAATCGCATTTGTAACTATAACTATTGTACATATTTCTGTAGGTTATGAAACCACAACCATCAGTACAACAAGTAGTACACCAACAGAAATCACTGCCACCACTACAACTGAACCTAAGCATTGTAGAAAATCAAGTCAAATTAATTCAGAAATTCTTCCATGTCTTGGACCATTGTTTCCATCAATAACATCTGCCCAAAATCTTCAAGTATTCTGCAGGTTTGTCAATCGGCGTTATAGTATCAATCTTTTGATTTGTAATTTTATAAAAGAGTGACAAACTATTATCGTTTTAAAGTGCTTATCCTTGAACAGTTGTTGGTTCTTAGTCAATGGAGACAACTTACATACATCATTCTAGCATTATTTCTATCTTTTCAAAACAAATAGTAACATGTAAAGTCATTTGTCACATTGATTCAAATAATAATTTTTTTTATTTATTAGAATTCAAATTAAGTTAAAATTTGATTATGTTGCAATGAGAGTTTAAAGTAATCTTCAATAAAAAATTAATACATTTGCATAGATGTAAAAACCCTATATCTGTAATTACATGGTTGGTTACGAAGTATGCAAATGATGTTCTTTTTTCATCCGCAGTTTTCCTAGAGATTTGTATTTAGCAAAACCTTGCCTCAATTGCTTTCTTTACGATCGATTTCACTTAACTTGTATGATTTGCAGATTGATGGTGGATATGTTCAGTTGTATTATCAATAACGTAGCTTTGGATGGTAACATCTCATGTTCAGAGTTCGATCGCCTCCATATAGTACGAACGTTTGCGCCCGAGCTAGACCAGACTATTGCAAGTCCATTCAAAATCATGGAGTGTAAGTGATAAATTTCCCATGAATAAGTAAATGTTATCAAAAGCTTAATAATATGTGCTTTACCATTAAGCACACGAAACGTATGTACGGCTAATTGATTTTTAAAACAATTTTTGAACACCTATTTTATGCGGTCCAAATGAAATTATATCGAATGGTTAATCTCTAGGTACTGAGCTGTTTGGGGGAACAACAACAACCAGTTATCAGAATGTAACGCTGTTGACACCTACGTCCCCTTCCCCAAGCACTGGACTGACAGATTCTACCACTCAGTCATTCTCTACCACCTCCAGACACACAACATCCGCCACCGGTTTACTAGAATATCTCTCTCTCTCCCTCTCTCTCTCTCTCTCTCATGTGAATGTAAAATTTTCCTACATACAATTCTTACCCATGTAAATTCGTACTTTTTTTTATTATCAAAGGATTTAAAGGTTACAAAACTATTAAGAGGGGCGTAATTATTTTGCTCATTTTATATAACATTTTGTCAAGTTTATCTAAAACTCTATTTCTGCTATTTATTAGTATAACAATTTTCGGATTGTTTTAAACACAGATACAGACAGATGACCTATTCTTTGCCAATATATTATAAAGCAGAAAAGCTAAAAAAAAAATTGAATTTCCCCTGAAAAAAAATAATAATGATTCTGGAGGAGTTAAATCGAATTAAACAGGAGGATCAATTCTATCCCTGACCATGATGTTGTATATTTTTATCTAACATGTAGGATCACAGTGCAGAAGAAAATCTGAGATATTTACACAAGGTATACATTGTATTGGACCACTATATAGAAATTTTTCCACTGAGACACAATTTCCAGATTTTTGCAGGTAATTCTGATATTGTTTATTGGACACCGTTTTCTTTCTGTGTATAGAAGGATTTTCCAGATTTTCCTAATTTCGAATGTTGTTCAATCTAACATATTAGAATGTTAAATGTTGAAAATAACATTTTCTTGCGAAAATTTATGTTCCAGACTGCTGCACTCTGTTTTCCAATGCATCCTGGGTCGTATTGAAGCAAAGTATAATACAACTTGTTCGACATCAGATCTGATGGCAGTAAAACTATTATATGAAACAGAAATATACAAGAGCATCCCGCTGAATTTTGATCCAGATGAGTGTATGTTTATTTTCTAATATAATTATTTTTTTTTTTAAGAATAAGCTTGAAGAAGCATTATTTAAATTTTCCAACTACTTCTATGTTTGTTTGTAAGGAATGTTCAATAAATTGCAATGATTCCACAGTTTGTGAAACGTTAGGTTAAAATGATTTGAAATTCAATTTCAACAAATCTGTTCAAATTTTAGGTCCAGATAATACAAACTGTTTTGAAGTATTGGTGGATGAACGATACCCAAAATGTTTTAAAACATTTTCATTGTATGAAAAATTCAAATCTCAAGTTTATAATCTTAAGCTCTCCGCATCGGAAACATGCAGGTAGGCATTTAGTGTTGTGATACGTACACTTGCATTGAATTTCTTTCTTTTCAAACTTTGAACTGAATAATCATTACAATATATTAGTGATGATTGTTTTCTATTTGTTAAGATATAACACGCATTCTCAATGCGTACTTTTCTGCTTTTAAACAGATTATATGTAAAATTTTTAGCATGATAACCAAGGAAAACGATGATCACATTGATCGTATTACTTACAAAGTAACAGCTTATTAAATTCTTTGATCTGTTAGATGTCTTCTAACAATATTTAATTCCTTTTAAGTTTGTACAGAGGCAGTTTGCGATGTATAGGCAATTATCACAGAAGCTGCAGCATTGAAGACACTCACAGTGTTATAAGTCATTCTCTTGTCGCCTTAAATTCAACTATAAATCCATCTACTTGTTCTGGTATGTTATATTTTTTTTAAATGAGTTCAATTGTGTACATTTTGAACTAATCTGAGCTTTAATCATATGTGAGATTTCATGATGGCCGTCTATTCGTCCTTCCTCCCTCTTGAAACAACTACTGAAATGCTGCCCTCTATTGTAATGCCGCCCACTATTGTGATAACGCCCACTTTTGAAATAACACCCATTGTTAAAATAACGCCTACTATTGTATTTGTGCTTTTCCGAGGAGAGGCAGTAACATAAAGATATCAGAAATCTAATGATTGATTGATTGTGTACTGTTTAACGTCCCTCTCCAGAATATTTCACTGATATGGAGACGTCACCATTGCCGGTGAAGGGCTGCAAATTTAGGCCTATGCTCGGCACTTACGGCCTTTGAGCAGGGAGGGATCTTTATCGTGCCACACCTGCTGTGACACGGGACCTCGGTTTATACGGTCTCATCCGAAGGACCGCCCCATTTAGTCGCCTTTTACGACAAGCAAAGGGGTACTGAGGACCTATTCTAACCCGGATCCCCACGGGGCTCGAAATCTACAGATAATTGCAAACAAAATGACGCGTCAATAAAAACACAAAGACTATTTAATATCAATGAAAACTTTAAAGCAAAACAAAAATTCACAAGCGATGCGGGGCGCATTTTAGAAATACGGTTCAAGAAAACAAAGCTTGTAAAATATCTTATTATAACTAATGAAGCATAAACCTATGAGCTGTTATAATGAATACACTGTACATGTAGCACGCTATTGCCCATTGTGTCAGACTTTAATCTTGTACATGTATACAAGTAAGATATCTGGTAGGGCTGGGTATTGGCCTGAGAATTCGTATTGCGATATATTGCGATATTTTTAAATGTATTGCGATATGTATTGCAATATTTTCAATGTAATAAAAATGGCATTTTCTTACTATATTTACTTTAATTTACATGCAGAATGTACACAACTATGATAAGTAACCAACACGGAAAAAAATCTTGTTGATTTCATTTAAGTTATGCTCTGAAATTTTACCACAAAACATGTTCACATCACGTAATTATAAATTCACTGATATGGAGACGTCACTTCTGACTTACTGTTTGGCTTAATTAATAACAAACTTTTATAAGTCCATTTTTATATTTAATGACAAAATTTCTTAACCTATGTATATTGCCAATATATCGATATTACAAAATCGTATTGTGATACGATATTTTTTGTCATTGTATTGCAATATATTGAAATATCGATATTATTGCCCAGCCCTATTATCTGGATTGAGAGTAATTGTACTACAAGAATTCTTGTAGTACAATATCTGGCTTTATAGAATTCTTGTAGTACAATATCTGGCTTTATAGAATTCTTGTAGTACAATATCTGGCTTTATAGAATTCTTGTAGTACAATATCTGGTTTTATAGAATTCTTGTAGTACAATATCTGGCTTTATAGAATTCTTGTAGTACAATATCTGGTTTTATAGAATTCTTACAACCAAGATAAATGGTTAAAGAAAGGGAACCAAGGAAAACTTTTTCTGGACTACGTACGTACTTGTGAATGACGGTATTACTCAAAAACAACATTTTGAAGAAATAACTTTCATACATAATTGACAGACTTCTAAGTGTCCATCTGTCTAACAAACACTCAGAAACACCAGCGGGGAATACAGTGTTCAGACTTCAGAGGACTTTATGTTAATACATGTACACCTCCTGTTTTTATTTTACAATAACGATCTTCCGCTAAAGTCTTTTTAAAAGGACCTACACAAACGCATTGTAAATGATGCATACTCTGCGTAAAAAAAGATTTTCTTATAATATGAACATTTATATTTAAGCATATTTAGAAAGTGAATATTCATATCATTCCTATAAACCATTGACTTGCACGAATGATGTTCTGCAGTCGAGTCTTTTAAAAAAAAATCTATACTTGTGCTTTCAAGAAAACATGTTAAGAAGCAAAAGAAAGCTCAGCAATTTACAAACATTCTAAAATTGTGTGAACTCAAGTGTTTCTTTAATCCTGAACCAAGATGTGAAGGCTTAGATTTTTTTGTCCACAATAATACTATTTATTTCAAAACATCTTCCTGTCGGCTAAATTCAAAACTTCCCAAGCCATTGCCCTTTTGAGCGAGGAGAAAGACACAGTATTGGATTTTATATTGAAATCTAATGATGTAGAAAAGCATAAACATAACGAATTGTAGGAATGTTAGTGGTATACATGCAGTCATGTTTTTGTTTTTAGTAAACGGTACCTACCCTAAATCAGTGTGTGAAGATGATGAATTCTCCTTACTGGTGATTCATGCAGACTGTGGATTTCATTCAATTCTCATACCGTTCGATTGCCAAAGGTATGTTCTCTCTCTCTCTCTCTCTCTCTCTCTCTCTCTCTCTCATACTCTCATATCCTATTTAAAAGTGTTTTTTATTTCTATCCACAGACATATGATGGACTTTATCACTTGTGCAGCAAAGAGCCTCTCTTTTCTCAACTGTAACATTGATAGCTTTTGGAGAGCTTTGACCGTTTTGTCTTCTTCAAACGCAAGCTTCTTTGACAGGATTAATTCGGGTAGAGGAAATGATGTTGTAGCCTGTATAAATCGTAAGTGTCAAAACTATCAAAAAATGTCATGCATAAACAGGAGCATGTTTCATTGTTGAGAAAAAATTATTGTTGAGAAAAAAAATATGTTTAGCCTTGTATAAAACAAATAAACGTTAAAAGGGGTTGAACTTTCAGAACTAAAAGTTTCTATGACTACTCCAGCCGTCCCTATGACTACCGAGCCTCCAGAAGAAGGTGAGTACAGTCAGTAATCCTACAGTTTACTACATAAATTGCTCTATATTTTCAATTTCTTTTTGTTTTCTCTGTGAAAGTTAGTTGAAGTGATTTCTTGATCATTCTACCGCAATGTAAATTTCGCCAAGCGATAGATCAGGTGCTAAGGAGGCCTAACATGCATGCAAATCTTGTGCGTCTCTCTTTGTGTCTGGTGCTAAGGAATCCTATCATGCATGTGAATCTCGTGCAGCTGTCTTTGTGTTTGACGTCAGCGGGCGTGGACTTCTGAAATTGACATGAGAGGCCTCGTGTAATTTTAATCTATTAGTCTATTTCTTAAAATCTAAATTTATAATTTTATTTCACAATGAAATATAAGGAATCACTGTTTAGTTAGTATAGTATGCGAGGGACATCAACGATAGTGGGAAACGTGGGATAGTTTATGCATAACATCCTTCGCTCTTATGCGTAAATTATCCCACGTTTCCAAATATCGCCCGTTATGCATATATCACCTATCGTTTCTATTTATCGTACTCTACTAACTAGTCAGTGATTCCTTAAATATTAACCATAGACTCGACCTGTATGGAGTATGATTTCCTATAGTGTACTAAATATCTAGACACCACTGTATAGAGTATAATTTTCTTCAGTGTACTACATACAGTATGTTCCCTTATAATAATCAAAGACTCCACTGTATGGAGTATAATTCCCTACATTATACACGCGTTCCTATACAATAAAAAGTTTTTTTTAATTTTTTGTTTTATTTTTATAGTTAGCAAACTGTCCTTTTCAATTGTTCTTTCTGGTGTTGAATGGAATACAACCCTCCTGAATATGACGTCTGAATATTATCGTATTGTCACGGGTTACATTGATGGTAATGTAAGTGGCTTACACTGGACTATATTGTTATATAACATTAATCAATTTAATTACATTTCAGGATTGAATCTAATTGGTGTTATTTTTTATCTTTTAGGTAACAGTAATATTTGGATCTGATCCAGCATTCTTACAAATTGAAGTTATTTCATACAGGTAGTGATTTATTTTGACAATTGATAACAAAAAAAAAGCTGTTTTCATCAAATTAATTTATACACTCGTCGAATAATTTCTTTCTTCTGTATTTAGAAAGAATGTAGACAATCTAACGAAAGTGGACCTGGAAATCACATACAACAGTACTATACATGTTGCACAAGACGTTTATGAACAGCTGAAGAGACTGACTAACTCGGGGCTCATCTACAATCTGTCAGTTACTTCTTTTCTGATGTTTGATGAAAGTAAGTCATTTTCGTTGGATTTTTTCTGTCAAAATGAGTATTTTTCTCTTTTTGCATGCTTAAGGTTTAAGTATTCTGAGCTTAAACTATTCAGAACTTGTCGACTTTAATTTTAGCTCACCTGATTGACTCTGATGCTCGATTACCATCTGCTTTCCTCTGTCATCGTGTTTCATCTTAGATCTATATTATATATTAGCTTTTTCTCTGTTTAAGAGCTTATCATGAAAAGCATCATGTGGCGAAGGGACATAATTAAAAACAGTGTGTATATACAGTGTATAAGATTTCTGAAATTCATCATTCAAAATTCTTGTGCTATATAGGGCTCTTCCGATCATAGAGAGAAATCTTATCAATGTATTATACAATGTACATTGAAATAAATATTGAGCAATTAAAGTGACTTCCTACAAAGGATCAGGTGACAAAACTATGGTCGGTGTCCCCTTTTCTACAATCATTCTGGTTATTTTCAAACAAGAGTGAAGGAAAATGTCACCTGAATAGTGTCGATAGTTCGTTTTGCTTATAATTTTGAGGAATTATCCATGAATTTTTTATACCGTATGATAGTAAAATTTGGCCTGGTTTGTGGCCGTATATTCCTCTATGAATAAAGATGAATAAAATAGGTAAGTCTTAGTAATATAGAGGGATATGCATGTCCAAGAAAAATCTTCCTTATATGGCTATTGTTATTATTTCGCACATAGTCGTTTACAGAGAACAAGTGTCTAATCCGATGACTGTTTGACAAAACATGCTGTTTTACTCAGATGTTTATATAATTTATCACAGACACGTGCTTAAGGTCAATTTACACATTATCAAACTTCCAATGGTCAAAAAAAAACCTTTTTATGCATGATAATACCCGTGTTACCTCAGCTTCTTTCGTTTTGGACCAAACAATGCACATGAAAAATTGTATTCACTGATACACTGAAATAAATGTAGCCATTTGTCCATTAATCAGCATTCAAAACTATAAAATTATACAATAAATGAAATGTTTGTAATTGTGAGCATGGAAATTGTAGATTCACATCTGTGATTGAAATGTATGTAAATTCATTGTCTTTCGGGAAGCAAGTAAATGGAAGCCCTCTTTCAAGCATTAAATTTTCCTATTATTTTTGTAGTGCTCACTCGTAATACATCTCAGGTGATTGGTCAGTTAGAAAGTTATGCCGGTGCCTCAATTAGCATATGAATTTATTCTTACGTCAGAAAAATTATTTTCCTGTTCTGTTCATAATTAGACAGGCCAGCTAGATTTTACAATATTTTAAACGTAACTGTCATATAAGGGCAATTAGGTACAATTTTCTCCTTTCACATAAAGGTAGATTTCGATAAAATACAGTGACCAGCTGAAGGAGAAAAATGTATCTTCTTGCGCTCTCAATTTCAAGCTCATCAAAGAGTGGGGCGAGGCCAAATAAAAATGTAATTTAAATTGGATAAATTAAGTGTTTAATATATTCTACTTGTCCACGAGTTGTACAATTTTTTGCCACCTCTTTATTCCATTTACTTACACGATAATTACAATTCAGTTGGTTGTGTAAAAGTTTAAAATTGAATTCTGCTATCTGTTTATCAAAAATATTTAGTATCTTAGCTGTATAGATATTTTTCCATCGACCATTCATTATATTAAATTCTTTTGACCATTTACTTTCCATCATTGTTTTTTGTTTCTTTTTAGAAAGAAAAAAATTATAATAAAATCCCGATTTTTCAAATTCTGGGTGTTTACATTTCCCTTGAAAATAAAAATACGGTTTTTGTATTTTAGTGTTTTTTACATTACAGTAAACTACGTTTAGTTTTTTAATCACTTTTTTCATGACAAGATATTCACATGAGTAATAACTCTTTGATTCATTGATCTCTTTTACTTCCGTAACATTTTTTATACCTTCTGTTGTAAACAATTTTTTTACGTATAGAATACCACTCTTGCCCAATTTTTTAAATGTAATGGTTTATTATTTTGTGTAAAGAAACTATTAAACCATAGGTTTTCTGTAATTTTATTTCGTGGTGATGTTAACATTTTACACTCGTTAAAACTACAGAAGATTTCTCTATCAAAATTTGGGAATTTATTTACAACATTAAAATCATTTGGATTTTTATATATTGCTACGTAACAGATATTCAAAGTTTATTCCATAAGATTTTAACCCCTACCCAAATGAACGATCTATATCTTCCAAATTACGTTTTTATTTTTGTTAAATATAATATGCTGTTAGGGTAAACATATCAGTGATTTGTTGCATGCAAAAATTAGAGTAAAAGAAGATGGGCGCATTTGGTGTGTGATCTGCAGGAATCATTTATACGAAACATTTATGGTTTAAGGGGGCTCTCTACACCTATAAAGTATAACTGATTTTTGTTGCATGCATTTGTTTCTAATAAAAGGCTCCATATCCGATAAAATAAGGTTCAAAAGTATTTCAATTTATTTTTTTGAAATATTTGAAATATTCTATTAATTTTGTTAAAACCCCTCCTATCTATATTTTTAAAAGCCCAGTGCTCTAAATTTCTCTTCAAAGTTTAATGTTATAAAATATTGAAATAATAACCAACAAAGTTAAAAATAAAATCAACATAATTTTTATTTAAATTTTCAAAAATAGACAAAAGAAAAACTAAAACAGCATTTTCTTGAGAATAGCTGGTTTGATCTTCTCCAATATCTGAAAAGATATATAATATCAAAGGGTGAAAACAATGAAAAAAAGAAATTGAACAAAATTGAAAAACTGTCAAAAATTTCAAACATCACAAAAATTCAGGTGTGAGAGATCCGCTTTAAGAATAGACTCAAATATCTTGGTACTGTTTTTTTTTTTTATAAACTTCAAATAAACTCTACTTGCACAAGTATTTAAAAAATGTCAAGCAAGGACATTGAAAGAAGTTCGTATTGTACATGTATTGTTTTTAAATGAGTTTAAGCGAAAACCATCACGTTTCCAGTCAATGACAAAGACATGTATTTAGTGAATTCATGGTATTGAGAAAGGTAGATTTACTTACCGTTTTTATCCAACTTGCATGTGTTATCCAGTGCTAGATATATCAAAACATGTAAACATGATAAATGGCCAAAAGCGGGTAAAAGAAATTCCCACAACCAAATTCACACTTCGTCTAAAACCTGCACGTTTCCCATACAAACAGCTGATAATCAATGTTGATCAAACGTTTGGGTCATGCAAAATTCCACTTACTGTCTGAACAATCGCAACTTCTCGGGTCTTTCCGACTAGCGGAAAAACGACCTCGAATGTAAATTATGGAAGACGCCATGACAACCCTCCTTTTTAACGATCTTTGAAATAAATGCACGGAGACCTTTTATCTGTAGAATAAGGAGTTTAACTTTATTCAATGTAATGATATTACCTAAAATATACTATAGAATGGACTTCTAACTTCGTCTATCCGATATTTGAATAAACAGGAAATGTATAAATTTTTAACATCCGGTGATGTTAATACATTCGAGGTTGTTTTTCCGACCTCTGACGGAAAGACCCGAGATGATGCGATTGACTGTCTGAAGAGTTTAAATTTCACCAGGTGTAACCATTCATTCGGGTGTATAAAAATCGTGAACAGAGTATCCTCTACTCGATGGGAAGATACTAGTAATACATATATCTTATCAAATTTGCATTTTTGAGGGATATTTTTTGCTGGAAAGCATTATATGCTTATAGAAGAAAAAAGAAATTTCTGAGTGTATGGCGTTTTGACACGTAGGCCTAATGATGAATTAGCATATGGACAAGCCATGTTTTTTATATCATATTTTCTCACCAAAAAATCTTATTCTAATAAGTTTGTAAATATATTATTTAGTAATTAAATAAGTAGAAATTGAATAAATTGACAAACAATTCATTTTTAAAGAAAGGATGCATGTTGGACAATACACTGTATTAATTGAGGTGATACAATGTACATTCCATCCACAATATCGCATGTTGTGTTATACTCAGTGATTTATCGGTGTTAAATGAATTTGAATCAGATCATTTGGGACCAAAATGGCGTTTCAACGGAAGTACGCCATGTTGTGACGTTGTAGAGAGCCCCCTTAAATGTCCATGATTTGGTTGGCTGAACATAGCTGGTCAGATTTTACAAACACGCCCATGGGTTTTTTTCATTTAGTTTGAAAGACCTTGTCAGATTGTAAACATTTATGTCCGTTTATCCTAGGGGTGCTATGACATAGTAATGTTTCACAAAAAATAAACACCTAAGATATTTAACGCATAGATGCATGATACGTGTACATGTACATTATAGACTGTAGAATAAAAGATTGGAATTGATTTCGCTCGAGAACCGAACTGAACCAAAATTTATCTAATTCAAAATTTTAATACATCAGTACATAAAACGAAACTGACAAAATAAATGGTTGTTTGCTCGAAAAAAAAATTAACGCCCCATGCAAGGCTCGAACCAAAAAAGTTCTTGTTTCGAGCGCACTGAACAGGTAGCCCTGCTTACTGAGCTATCCCCGCTACACATATACGACTGATTTAAAAAGGGCAAAGAAGCACCACATTCACACATTTGGATTTTTTTGGGAAAAGTTCATATTTCGTGGTCCATTGGTCTTCTCTCCATTTTTTTTAAAAATGTGTATTCGTTTCTTTGAATTAAAATACACACAAATAACGTTTCAAAATAATGGAGAGAAGACCCAGAGATAAAAAAATGTTAGAAAAACGTATTTAAAAATGTACCATTTTGTACCAAATGTCTGATCTGGCTATTTTCAAGTTATTTTTTAGCAAATCAAAGCTCAATTTCGGGAAAATATTTTCCTTTCCTGTTGCACAGGCACCCCGATAAATAAAAAAAATGTTAAAATTTCATGTGACATGTCGATAAAATTTTCACTTTTCAATTACGCACAGATTCATGCCGAATGCCAATCAAAAGCGCCCTCGTTCTTCGGACATTTCATTTTTTGTCAATTCAAAGGGGCCGTATGTCACATCATCGTTTAAAGACAGATGATTTCTTTTTTTTAGAAACAAGCATTTAAACAATCATCCTTTCTATGAATAAATGAATGAATTATGTTACCGGGGTATAAAAAGTCAAGAGTATTGAATAGAAAAGTTCGAGATTCACCTTTAACAAATGGACCACAACATTGGGATTTCAGTTATATTAAATTTTATGTCATTTACAACCACTTAACAGGTTACCTTTTTTGGTATACATGTAATGATTATATCGTATAAAAGAAATTGTATGATGTCTTTTAGATACAAGGAATTCGAGTTGTCCTACTGTGACGTCAGTGTCAACTAGCTGTCACGACGGATGTGTAAAAGACACGGACTGTTCGACCAATGAGAAATGTTGTTCCAATGGATGTGGGCGAATCTGTCAGAACAGCACAGGTTTAACAAATATTTCCAGTACTGTACACATATAGAACATATTACTATAATAACTAGTTCGAGTCCCATGAGTTATCCAGAAGACTTATCCTTATCGTCCGTCGTCATGAATTGTCCATACACATTTAAACATTTGGAAAGGCTGAAAAAATGAACCAAGAATTCATACTTATTGAATATGATTTCTTTAAAAAAAATTGATTATTAAAATCGTAATTTAGCATTTTTATAAAGAATGGAATTTCTGTGATAGGGAAATATACTTTCTAACACAGAAAACATTATGTTTTTTCTATTATACATTTGTGTATATAGCAACATAATATCATGATATTATACAGAAAATCGAGAAATATTAGCTTCAAATCTGTGTCTATGTCCCTTTTAACTGAATGGTGCTGTTTTATAAATGATGCTTTATGGAACAACTTTGTTGACATATCACAATGAGGTTCATGCTTCTTAATCTTTTTTCTATATTATCATTTTGTTTTATTTGTTTATTCAAATTTGGTGCGGTGTTTGTGCAATAGTTTTAATAACAGTCGGTATGATTTTTAATTGATATTGAAATCAGATTGAATTAAAAGTTCTATTAAATTGATATTGAAATCAAATTGCATTAAAGTACTAGTAAATTGATATTGAAATCAAATTGAATTAAAGTACTAGTAAATTGATATTGAAATTAAATTCAAATGCATTCAATGTTTCTTCTTTGATTAGGTCAGTCAGTTCAACCGTGATTTTGTGCACGATTCTTATCATGATTCTACATGTATAAAGAAGGTTCCAAGTTGACTCTGGGTCTTAAAGATGCATGGACACAGATTTAATGTTAATATTTTCTGTATTATATTGCGACTTATATATTTTAATAGCATTTCACACAAAATGATATTAAAAATCTTTTTTTTTTATCTAAAAGCTATTACAACTTCAAATTTTTAGACGGGTTGATTGACACATCCTTGCACTTTCACAAATTTTAATTTTATTCTTAATAATTAGGAAAAGAGGCAATCTTGTTGTGTATTAATGAAAAATATTAAAACTAGAATCCAGAAAATTCAGAGTAGAAATGTTCGAAAGCAAGACATACACACTGTATATTGTCAGTCCGTGCAGTTGTGGTGAGCAGACTTTAATAATTGAACGCACCCGGTGAATCATAAACATCAACAATAACGGAGCTCGTGCCCTGTTTACAAAAACTGTGTATGTTTCAGGGGTGTGATCAATTTGCTAAACACTGTACACAACACTTAGCGCGGAATGAGGATACTTGTGAAGAGGTTTTGCTTTCTAACATTTCTACTCTGAATATAATTATTTTTCTGGATTAAAGTCTTAATATTTTTCATTAATACACAACAAGATTGCCCTTAAAATAAAAGTAAAATTTGTCAGAGTGCAAGGATGTGTCAAACAAACCCACCCAAAAATTTGAAGTTTCAATAACTGTAAGATGAAATAAAATTTTTTTTGTGAAATGCTATTAAAATATATAAGTCGTGATATTATACAGAAAATATTAACTTCAAATCTGTGTCCATGCACCTTTAATAGAAAAACTCGTTTTTACAGATTTCCGGTCAAGTTATGATCTCAGATATTTAGAATTTCCAATACTTCAACAGAATGGTGAGATTTTCTTCTTTTATTTGAAATCAAAATATTCATTTTAAGATTGGTGATTTGAGTGAAAGTTCCTTTTTTGGAAAATTGGAACAATTGTCTTAAACTCTTTAATGGAAAAATTAACAAATTTGACAGAGAGAATTCCGCCTAATACACAAAAACATCTGTCAATTGAATAAATCTTTTTATTTTGTTTTATTTGAAGTTTTAAAATTGCATTAGAATTGTCCTTTTTTGTTTTCTTTTTCAGCGGAGCAAATGCTTGTATCAGTCACATTACCAGACTACAAATGGACTGTCGAATTATTGGATCCAAATTCATCTGTCTACAGGGAAATACAAAAGGCAGTTGTTACAAATGTGAGTTGTACGAGTCTATGCTGAGGTTAAGACAATTAATGGCAAATTGTTTTATCTACAAAAAATGTATTCTTCATCAACATGGATGCTGTATTTCAGTTTGAAGAACAGATGAAGTCATCCACAGAATTTATTGGATTTCATGTCTCTTCATTAAGGTTGTCTGTTTTTAATATTGGAAATGTAAAAGAAAAACTTCAAAATCAAATTTCAAATGAAATATTTGTTTAAATTCATTTTTGCACTAACAACTAAATGCACCAACTAGCATTTTATATCTTTTTTATTTAGAAATGGACCATATGTTATTGCAGACGTAATTGTAACATACAACAAAAATCGAATCAGTTCTTCCTCAGTGGTCAATGTTCTGTTTATGCTTTCGGGACATGGATTCATACATCAAATGAAAATTGAAACAGATCTCCAATTTGACAAAAGTAATATTAATTGTTCAAAATTGTCAAGCATAGAGTAGTAGATTTAACACTTCCAACATAAGAACAATATTTTATTATTCTGCTGCCTTGGTTTCAATCCAAGTTCAATTTTTATCATAAACTTTTTTTGAAAAGCAAAGACAATTAGAGCTGCATCCTCATTAATGACCTCTCTTTGTGAATAAACAGAGAAAATTTCAAATATCTAGCATTGAAAAGTGTGTTTCTCTTTCACAATTTGCTTATATGTATTTCGATCAAGTTTCTTTAGTAAGGACTCATTTGCATTACTTTACAGAAGTAAAACCAGGGGTCTGTCCACAATTCTCTATGGCTGTTTACAGAACCTGTCTAGACACTTGTACTGGAGATACTTCATGTTCAGGAAAACGGAAATGCTGCTTCAATGGATGTGCCCGCAGTTGTATTGATCCAGGTATATATATAGGTTGTATTGATCCAGGTATATATATAGGTTAACTGCATAACTAGGTCTTGTTGTTGTTGGGAAAAAGAACTTGTTTTTCCTTTCTCTTACCTGCATTGTGTTTAAATTTTCTGTCTTGAGAAATATATCGCTTATATATATATATATATATATATATATATATATATATATATATATATATATATATATATATATATATATGTCCAACGATTTCTTTTCCTGCTTCTCACACTCTGTTTTCCACATGTTCTGCAGAATTTCTAATGTTCTCCCGTTTGCTTTTCCCTTTAATTCACTTACCATTTTCTGTAATATGAATTTTTTTGTTGCTTTCTATATTGAAGCAATATTTCTCACTCTTTCCATAGCGACATTTAGAATTTTGTGTGCAAGCATTTTCAACAAAATTGTTGTAAAATGTGCATGTCCGTACATAAGAGAAGGAAATACCTTTAGAATTGGGCCCAAAGATTTTAAAGTTAATGCTAATATGTCTTGTGATTCTAAAAACGTCATATATTGTATAACGTGTGAAGGATGTGGCCAATTTTACATCGGCGAGACTGGAACTACTCTCCGTACCCGTATCCGAATCCACAAACAACATATTCAACATCCGGAGTACAGGCAGGTCAAAGTTAGTGAACACCTGGACCAGTGCGGTAGCGGACATTTCACCGTGTTCCCCTTTTACAAACTGTTAACCGACAGTACGGTAGAAAGAAGAGAAAAAGAGAAACATTTTATTAAGTCTTTTTTGAACAGTTTAGCATAGTTTATTGTATTTTATATACATGTATGTTTATTTCTCATATGGTCAACGCGCTTTTCCTTGTTTGAACATTCATTGTGACGTCATTGTATTGTTGACAACGTCATTACCATACCAGTTTAACGTCAAATGTTCAAAGTAAAACGTCTGAAGAATTATGAAGATTATTATTCATAACTCGGCGGTTAACCGGGTATGCCAACACTAATATATATATATATATATATATATATATATATATATATATATATATATATATATATATATATATATATGTTCCTGCACTGCTAGGAGACAAAGAAACTGGGGCGAAAGTGGGAATCCATGTAAAAGTGAATTTCTTTGTGCTTTCTATATTAATATTTCTTCACTTAGGGCAGTTATTTTAAAAATTTTAAAATGTGCTTTATAAATAATAATTAATTTTTCACATGTATTGGTATATATCCTAATGTTAAAACTGATGTCCAAATAACTGTATCTCACTTCTATTCTCAATGACCGTGTAGTGTAGGGCAGCGTTTGAGAATTCCATCGGCATCAAAAGCAAACTTGAAAATTAGCGCGCTGTTTCTGCAAAACAGGTGGCAATATTATGGGAGTCCATGTAAAAGTGAATTTCTTTGTGCTTTCTATATATATATATATATATATATATATATATATATATATACTGTTACAAAGAGAGACTTAAGAAACAAAAAACTTTCTTGAAAGTTTTTTTTATTCATTTCTAAATTTTGCTTTGGTTTTGATTGCTCCCCTTTGCTTGCACGAAAAACACAAAGTAAAGGCGATGGAGATATGTGCAAAAATAACTTTTAGTCTAACGTATTATACATAAATTTTTTTCGGAATCCAAGGGTTACTGCAATGCGCTAAGTTAGAGAAAATTCATCATAATCTTTTTGAAAAACAGGCATTTAAAAATATAAAGAATAATCCTTCTATATATTTATTAACTTATAAATTAAGCTGCTAATGTTGTTTAAGAAGAGCTGTTTATTGACAGGGGGGTGTTTCAAAACAATTTACTTAGTAAAGTTAAAAGATAAACATTTAAGATTTTTATCAAATCTCTGATGTTCTGAAAACGTTTAGCCTTCTGTATTCTCTTTAAAAATCATAGATAAAAAATTCAATCATTTCAATATCGGCTTGTTGCGAAAATTGCGTGTCAGTATATATATATACCGGCTTATATATATATATATATATATATATATATATATATATATATATATATATATATATATATATATATATATATATATATATATATATATTTGTGATAAGAGAAAGATATATAAAGAATTGAAACAAAATTTTGTTTTTTTAGTTGATTAGTTTTTTTATTCATTTCTAAATTTTGCTTTGGTGTATTAATTTTCCATGCACACTTTACAGTTAGGCATAGTATACTTTTAGTAGCGTGAACAATTGATTAAATTGATGATCTTAGTACATTCATCATATCTTTATGTATAGAAGTAAGTTAGATTACTGGCATGTTAATTTGAGTAAGGTCTGGTTTTCTTGGTTTTGTCTAAAAACAATTTATCTTAATTTGAATCAGAACAGCAAAACAAAAATGTACAATATGGGGAATGTGACAAAAAGTTGTCCTGGCTAAAACAGTTATGTGAAAAATACATCAGTGAAATGGTAATAAGTTTAGAAATTTTGTTTGTAAAAGTTAATTCATAACAGGCTAAATTGCATTTAGTTTATCGTTGGTACAAAAAAGGAGCAACTTAAGGTATTGCATGTTTAATTAAATAATTTTGAACAACATTTAATAGTAGCTTAAAATGCATTGTTAAATAACAAAAAAGTGAAATGAAGCAAATTCACATGACTGATAACGTAAGAAGCCGGTCATTTTGCAACTTAAAACATTTTGTAAGATTTATCTGCCCTTGATAAAGAAGAATTTTTTATAGTAGTTATGGTAAATGATTCATTTTATTTTTTAGTTAAAGAAAGGGAGAGAGAGAGAGAGAGAGAGTGTGTGTGTGTGTGTGTGTGTGTGCATATTTTCATTAAGAGATTAATAGGATACTGTACAAGTAGAAATTTTAGCGAGGATTTAATTTTTGCATTATTAGCGAGGGTGCCGAGATCGCTAAAATTGAATATCGCTAAAAATTAATTGCGTTTTATTTGTAATAGCTTCTTTAATATGCATTTTAAAATCGCTAAAATAACATCTCGCTAAAAATAAATTACCAGTTTTTAAGGACAAATCGCTAAATTTGTGTCTCGCTAAAATTTCCACTTATACGGTATTCAAATTACTTTTGACATTATCTTACTAGCAGACTTCAGTGTAAAATTCAAGATGCATTGATCAATTTTTTGTTAATTCATTTGGTTGAGTATTTTTTATTTGATATCACCATCAAAATTCTACCATGATTAAAAATATCGGGCCATTCATTTATTACATACAAAATATGGTCGTTGTGCATTGAATACTTTAACACGGGAATATAAATTAATCACAGACCAAAAAACTTTACTTAAGTTACGAAATTCATCAGATCCTATCTTTAGGCATTTGCTTAGTAGCTATTTATTTATTTTCCTAACTGTGCATTGTTTCATTATATTTTATGATGCATATACAGTTAAAAAGGTTTTTTTCAGCCGTAAGCTATGTAACAGGTTAAGCCCAAAAACTCGTATAAAATATGTATTACATGTGAAGTCGATCAGCACTGTCTTACTGGACTTATTATATCAACATTAATGTCAAAATACTTTTCCCTATTTTCCCAATATCAAAGTGATTTAAATGCAACTAGTTACAATAATTCATGAAAAGAATTTATTACTATCATCTAAAATAAAAATGAGGCAGTAAACATTCTTTTTCAGGTTACGTAGGAGTGTCAACGACAGAAACCACTACAGATTCGGACACAACTGTAACAATGGAAGCCAGTACGCAAGGTTAAGAATGCTAACAATTCACCCAATTTATATAAGATTTACTGCATTCTTAGATAAGCATTTTGGTCCCTAGATATTACTTTAGGCTAAAGCACAAAAAGACAAAAGCTTGGTGTATCTTTTCATCTTTTACTGTCACTCTGCCCCTCTGCACTTTTTACATGGTCTACAGTAACTATAGTGGTCTTTATCAAGATTAAGTATAAAATGTCTACTCCTTACCCTCAATTGTTTGAATTTCATTAAGTTCTAATATTTCACTTCTCACTTAAGAAGAAATGCACCAAGGTACTACGTCTAAATAAGGAGAAATAGTCTCACCAAACCTTTTTAGCTCACCTGCTTTTCTGATCACATTTTGTCGGGCGTCCGTCTGTCTGTCCGTCTGTCTGTCTGTCTGTAAACTTTTCACATTTTCGACTTCTTCTCAAGAACCGCTGGGCCAATTGCAACCAAACTTGCCACAAAGCATCCTTAGGTGAAGGGGATTCAAGTTTGTTCAAATGAAGGGGCTACGCCCTTATTCAAGGGGAGATAATTGGGAATTAATGAAAATTTGGTGGTATGTTTTAAAAATCTTCTTCTCAAGAACCACCTTGCCAGGAAAGATGAAACTTGTGGGGAAACATCCTCAGGTAGTGTAGATTCAATTTTGTTCAAATCATGACCCCCGGGGGTAGGGCGTGGCCACAATGGCCGACCAAAATTTTACATAGAAATATATATGAAAATTATTTAAAAATCTTCTTCTCAAGAATGCCAAAGCCATAATTGATCATATTAATATGGAAGCATCCTCATGTAGTGTAGATTCAAGTTTGTTCAAATCATGACCCCCGGGGGTAGGGCGGGGCCACAATGGCCGACCAAAGTTTTACATAGAAATATATAGGAAAATTCTTTAAAAATCTTCTTCTCAAGAATAACAAAGCCATAATTGATCATATTTATATGGAAGCATCCTCAGGTAGTGTAGATTCAAATCATGACCCCCGGGGGTAGGGCGGGGCCACAATGGCCGACCAAAGTTTTGCATAGAAATATATAGGAAAATTCTTTAAAAATCTTCTTCTCAAGAATGCCAAAGCCATGATTGATCATATTTATATGGAAGCATCCTCAGGTAGTGTAGATTCAATTTTGTTCAAATCATGACCCCCGGGGGTTGGGCGGGGCCACAATGGACGACCAAAGTTTTACATAGAAATATATAGGAAAAAAAATTTTAAAATCTTCTTCTTGAGAACAGCAAAGCCATAATTGATCATATTTATATGGAAGCATCCTCAGGTAGTGTAGCTTGAAGTTTGTTCAAATCATGACCCGGCCCCGGAGGTAGGGCGGGGCTACAATGGCCGACTAATGTTTTACATAGACATATGTAGGAAACTTCTTCTCAAGAATAACAAAGCCATAATTGATCATATTTATATGGATGCATCCTCAGGTAGTGTAAATTCAAGTTTGTTCAAACCATGACCCCCGGGGGTAGTGCAGGGCCAAAAAGACTGATCAAAGTTTTACATAGAAATATATAGGAAAATTCTGTAAAAATCTTCTTCTCAAGAATAACAAAGCCATAATTGATCATATTTATATGGCAGCATCCTCAGGTAGTGTAGATTCAAGTTTGTTCAAATCATGACCCCTGGGGTAGGGCGGAGCCACAATGGCCAATCAAAGTTTTACATAGACATATATAGGAAAATTCTTTAAAAAGCATCTTCTCAAGAATAGCAAAGCCATGATTGGTCATGGGACTACTTTTGGATTTAAACTTTTCAATAATAAACCAATTTTTACTTTTTCCTAGCCACAGTGCTCAGGTGAGCGATGTGGCCCATGGGCCTCTTGTTAGTTTAAATCTTCTTTACTTATCTGTTTAGTGACTACAACACACAGCCCGACTGGAACAGTTCCCCAGCAGCCCACCCCATTACCTCCCAGTGGTCAGTATTCGTGGCAAACTTTCATTGTCTTAGCATTCCTTTCATTCATTCAGGTAAACTTATTCTCATCATCACTGGTAAAGATTATTCGTAGTCAGCGTCTTTTACGTTAGTATCCATAGGTAAGGAGGCTCATTTTTGTACTTTCTAAGTGTAAAACATAATTGTTATTTACTTTCAAAACTAAGAGGTTCATTCCAAAACAGCTACATGTAGAAGACTTTTGTTATAGCTCAGTGATTGTCATATTAAAACCAAGTTTGTTTGACTCGTTTCAACAATTAATTTGAATAATATAAATTAAAATGTATGATTTTTCAATGATTTGAAACTGTTGAAATAGGGTATGTTGAAAATAAGCAATTCACTTGCAATGTGCTGTTATTCGGTATGTCCCTCTACAGTCGTATGTAGAACTCTGTTAGAAAAAAAATATTCATACTAGTATCTCCGTGAATAAATTTAAAACAATATCGAACTATAGGCAATTTAAATAATCGTTACGAAAAAAAAATATTACTCAGTACTAGTATATATTTCAACTGCCGGGTTGTGAAATTTAGAGATTTGCGTATTTGAGTTACGGTTGTGATGTCTTTGATGTAAAAATGCCGTTTAGAGAGCTCCGTGATAACAAAGCATCCATGCTAGGGGATCTAAAATGATTTAAAACTCCACCAATGAACAAAATAAAATGATTTCACTTCTGATAATTTGTAAATCTTGACTTAAAAAATATGACGAGGAGTGTCATGTGTCTTCTGTATATTTCTTACCGGCACTTGTATTATAAACTTGATTTGTTGCTTAGAATTTTTGAAGACTGCTTTAATAATATTCTCAGGGCAGCAGATGACTATAACGATAGAGTTAGAGAAATATAGCTGGTCTGATGAGTTACTCCTAAATATGTCATCTTATTACCAGGAACTGAGGAGAATCGTGATGAAAAGCGTGAGTATAAATAGCCATCTGTTTAAGTACCTCCCTTTGTGTATGTCCTTCATGTACAACGCTTTTAATTTCTTTTTCCAGTTTCAAGAACAATTCAGCGGAATGCAAGCATTTTTGGGAGTGGAGGTTAAATCATTCAGGTAATTGTTACTTACCTTTTTATCACGATTTGTTCAAATTTCGCCTAAGGAACCATGGGGTTCAACGAATTAACCATCAGATATAGAACTTATTTTTTATATATGATATCTTAAGCTGGCAACTGTCATTTGGCAAAGAAAAAATTCATACGTTTTAGTTTTAAAATTTGATATTTTTTGGACATGTATATCTAAACATGTAGCTCTTCTTCAAAAGGAAATCAAAATACATTTAGTCTAAAAATGGCCACAACCACCCAGTCCTCTTACCATTAAAATTTGTTATCCCCATTTCGCCTTAGTCTTCTGGAGTATATTGAGGTGAAATGAGCATTTGTGTAATTCAACCTAATTATTAAAAGATTAAGGTAAGTAATTTTTTAAGTACAGGGGAGGGGTAAAACAAAATTAAAGGAAAAAATCAAGCCAGTTAGTATTATCTCAGACACAACATAATTCATAAAGATATTTATCTTTTTTAAACCTTGATAATATGTACAAAATTGTACATTGAACTTATATATTAAATGTTTCATCCAAAAATTGGGTTTTAGCATGTAATTGGCCAACCAGTAAAACAACGTCTAATTAATTTACAATTATTGTTTTTACAAATAAATAATAACTTCCCAATTTGCCTAAGTATTTCTTTTACCTGAATTTCACAGTTTAGGAGAAATGAGAAGTTCAATTCAATTCAGAATTTAACACAATTTTTACACATGCATAAATTCAAATTTGAAAACATATTTAGCACTCTCTTACCTGACCACAATGTAAAGAACTAACTTAATCTACACTAATTTGGAATTCTTGCATTAAGGATATGCGATCCTCAGCCGGGAAGGATAACTCCAAAAATACATATTTAATTTGAAATGCATCAAAATGAAGCTTGAAAATGATTTTTTTTCATGCAACAATTTTCATTATATTTATCTTTATAAGATTCAAGGTTTTTGGAAGTCTTAGAAAAGGCCTTATAAAAGTTGACATTTGTACCCTATAAAAGGAAAAACAAATTGATACAGTATTAGAGAAATAAGATTTTCTTGAATCCAGCCTCAGATACCAATGATTATGAGCATGATATGAAATAAGAAGTGATTTGTGGTGTCTTGCTATGATAGCAAAAGCCTTTTACACTATGTATTATAGAATACATGACGGAAATAGAAGACAAAAAATACCAAATAAGTATAAAAGCATGACAATTTCTCTGAATGCCTGGATACCTGTCGTTTTTTAACCTTAAATATATTTGTTGATCAATTTGCAATTAGAAAATGCATAGCTGATATTCCTATTCGCTTTTTCTGCAAAAATATTGGAGATTTGACGATTTTCCCTATATAATATGATTAAATTTAATCTTGAACTTTAAAGAAACACTGTGGATAAATTTACATAACTTTATGGATTCAGAGATACTTTTATGAGTACTTTTGATTACTTAACTGCTAGTTTTATAAACCTGAGGATCGGACTACCTTAAATGTTTTCTACCTACATAAGTTTGCGTGTAAAGGATGAACTCCTCTATGACCTCATCCTAGTTCTGAACAATGGTCTGAACTAGAAATTGCACTTCATGAAGATAGATGCATATTTTATTTTCGTTTAAAAAGGGATGTGACATTAGACTTTGATTGATATTTTGAGAAGTTGAAATGATAAATTTTAAAGGCGACCTGCGTATTCGGTTATATGACAGATTCGGATAACGTAACAAGCCTCTGCTTTCATTGAATACCCGGTAGTCTAATTTTCAACGTGGTTGTGCTTTTGAAAATTATATTTAAACAAGAGGCCCATGGGCCACATCGCTCACCTGAGAAGCTTTGACCATGCTATTCATAACCAGATTACCCACTTGTAATACCTATTGTGACCCCATCGTACCCCACTGGTCATAATTTGGACAATTTAAAATCTACACTACCCCAGGATGCTTCCACATAAGTTTCAGCTTTTCTGGTACAGTAGTTCTTGAGAAGAAGATTTTTAAAGTTTTTTCCCTATATATTTCTGTGTAAAACTTTGATTCCCCATTGTGTGGCCCCACCCAAACACTGGGGGTCATGATTTGAACAATTTAAAAATTACACTACCCCAGGATGCTTCCACATAAGTTTCAGCTTTTCTGGCAAAGTAGTTCTTGAGAAGAAGATTTTTTAATGACCCCACCCTATTTTGTTATTTTTTTTCTTGATTATATCCTTTGTAAGAGGACCTGGCCCTTCATTTTAAGAATTTAAATTTCCCTTCACCCAAGGATGCTTTATACCAAGTTTGGTTAAAATTGACCAAGTGGTTCTTGAGAAGAAGTCGAAAATGTGAAAAGTGTACAGACGGACAGACATACGGACGGACGGACGACGAACAAAATATGATCAGAAAAGCTCAATTGAGCTTTCGGCTCAGGTGAGCTAAAAACTTTGAAACCCCCATTATCGATGTTTTCTTTTCAACAGATCTGGTGGAGTGTTTGTTGATTTAGTCCTCTCGTATGACAGAGCACTAACTGATGCTGCCAGTCTGGTCAACACAATCTTCCTCTTACTCAATCACGGATACATACATCAGTTACACGTCACTAACTATCTGCGGTATGATTATGGTTAGTACATATCTTTTTTATTACGTTATGATATATCAATACACACTGTTGTATTATATTTCCTGCTTTTCATGAACTTCAAGATAGATCAAAAGGATAGAGCCATGTACATTTTTCATAATTTCATTTCTATATCAGTGAAAGAATTAAAATTTGTATATTATACTTTCAATCTCAAAAAGTTCTTGCACACATTTAATAAAATAAAAAAGGTGAAAGTTACAAACAGTGATCGATTTGAAATAATTACACACAATACAAATCTGTAGATAAGGACATTGTAAATTGTTTATAATAATCTTCAAACTGATCACTTAGTTTGTAATATTTATTTTAGTTATTGAATTAATTAATTTTGATGGAAGTATGAAGTAAGACTGTACAAAGTGATTAAAGACCTCCTTTGAAAAACTAAACAAAAGTAAACCATTTCTATATATTATCTCAGTTGTGAAGGCAGGCACTTGTCCTCTGGTTACAACAGTAGGTTCGTGTACAGAACAATGTACTGGTGACAGTAGATGTCCTGGTGTACGGAAGTGCTGCTCTAATGGTTGTGGTCAAATGTGCACCGGTGAGTCAATCATAATTAATTTTCAAAGCACTTACTTTAGTTTTAGATTTAATATCTTAGTTGAATGAGAACAAATAAATGTGATCATATTCAGTATACACTTATCCACTGGTCGTGAGTGGGGAATAGTTTCCTGTCCAGGGTTTGATAAAAGAGCTATCCCAATCACAACCAGTGGATAAGCGTTTTATTATACTGATGTATATTATATTTTCTGAGGGTTGAATTTTTTGGAGTAAGATAATACTGCAAGAATAATATGAAATCCTGATAACGGCACAATGCTACTGAAGTCATTATGACATCATCAGTCAATAGATTTATCGCTGGAAATCAAAATTGGCGGCAAAAATTGCATGAAAATTTTCCGAGGGTGGATAGCAAAAACTATACCCCGGGGTATAGCTTTGCTATGTGTGAACTATAACAGATAGTTATTTTACCTTCTGAACTTTATATAGGAAACATTTTAACAGAAGTATAATAATATAAATTATTTTATATGATAATTGTTTTTTAATTTGATTTATTACATACTTAGTAATAAATACAGGATTTTTGCATATGCGATATGCCTGACGTCACAGTAGCCGATATGGTTGATATGGATTTGCGTGGTGGATATCACTATCACATAACTAGTAAATTAAACCTTAAAAAGAGTACTTGTGATAATACACATATTTTTTTTAATTCACATTCTCTTTATAAATTACAGTTCTTTGATATAATACGCTACGTACATATCAGTAGTCAGTCCTTGATTAATATTTAATTGATTTTTCAAGCTGTTGTGTGTTGTATTTTATTACTAAGAATGTAATAAACATAATAAAACATACCCTTAACCACATCGCATCCTGTATCAGCCCCTAGGGCCCTCGGCCCTCTGGCTGATATTTGTGATACAGGATGCGATATAGAAAAGGGTATGTGTTATTCTCTATGTATCACACAAGAAATTTCACAGTGAAGATTAAAATCAGTATAACCATTCAGGTTTGGGTTTAATTTTAAGTTAATCTTTATGCCCCCTTAATCGGAGATTAGGAAGTATATAGTTTGCGCTCTGTCCGGCTGTACATGTTTGTCTGTCTGTCTGCAAAATCTTTAACCTTGGCCATAAATTTTGAGTGGGTGGAGCTATGGCCTCATATTTCACAGATGTATTCCTATTGAAAAGGCCTTTCTTCAGGTGCCACCAAATTTGACCTTGTTACTTGACCTAGGGGTTTGACACACTTGTACCAAATATTTACGAATTTATACCTTGGCTATAACTTTTAAAGAGATGGTGCTAGCGCTTTCATACCTCACATGTATATTGACTGTGAGAAGACCTGTGATTTGGTATTTTAAAAAAATATTTGACCTTTTGACCTTGACCGTAGAGTTTGGGAATTAATCTAGGCCATAACCTTTGAACCGTTAGGACTAGGGCCTTCATATTTCATATGTTTATTTCCTTTGACATGACCTTCCCTTGGATACCAATAATTTTAACCTTGACCTTACAGTTTGACTTGCATTTGAGAAACTTAATCGTCTGCAAGCTTTTATATAGGGTCATCAGTATTTCACAAACACACCTTATTTTACATATATGATAGATGTATGGATGCCTGTTTCCTCATCAACAACTACAGATAAACCTTCAGTACAGATAACAACAACAAGGACAACAATGCCAGCAAATGGTCAGTAGCTTCACTGTCACCTTATAAATCTTGTTCAAATGTGTAATGTACACGAGATGTATATCTGGTAAATATGCGTGGTCATACTGCATTAGTATGTTTTGATCATCTGTCTCTTTGTTAAAAAGTTTTGGAGGATACTTCACAAGCAAATAAATCTATCCAAATCTATTTTGTTGTTAACATTGACATCTGGATGTGTTCACCCTAAACTCTATTCAATTGATAATACTGGTGATATATGCTTCAGTTTATTTAAAGTCTAAATATACACAAATATTGCAGCAAAAGGGAACCTTCTCATATGCTTAATGCTTTGCTATTTCTAATACGCTGACGTTTGGTTACTTTTGTGCAGTGGGTGTGCTTTCCGTCACTATGGAGCTCCAGGATTATAAGTGGGATCCGTCCCTGTTAGATCATCGATCATCCTACTATCTACAGCTGGAAACCGCCATCAAAACCAGCGTCAGTATCTTGTACAACCTTACTTAGACTATCGTAAAATTGGAAAAAGAAGTCATATTTCATGATGTTTTTTTTTTAATTTAGGTCTTACAGCTTTTTAGTCAGTCGAAAGCAATTGTAGACGTACAGATCACATCTTTCCGGTACGCTCATGCTATTTTGCATGTTTTGTTTCGCTCTAAAGTACTTTTCTAGCAATGTTCAATATATTTCAGTAACATTGCGACTAATAACTATATATTTTGCATTATTCTACATTTTTTAGATCAAAGCAGAATCGTGTTGACCTGGTCATCTTGTACAATGCGGACAACGCGGTTCTTATGGATTTAATCACCAAGATGATACAAGCTAGAGAAAAACAAGCGGTCCATGATCTCAAAATTACAAGTTATATGACATTTGACACTCGTGAGTTAACCATCTCTCTTTTAGAAATTCTAGTTAATCAAAGGTTTACGTGACTATTAAGGTTACCTGCTCATGAGTTATAGTAGGCAATTGTGAATATGATAACAATGCGTATCTGGAATTGGTATCATGTTTGTTTGTTTGTTGGCTGGCTTTTTTGTCTAGGATTTCCCTCTTTGTTAAGTTTTATATATTTATCTATAAAGCGTCCTTCAAATCATGAAGATTGATTTAATGTACACTAGTTGAAAACAATCTGTAATAGGAAGTATAAATGTCAACAGTTGTCAAAGTTCTCGTCGAATTTTGAAAAGTTTTTGAAAACTTGTCTGACCTTAATGTCAACATATATTTAATAATCATCATCATGCCAAAGAAATAGAACCTTCTAATTAAAGTGTGCTAAAGCAACTAACTGACCTAAAAGTTACTTTCCATTTTCAATTTTTCCCATTTGGCAAGAAGACATAACTATTTTCAAATATTTGACAAGTTGACATTACTATCTAGCAGGTTAATTTAAAACTTATGTAATGAGTTCAGATAATTATCTGACAAGTGGACATAATTAGGTAAGGTGGAAACAATGGTAATGAGTTTCATTTTTTAACATACCTTTCTATTTTCATGTTTTTACTTATAGATTATAAATTTTATAATCAATGAAATCGGGGAAAATGAATATAAGAACGCTATGAGACTGGTATATGATTCCTGATTATATTAAAGAAACATGATATTAATTTTTTAAAAAATAATAGAGATATTTACCTACAAATGTTGATTATTATCAGAACAGATGAAACAATACTGAATATAAATTATTGTTTTTGTCCAGAACTGAAGGAAGGTACATGTTCCCCAGCCTCGGTCGGTGGGTCCTGCTTTGAGGATTGTATGGGGGACGGGACCTGTCCCGGGGTGGAGAAGTGTTGTTCCACGGGCTGTGGAAGACTCTGCACGCCAGCTATTCAAATTCCCTGATGTAACTGGTACGTTTTACATTTGTGTTTACTTTTTGTTGGTCATAAAAGGGCATGGACACTCTTGCAATGCTTTTTCAATAACAATTTTATCAATTTTTTAATCAAATATAAATATTTTCACTATGAACTTATACGAACATTTTAATACCCATGACATTGGCATCCTTCGTCAACTTAGGCCACTTCGGCACGAGTTCTATTTTGTTAACATTCCTCATATCTCAGACCACAAACAGACAACTGTACTGTGCCGTTTTCCCTTTCTTACATTTGATTTGTCCATCAAATGTTCGGGCATATAGTGTCAGTTACCCATTACTGTCCAGCACTGAATCTTTTGGGATTTTTGTTTTCGCTCGTTTTTTCTGCTTTGCCGGAGAATTTTGAAATGATGTCTGCCATGTCTTTCTATTTTGATCAATTATTACAGATCAATTTCTAGTTTAATATTGTTTTTTTTCATAATTCTTTTTAAATTTCTCAAATTCACCTTTTTAACTACAATAGTAAAAATTTTTTTTATTTTCATACCATAAATAACTTACATTGACTTCATTATACATACCAAGTTTGGGGGAAATCTATTTTTAAGGGACAAAATACAGGTGCACTTACTATAGGATTAAATAGGAAGGTGCAATTTTTTCGCACTTTAAAGCAAATTATATAAATACTACAACAGACTTTTTGCTCAAACTAAAACTGCTTTAAAACAGTTTCAAACTGATTGACAAATTTGAAAAGAGGTTAAGTTAAAAATCCTTACTATTTGTTTTTCTTTCTTTCTCTGTTTTGGTTGGTTGCCATTTTTATGCGGTAAAGAGATGTTCATTGCTACCGAAGTTTTATCTTTTTTATTTATTTTTTTTCTTCATGTATCTTTTTAAAACTGTTCCTAAAGTTCATATTTTCATTTTTTTTTTAGGACGTTGCTAATCACTAAAGATGGTGACAACACTTTTGGGATGGGATCATTTAAAATACTTCTAAAAATTGGAAGCCGGCATTGTGTGTCAATGACTGAACGAAAATGATGTTTTCGTTGTTTTGTTAACAATGTCAATGGAAGAAATGTTTATGCCTACTAACGTAAAGAGATGTGTTGTTGCTCTCAGAATTTATATTGAAGAAAATATACATATTATTAAATATCTATATATATTATTTAAAAATGTTTATACATATTATTAAATGTTTATGTCTATTACTGTAAAGATATTTTGTTGCTTTCGTAAATATTTATCAAATGAAGAAAACAAATGTATTATTTTTTACTATGATATATAATTCATTCCATGAATAAAGGTGATATCTTTATTTTTTCCTGTCGAAGATTTTTTTCAAAAGTATACCACCTGTTTTAAGACTGTGAGAGTAATTAACGAATTTTTAAACAGATGAAACTGTCAAAATTTATATTGTTTTTACAGACAAGTCGTTCATATATCTGACCAGTGTTATATAAAGGTTTCATATTGTCCTTTCTGACATATTTTTTTAAGTAAAATCTTCAACATGACGACTTTAGATTTTATTTTTTTTTTAAATATGTCAGAAAGGACAGTATCCTTCGTTTATTTGCAAAAACATGAGAGGACATAAGGGGGCACAATAATAGATAGATAAGCAAATACGTAAAACAAATCGTTATAACTAGTAATGATACTCTCTTCCTGTGAATATCATGCACATGAAAAAAAGAAGGTCCGATCCCGTGCAGAAATACACGGGACTTTTTCAAAAATAATTGCATAACTTCCATACATGTATATCTTGTCCCATTAGGTCCATTTACAAAAGTGATATAGCTCATAAGGAACAACACGCTAGCCAAAAGTGAAAACACTAACAAATCACGCCGACGCTCCAACACATAACACAAACGCAAGCTAACGCAACTTTACACAACACACCGTCACGCTAACACACGATACATTACGCAATATTGTGTCAGCGTAACGGTGTGCTTTGTGCGTTGTGGTATGTAAAGTTGCATTTGCGTGACGGTGTGGTGTATGTAAGAGAGACGGAGTGGTGTGTGTTAGCACAACAATGCGTTGCAAACAATGCGTTCTCACTAATGAGTGCAACAGTATCAACTTTTTGCTAGCGCACTGTCACTTTGCATTAGCAGGGTGGTATTTTCAATAGTGCACGTTGTTCCTTACGATAAAAAAATTAAAGTTACCTACACACGCATTTGCACGCATGAAAAAACGCATCGAACGCTATAATTTTTTATACACCTGAATTACTGGACAGCTTCAGGGATATGCACATCTCTACAGAAACTTAATGTTTCCATATTTTCCATCTATAAAATATGCATCACACAAAATGGCAATACATTACATCAGTAACTTATAGAAAATAGCATTGGACTTTTAATTCAGAAATGTATAAATTAAAACATTTACGAATTGAAGTTACTGGTGGCAGCCAATTTGACTTCATGAAAATACACCGTATATGATATTTTTCAAAGATGAATATGAACGGCTGAGACTTGTCTTACATGGGGGGGGGGGGGGGGGGGGGGGGTAGGGGCAAAACAATGAAACATATATTGCATGCACTTAAAATGCAGACATGGCATCCTTTTGCGTTTTTCAAAGGAAAGAAGGAAGCCTGAAAATGATTAACAATCGGAAAATAAAACACATGTATTGGTTTGGATTTGTCTGCCTATTGCAGCATAAAAAAGGAAATAGGGTGTTATAGCGGCCTTAAAAAATTATAACACTGGGGACGGGTCCAAGTGAACATGCTCTAGCATGGTGGAATTATCATGATTAGACTGAAAAGATACAAATACTCGGCCTCAGAAAACATGATTAAAAATTCAAAACCATATTACAATGTACTTAGTATTTATAATATTTTATAAATAAAATAAAATTAAAAATGTTTCTGAAATTTTTCTTTCAAGAGTTTTAACCTAAAATACCTGTTTTTACCAAATTTGTGACCTTCGGATGAGAATTTCTTCTTTCTGAATACAACGTATACATTGATTTGTATCATTATACTTAGCAGAAGCAGGATAGGCTGTGTCACGCATATATATACAAGTATATATATTTGGTAAAAAGTTATGCTTTGAGAAATTCGTATTTTTTCACCTCACACTCGTTCAAAAAAAATCAGTCAAGGAAAGAAAGGATTCTTTCTTTGACTTCTGATGTTTGATAGTCACGATATTTCGGTACCCCATTTACCTTAACTTATCTCACAACATTTTGTGAAAACAAAACCATCCCCTCTTCCTAATTAACCTCCTATTTGAAAAGGATTCCAACATGCATATAAAACAGGCAAGTAGCACTCAAAATTTTTGGGAAAATAACTTGTACATTAGCTCTCTATGTTTAAAATCTTGTTCTCAAGAACAACAAGGCCATGATTTTTATAAAGAAGCGTCCTCAGGTAGTGTTGATTCAAGTTTGTTCAAATCCTGACCCCTGGGGATAGGATGGGGCAAAAATGAAAGTTCAAATTTATAGGGAAAAAGCCACAGTAAGTCAAAGAAATATGTGAGCATTCTTTGTAGATTCAAGTTAATTCAATCCATTCCCCCTTATACCGTTTAGGAGTAGGTTGAGACCACATGCATTTTAGCTTTTCAAAACTGGATTGATTTTTTTTTCTTCCTAGCCACAATGCTCAGGTGAGCGATATGGCCCATTGGCCTCTTGTATTTCATTCATTTAAAAAAGTTTCCCTCTAACTTTTCCAAAAAATATATGGAACCTTTTTCGAAAAAAATGGTATCAGTCTTCGCAGGCATTTGATTTTAAGATATCTTGTAGTAAGCTCAAGATTAACGGTCCAGTGATTTATCAATTTACTTTGTTGACCCGTTAGGCTTTAGTGCTTGACCACGGGTAACTGTTGAGTAGTGATTCACGGTCGGTAGAGTTCAGCTATCACATCCAGGTTGTCCACAAAAAAAATAAAATAAAATAAAACGTATCTGATAAAAGTATCATAATGATATTCACTAACAAAGAAACCCAGAATGCCTCATGAAGTTTTTTTGCTTGCTTGTTTGTTTGGGGTTTTTTTTCAATTCCTTTAAAGGTACTTGGACACAGATTTGAAGTTAATATTTTCTCATTTTTTCTGTATAATATCACGAATTATATATTTTGATAGCATTTCACACAAAAATTAATTTAAAATTTTATTTCATTTTAAAGTTATTAAAACTTTAAATGTTTTGGCGGGTTTGATTGACACATCTTTGCACTTTCATAAATTTTAACTTTATTCTTAATCCTTAGGAAAAGTGGCAATTTTGATTAAAATGAGAAATATTAAAACTTTTATCAAGAAAAATAATTTTATTCAGCGTAGGAATGTTAGAAAGCAAAACACTTTCACAAGTATCGTCATTCCGAACTAAGAGATGCGTACAGAGTTTAGCAAATCGAGCACACCCGTGTTATGTACACAGTTTTTGTAAACAGGGCTCGAGTTCTATTATTGTTTATATTTAGAATTCACCGGATGCGTTCAATCGTCACAGTCTGCTTACCACAACTGCACGGACTGACAATATAGCGTGTGTTTGTTTTTCCTTCGGACGTGTCTACTCTGAATTTTCTGGATTATAGTATTAATATTTTTCATTTATATAAAACGAGATTACCACTTTTCCTAAGGATTAAGAATAAAATTAAATTTGTGAGAGTGCTAGGATATGTCAATCAAACCCGCCGAAAAATTTGAAATTTCAATATCTTTGAAACGAAATAAGATTTTTAATTATTTTTTGTGTGAAATGCTATTAAAATATATAAGTCGTAATATTATAGAGAAAATAAGAACTTCAAATCTGTGTCCAAGTACCTTTAACTAAAGTACAGATTACAGTAAAAATAAAGCTTAAGTAAAAGTAAAGCGTCCTATGTACGATTAGTATCTAACTGGTTATATTAGAAAGTCAAAGTCAAAGTCTTTTTATAACTAAAAATAATAAATATTCAAAGACATTTTGTTTTTACATTTTTTTTATTTTACAATTGTACTGGACATAAATGTTTATGTTACAAGGGAAAGAAGCGTCGGAGGTTCTTGGCTTGCAATGCACGCGCATGTAAGATTTATCTCGTAAATATAAAAATATATAGATATACTTTCTGGCAAATCAGTTGTACAAGAAACTTCAAAATAATTGTAAAAATCATGAGTGCGGCTTTGACGTACGTTTACTTCATCCATTTATGTAAATTTTAACTATTATCATAATTCACAGATATAAAGCACTTAAAAATATCAATTTTTCGTATGTATACATAGTTTTTGGAAGGAAACAGCAACCAAAAAAAGGAAAACAAGCAAAAAAAAAAAAGAAAGAGAGGAATGAGAGTGGGGAGTAAGTGAGCGAAAGATGAAAGAAAAGTAAGTGGGTGGAGAGGAATGTCAGGGAGAGAAAGGGGTGACTATCCCTCACCTCTTCACTCCCATCTCTCTCCACATTCCCTCTACACACACTCCTTGGGAGGGAGTGGAGAAAGAGGGATGGGAGAGAGAGAGATGGGAGAGAGAGAGGGCGATGAGGGAAAGGGGAGTATGGTAGTGGGGAGAGGAGTGGTGAGGTAAAGGGGAGGGAGTGTAGGGATGGGAGTGGTGAGAGAAAGGGGAGTATGGAAGTGGAGAGAGGGGGAGTGGTGAGGGAAAGGGGAGGGAGTGTATGAATGGGAGTGGTGAGAGAAAGGGAGTATGGAAGTGGAGAGAGGGAGAAGGGAGTGGTAGAGAAATTTCTTTAAACGCAAATTTACGACATATTAATGCATTTATTTATTTTGGAACTAAAATAATATTTTATTTTATTGATATGGTTGAATTAAAAAGACAAAAATTCCCTACATGAGCATGCTTACATGTTAATATGACTAAAAATAGCTATGCAGTCTTGAGAAGATTTTTATGCGCCCGGATCGATAGATCAAGGGGCGTATAATTGTTTTTGTGCTGTCTGTCTGTTTGTTTGTTTATCTGTTTGTCTGTCTGTTGTCAACTTTAACATTTGCCATAGCTTTGAGAAATAGAAACTACATTGCATATTTAATACTCCACTAATTAAGCTTTTTTAAATGACACTTGGCTCAATGACCTTGTGGCCTTGACTGTGATCTACTTGCTAAAAATAGCTTTTTCGAACTTTCGCCATAACTTTTGAACCACAGGAAATGGAGACTTTGTATTTAGCATGCATACTCCACTAATTAAGTTCTTTCTAATGACACAAAGGTCAATGACCTTGTGCCTTGATTATGACCTATATGCTAAAAACAGCTTTTCGAACTTTGTTGCCGCCGGGCGCATAGTGTTTTACAAACACATCTTCTTTCCTCTATTTTTTATGTAAAACTTTTATCCCCAATTGTTGCACCACTCTACCCCCAGGGCTATGATTTGAACAATCTTAAATTTACACGACCAGAGGATGCCTACATATAAATATCACCAATTATGGCTTTGCTGTTCTTGAGATTTTCAAATATTTTTCCTATTTACATCTGTGTAAAATTTTGATCGTCCATTGTGACTCCACCCTACCCCAAAGGATCATGATTTGAACAAATTTGAATCTACAGTATGATTCTATATTTAGTTTCATCTTTCCTGGCCCAGTGGTTCTTGAGAAGAAGATTTTTGAATTATGCAATTATTTTTCACTAATGTGTCATTATCTTCCCTTGAGGAGGGTGTGGCCCTTCATTTGAAGAAACTTATCATCGAAGGATATTGTGTGGTTGAAATCGGCCCAGTGGTTCTTGAGAAGGTGAAAATGTGAAAAAATAAGACAACAACGACGACGACGACAGACAACGTACAAATTTTGATCAGAACATCTCACTTGAGCCCTCGGCTCAGATGAGCTTAAAAAACACGATTTCTATGAAATATTTTCTCTTTTAAGTATACATAGCACTGATATTCATCAAAATCAAAAGTATCTTGCATCAGGTGAGGTCTTACTGAAAGCATACTCAAACTAAGAAGCACTTTTCATAGAAATTTACTACTCTAGTACCCATGGCAATACTGTTTAACAAAGTGAAAAAATGATAAAACAGAACTGTATTTTAGTGTAGTTTACTTGTGTCGTAAGATTTACAAAATTTTAACTTGGGGAGGAAATAGCATTATAAAACCAGACTCATGAGCCACATTGCTCACCTTACCACTTTAGATAAGAAAAAGCAGAAATCATTACAGTATTGAAAAGTTTAAACATAAAAGTTTGGGGTGTCATGCATAAAATGTTCTATAAATTTATATCTACCACTACCTGCAGATGCCTCTAAATTAATCTGACTATACTGTTTGAGTGGAGAATTTTTCCCTATGTTAAACTTTTATTGCCAGTTGTGGCCCCTTCAAACCCCAACCCATCCGGGGGGGGGGGGGCAAATTTGAATCTGCACTTCCTAAGTATGCTTCTACATAAACTTGGCAAATCAAGGCTTTGCTATCCTTGAAAAGAATATTTTTTAAATGTTCTCATGAAAGATTTTTTAAAAAAATTGTTGTGTCACAGTAACTGTAAGCATGAAAAAGAACCTTAACTGCTCATTGGTCTTGAGTATTGAGTATAAACCTAGCAAGTGGTAACTCTATGAGTGCCTGAAAAAAAATTAATTTTTTGATGTTTGATTTGATAAAACTCTTAACTCTCTCCCCTCTGAAGAGTTCTTATTTGATCCCACCTCTGATGTTTCATTGGCTACTATTTTGTATTGTTTTATGGACTTTGATATTGAATACTGTAGTCTAGCAATCCTTCTTCAAATTCAAAGAATTGTGGTCCCCCGCTTTTCGGTGTCTTTGTGGGTGAGACGTCATTATTTATGGAACATTTTGTCAAATATGAACCCTTTTCTTATGTCAATCAAAAGTTATCACCAAAGTTGATTTTTTTTAAATTAGGGCAAACATGAAGGTCTAAATCAAGGGGTTAGAAATCATATATATAAAACTCAAAGAAAGCCCTACTCTCTCCTAAAGTTTTTTCCAATTTAAAGTAAGATTTAAACTGTTGAAAAGTAGGACAAACTGCAAGGTCAAATTTAGAAAGGTCGTGTCATAGGTAATACACATATATAATATGAACGCCCTGTCTCTTCTCATTCAAAAGATATGGCCAAGGTTAAAAGTTTTTGTGACAGACTGATAGACTTACAGACTGACAAATGAATGAGATTTAATGTACCCACGCTTTCGCAAAAGCGAGGGACAAAAATTATATTTGTAACATTGTTTCAGACCAAGTTTAAGGAAGTGAATACACTACACCTATTTAATTTTGTATTTCTGTTCTTTTTTGCATGAAAAAAAATATGGGGTACCTTTTGTTGAACATGGGCTAGATAAACTCAAAATGTAATGCTTTAATTTGTTCAGAAAAAATTTTATTCTAAGTTTCCTTATTTGTAGAATTTGTGGAAAAAATAATCCGTACCCATCCTCTTTTTAAGACAATTTTCAAATGTAAAAGCTCTTACTGTGTGTACAAAAATCTTAAGCATTTCTATATCACACAATGCTTCATATCTGAGTGCTATCTAAGTGAATTCTGAATTTTGATGTATTTTTGATTTGGATATATTCTTAATTTATATATAACTAAATAAATCTTAAGGGCACTGTGAATATAAACCTTTAATTATATAAATACGATAGAATAATTCCTATATCTCTGATTGGCCTATATCTAGGAAAAAAACTACACTGTACGTTTTTCACCTGCATGCACATGGCTTTACATGTGATTACTAATATAAGGATTTATTTTCGCTACAATGGTCATAAAATAGATTAGGAAATGCCAAAATGATACAAATAGTTTTAGAAAGCTATTCCATTGCTATCAACTTTCACTCATAAACATGAGGGAATATAACTTTGAGTAGGGGATGCAGACATAGGTGACCCCCTCCCTCCCGAAACAATATCTTTAAAGTAAAATTTACTTGTAATTTAGACTTGAAATATCTATTAAAAGATTGTTACCCCCATTAATGAACCTAAACATCTATCCCTTACGCCTCCCAACCCCCAAAACAAAGTTTGCATGAGGTTAAACATAATTTTCTTTTTATGGGGGATAATCAAGGATATTTCAGCTGTCATTTTACCCTAATAATGCCACCTTTCAAAATCTATTATATTAAACAGCCTGACATAAATATTTCTTTCTCTTAGTAACTACTATATAAGCAGAATTTTTCGCCAGAATTTAATTTTGGCATTATTAGCGAGGGTGCCAAGATCACTAAAATTGAATATCGCTAAAAATTCATTGCCTTTTATTTGTAATAGCTTCTGTAGTAAGCTTTTTAAAATCGCTAAAATTACGTCGCTAAATTTCCGTCTCGCTATAACTTCCACTAATACGGTAAATCAATTTTGAAAAGTCCAAATTAATACTAGTTTATTTAACCCTGTTTCTCTCATTGCATTTGACTATGACTTCAGCAAATGCAAGTAAGTAACATGGCATTAAAAGCTTTAGGAGTTCTTGTTATTTTTAAAATCATTGAATCATATAATAAAACAATTACTGCAGGTTTTAGGTCATTACAATGATTTAGCAACCTTGGAAGGACAAAATTTACCTTGCCCATTGGGCTCGGTGAGTATTGTACTCCTCAGGTGGCTAAATCATTGTATTAACCTCAGAAACAGCAAGAATTCAATAGTATCTTCTCTTTTACTCTAATAACAAGAGGCCCATGGGCCACATCCCTTACTTCAGTAACTTTAACCATGCTGTTCTTCACCAGATTTACCCGTCTGTAATACCTATTGTGGCCCCACCTTATGTCCAGGGGTTATGATTTAGACAATTTAGAATCTACATGCACTGCCCTTCCACATATGTTTCAGCTTTCCTGGCCCAGTGGTTCTTGAGAAGATTTTTACAGATTTTTTTCTATATACATGTATTTCAATGTAAAACTTGGATTCCCCTATAGTGGCCTGTCCTACCCCCGGGGGTCATGAATTGAACAATTTGTATCTATACTACCCAAGAATGCTTCCACGTTTAAACTTTCTTGGCCCAGTGGTTCTTGAAAAGAAGATTCTTAAAGAGTTTTCCTATATATTTCAATGCAAAACTTGGATCCCTACTTTGCCCCAGCCCAACTCCCAGGGGTCATGATTTGAAGAATTTAGAATCTACGCTACCCAATGATGCTTCCATATAAGCTTCAGCTTTTCTGGCCAAGTAGTTCTTGAAAAGAATTTTTTCAATGATTCCACTCTATTACATCTTTTCTTGTAAGGGGGCTGGACCCTTCATTTTAACAATTTAAATTCCCCTTCACCTAAGGATGGTTTTTACCAAGTATGGTTAAAATTGGCCAAGTGGGTTTTGAGAAGAAGTTGAAAATGTAAAAATTATACAGATGGACAGATGGAAAGACATACCTATGGACTAACACAACAACAGGTGATCAGAAAAGCTCATTTGAGCTTTCAGCTCAGGTGAGCTCAAAAAGAGTAACAGAAAAAAAAAATCATAGAAAAAGTTTACTTGGTGATGAGGGTGTGTGTGTGGCGGGGGTTGACTTAAATATTATACTACTTAAAGATGCCTTCATATCAATATAGCAAATATCTTTACTGCTCATGAGAAGATTTTTTAAAGATTTTTCCTTTATATTTCTTCTGTAAAAATTAGATCGTGGCCCCTCCCTACCCCTGGGGGTCATGGCTTGTACAGTATATAAATTTGAATCTACACTATTTGAGTATGCTTAAATGTCAATACGACAAAACATAGCTTTTCTGTTCTAGAGAACATTTTTTCCTATATTTTCCAACGTAAAAATTTGATTGCCCATTACAGCCCCACCATACCCCTAGGGCTCTTGATTTGAACAAATCTGAATCAAAATTATTTCAAGACGCTTTCACTTAAATTTCATCTTTTCTAGTCCACTGGTTCTTGAGAAAAATATTTTTTAATACACCCACCCAATTTTCCCTATTTCTTGATTATTTCCCCTTGGAAGAGAGTGTGGCCATTCATTTGAACAAACTTAAATTCCCTCTACCCAAGGATACTCTGTGCCAGTTAAGTTTCGATGATATTAGCCCAGTGGTTCTTCGGAAGAAGATGAAAGAAGACAACTACATCAATGGACAAATTTTGATCAGAAAAGCTCACTGAGCTAATAAAAAGAATACATGTACTACCTATCCTCGTCTAAAACAACAGAAGTTAATAAACCATCCTGACTGAGACTTACATATGTACTACCAAAGTTTCTTCAAATTGTTGTTAAAATTCATCTTTTTCAATTTTTACAATCAATTATGTCTATGTTATCAGCCTAAAACACAGCAGTACAAAGAAATTAGCAAATGGAAAGTCAAAGACAACGTAAACGTAATAACAGATAATATTGAATGTTATGTAGTTAGATATGGAATTATTTCACCAAGTTATAGAACTTCTTATCTCTTTGCTATCACAAAACAAAAAAAAATCACTTCTGAAATAAATTCCATCTTCAACTTCAAGACACTGAATATCCTATAAATATTTTTAAAACTAAAATAATGATAATGTCAAGAACACAATAAACCAAACCTAAGAACTGAAACTTTCCCACAATTTTACAATGGCACCTAATTAATTGATTGGTCTACAGAAATCATAAGTTATTCCTTTCCAAAGTCTGCTGTAGAGAGAGTGCCTGGTGGAAACTGTCATGTATAATGCCTGTAACTCCAACTTCTCTGTAGGAGCAGCCAGCCAGAGTGAGTGGGAGCTGATGCTCACCAATATAGGAGTAAATACACTGTAGTATCTTGTTATGTCCTACTCTATGCTGCGGTATGCAGTCCTATACAAAAAAAAATCATTATCCATTATCAATAGTTTGTTGATAATAAACTGAAAACATTACATCCTTTCAACAGACAAATCATAAAAGATTCTGAGCACCCAGTGCCGAGTCCCATGGGAGGATTTTATAACATGTTTAAGATGAATTGTTACTTAATATTACAAATCTCTGTCTTTATTCTGTCTAATTTAGGACAGTCTGAGATAGGCAACAGAAATGGGGGTATCACTGAATAATTTTTTTCAGATTTCCATAACTTTGGCTGGTGTAGGTTTTTACCAAACAAATAAATTTAATTAAATTTTTTTTACAAATAGAATATTAATCAGAAAAAAAATCATAGTCTAAAACAGAGTTATCATGTTATGAAACTGATTAACTCATTCTTGGACCAACAATTTCTTGTTCAAAAAAAAATTCTTGAACAATCCATGCTCTGAAGTTCAAGGCAGCATTTTTGCTTATCTTGTAGAGCTGATTTTCCTTTTGAGGTTATTGTATTACTTCAAACTTAATTTGTAATTATATCTATCATTATCAGTTAGATATACAGAAAGTATCAAATCAAATGAATTTTTTCTGTGAAATGATAAAAATCACTTGGCAGTTATGTATTTTCTGATGGTTAACTGGGTATTCATTGAAAAAGGGGACTGCATTAGATTGACCATGCCTATTAATAATGATGATTGTCCAAAATTTTTTGACAGAAAAAGAAATGCTTTAAAATTCATCTGTAAAAAAGCTGCTGATACCTTTGCTCTAAAAACATAGGTGTGAGCAAAACTTTCTCATTTTACAGTACTCCCTAGGCCTTTGCAAGGATGAACTTTTCAGATGGGCCCCAAACATTAAACACCATTAAGTATTATTTTAACCTTACCATTTGATAGTAAACTTTGGTGTGAACCGGAGATGCATCTATGTTTAATTGTTGGTGTAACACCTCCTTGGTTAACTTTATCACTGACTGGTCATTTAATCTCCCCACTCTGTCTTCCAGCTCCTTCATCCAGGCACCCCCCATCATCACCTTCAGACAAATAAACATTGACTCCATGCTATCTTAAGTGATTCAAATATTATGTACAATTAAAGGATAATCAAGAGAGGTTTAATTATCAATCCAATGTGCATGTACTTATATGCTTGAATTACAAGATAATTTTATTGATTAGAAATGTATAATATTCAATACAAATAACAAAGGAGAATAACATCTTTTGAATTAAAGTAAATTCTAATGGTCAAATCCACACTTTGAGTTGTGCCCTTTGGTAGAGTCAACTGAATATCAAGAGAGAAACATTTCTCCTCTTTATGTTATCAAACAAACATAAGGTTTTGCTCCAATTAATCCATCATGTTAATTTTTTTCTTTCAATGTATGGTGGCCCCATGCTGGTCTGAGCAATCTAAATGAACTACAAAGTAACAAATCATAAAACTACAGACTCAGGCTACTGTGAATATTCTATGTTTTTACAAAAAAATAGTTGCCAAGGGACATAACTTTTGAAAAGTATGAATTCAACTACCAGGTATGCAAGATCATAAAAGTATGGTTCTCTTTCTCCTATTTTAACATCTTTCTCTAATTTTTTACAATGTCACTTTGAGATAACCCTTACTGAACTTCTATAAACAAACCCCACATTTGTATACAGTGTGATAATGCCTGCATGCCTGTTTTACTTACCGTCAGTCTGGTTGTGTTTATGGGACCTAGCTCTGGGAAGACCCTGGAGTCATACACTACCCCCAGTATCGGGGGGTCTTCTGATGTGGGAAGGAGGTGTCCAAATCCCTGAAATAAATCAGAATTACATCAGGTGGAGATTCTACAACAAATTAAGAAATCAACAAAACATCAATTTAATATGTGATAGTTGGTTTGTTAAATACTGTGTTGACAAAGCACATCAGATGGTTTTGCAGCATACCGGTACTATTTCTAGACCACTGAGTATTTTTTTTACTCTTAGTACATACAGAGTATACCTACTAACAAATCTATGTATGCTTTAAATATTTTTGACAAAGCAGACGTTATATATAAAATCGTCATCTTTTAAAAACACAATTTAAATTAAACTCCACCTTTGTCCATTCATTTGACATAAAAATCAAAATGAAGGTAAAATTGTCTGTGGTTGAAAACTTTTGAAAAAATTACTTTGCTCCGACCCAATTTAGATGTTAATTCACAGCAAAACAGAGGCCATTAAAGTGTAAAGAATTAGATGCTTTTTTAATCTTAGTCTTTCATTCACAAGTATTTGATATAAGTGTAAAATTAAAATGAATTGCAATTATTAATTCTTAAGCATCAAAACTGAACAATTTTTTTCAGGTGTAATAAAATTTGGTTTGCATTAACTTTGATTAGTTGTATAAGTGTCATTCTTTTACTCCGAAAACCATTTCATCTTCTGATTTGAAAAGTACTGCATTTCTAAAACAAGGGGGCCAAGAAAGGCAATTATACTCCATTGATCTTTGAAAAATTAAAATTCGCAATGAGATCTTTTTCTATAAATAAAGAAGACAGAACGATCCACCTGTGGAACTTCCTCTAAGTCCTGGTCATACACCATGTTAACCACCACCACAGATACTGTAGGAATCCTGCTGAGAAAATCACTCAGTTCCTCATGTTTAGCGGGGAGCATGGAGGCCAGGTCTACAGAAACGTAACAAGATAATTTGATGCATGGGCACCATGAATATGGCTAGGACAGGGCGTTTATCATGTTCGTATAACTATTCTATCTTTCTATTTTCTTTCCTTCCATCTGTCCTTCTGTGACATTTTTAGCTCATTTTCAAAGAAACTTTCCAGGATATTTTAATCAAAATTCATTCACTGATTGTTTTGTTCAACTGCAAGTGGGATAATTTCCTGATCTTAACCTTCCCTGTTACTTTATTATAAAATGCAAATGTGACCACTTTTGCCAAATGTGAAATTTTAATTTTACTGAACAGTTGAAATTGTAGAAAAGAAAGATTAAGTTCTTATCCAACTCGTACTGTGAAGGAAAAAAAAGAATTGAATATCACATGGTTTCACCAAACTTGAATCTAGAATAAGTATGATAAGTGGGGATACTGATTCACAAAGAGTCTTAATTATGTCTTACATTATTTTTTCGAATTTTCCCCTCATAGACATGCATGTACACAACTAGTATTTAAAATTTGACCTCCAATTTTAAACCAATTCCAACTTAACTCAAGAGAAGATAAAAATTTACAATGATGATATTTGAAACAGATTCTTTGGAACTAAGGTTATCATAATATGGAGAATAGATAGGTCAAGGACTAGAAAGGTGAAGGTCGGAAAATTATGACAAAAATTAAATGAATTCTGGTAAAAAATATTTCAGTAACAATGGATGGAAGACAGATATGTCCTGGCCATATTCATGGTGGGACATATTAAAACACCTGATTTTTTTATTGCATATAATTCATATGTTATCAAATGGTGCTAAAATACCACTAAATACTGTACCAGCAATTCTTCTTTTAAAGTATCAGTAAAACAAATTTTGAAGTATTTATGAGTACACTATTATTACTTACTTTTGGAAAGCACTGTACTGACCACATGATCTGCCTTCAGTATATCATTATCCTTACTCCGTAACTACAAAAAAAGGGTTTATTAACTTTTTATAAACATGGCACAAAGACAAATATAACACTAACATATACATCCGTTTCATAATGTATGAAATTTGAGATATCAAACAGTATTCACTGAAATGGTACAAAACAAACAATGAAAAAAGTTTTTATATTGTTGACAGATTCAAGTGATTCACTGTTTGAATTGTCTTTATACTGTATATCCGGGGTTTTTTTTGGAGATGATCTATTGTTCGCTTTTTTAAAAATCATTTTTAATTTGTAAAATACTGAATAAAGAGGTTTCAAGTTTAAGACTTACTTTAAAAGGTATCAAAACCCTCTGTACCCAGAGCCCCAGGGAAGAGATTTAAATTGTGAAACTTATTTTACATCCACATTTAATGATTTATTACATGCACACAATTTTTTTTTGCTGCCACTTGAAAGTATAAAGGATTTCCAGGCAAGCCTTTCAAGGGATTCCTTTGGCCAAAATCAAAACTTAAAAACCCTCATACAGTTTAATATAAACTTTAAAAAATTCTGGCAAACTCTTAACAAATAGGAGATACAGTGACCAGAAAATATGAATGACAGATCAACAGACAGACCAATGGAGAAAACCTTACATGTATAACAAATAAACTTTCTTTAGAAAGTGGAGGTAAAAATAGTCCTACAGTGGCTGAAGTGGAGTCCAGTTCCATGGCTTGACAAGGTGTGTCCATCTTGATCTCCACCCTGGGGTCCTTCAGTAACGCATCAGTCAGGCCCTCCACTAGCTGTCCCGTCCCCCGACGGAGATTCCAGATCTGCCACGCCTCCTCAGCAGCGCGGCGTACTAACTCACAGTCATGTTTCTTCAGCTCTTTTAGATAAATTACAAACAAATATGTTTCAATTATACATGTTCTTTGTTTACAATTTTATGACTTACCAATTTTTTTTTTTTGTTTTGCTTATTAAATTTTCACATACAGTTTTTTTTAAATATTTTGTTCCAATAATTACAACTAGTTTGAACGTGCACCTTTTTTACAGCCTCTAATTAGCCCTATTATTCAGGCAGGGGGGTTGGGGGTTGGAAGGATTTATCAAAAACATAGTTTCTAGGGCATTACCCACCATCAGAAAATTCTCCATGAAGTAAACATGGGAATTAAACCTCTTATGTGTGTAGTCTGGACCTAAACTTCATTAAATGCAAAGATACATCAAATATATCATAGAAAAAGTTATCATTTCTTTCTTTACATTTTTTAAATGATGAAAAGTGACTACCTTTGTACAAAATTTTGATATCTGATAAGCTGTTGGTGCCAAGTTGACAATTTTAGGTGTTTTTAAAGCTTTGCAGGCCTGAAAACTTGCAATGAAACAAACTGCTTTATAAGTGCCAAGTCATCCAAGTCAAGTCAACTTTATAAGTACATGTATGTATAAGGGTGCACTTCTATTTTTAAAAGAATGACTAGAGCATATATATATTCTCTATTAAAAAAATATCCCTAGTACACAATTAATTCAGAAAAAACAGATACCCACCTTCCCTGGTCTGCTTCATTTGATGTTGAAGTTGTATCAAGGAACTGCATCCTGATTTTCCAAAAAGTGAGAACTTATAGCTTATATCAGCAATACTGCTTGCAAATATTCCTCTAAACATTGAATCAGCAAATGCCATTATCTGTCAGTAAAACAGAGGTGATATTAGCTTAAACTTAAAAAAGATCACAACTATAAGTTCTACTAAAAAGGAGCCATATCTTCTGAGTTTTCTTTATATAGAGATTTTTTTTAAATTTAAATCTGGGTTGAATTACCAAGTTAAAATTTAAGGGAAAAGCTTTTCCTCACAATATTTTTTTCATGTCAAAGGAGTGGTAGCTTTTATGTAGTGAAGAGTTATATTTCTCTGACTTCATGAGACAAAATAATGTACATGAACATAAACAACTGACATCTTCAAAATTTACTGCAATCAATTTGCATGTACTGTAGAACACTTAATTTTTGTGACACCTTACAATGTATATTTATAAGAAAGATATTAATTTACTCTTTATAAGCAAGACAAAATTTTCGCGAGTTGTGGTTAATGCTGTATGCAATATTTAGGAGTACTAGCATATGCTAGAATATTTTCGCAAGCACAGTGTCTTGCGCAATTATGCCAAAATAAAGTTCTCACTTATAAAAAGTGATCAAAGTAATTGATCCATTGGCATGATCATGACTTCGGGCTACACATGCCTGTGCCGTTTTTTATTTTTAAAAGTGATTTATTAACAATATTAATGAATTAGCACATTGTTGACTGCACCAGTTGCTAAAATAATTGGATTTAGTCAGCTTTTTATGTAAAAAAAAAATCATAGGTCACAGAATACAGCCAGTTTGGTTGATGACCAAAAAAAAAACAGTTTTTCTAACATATAGACAGTTATTGTTATTTGTTATTTTTTCATTCTCTATAAATCATTTCTATGATTATAATCTCATGGATTTGTTTTCACAAGTGAAATATTCACCTCTGGGTTAGTTCCAAATCTCTTGGAAAGAAAAGAGTGAACAGACTCATCCTCCACTGGAGATAAAATCCATCTGTCTTTAAAAATTCCCTTAAGGACGGCCTTAGTCAGATTCCATTTATCAAACTCTAAAAAAATAAAACATATTGATATAGATGTATATAGGAGTGTTAATGTATCTCAAAATAAACACTGTAATATATACTCTGAAAATCTAGGTCCAGTCTAATTAAAACCAGCTCTCCTTCTTTCTGACACAATTTCACAATTATTGATGGAAGAACAAATCTTTTCTACAGGGGGATTTAAAATCAATTCTTACTGGTTTAGAGTCTCTCAATTAATTACCCCTGGTAAGTAAAGTGTTTTAGATCTTTATCAGATTAAATGAAACATTCAATAATGTATGTCATGATTCACATGATCTTGGATAGGTAATGTCATTAAAATTAAACCTTGTGGAAATTCCTTTAGTTTTCCGTTGATAAAAAGCCTTCTCCTCATTTTCTCCTTTGACACAGTTATAATTTCATCTTTCATACCAAGCATATCCACCTAAGAATACATAATAAATCAAGACAGGTTTACACGTTTTTAAAATGAAATTAGAATCTTGAATGTAAACATTGATTACTCTATGGTAAAAAGAATTCTATATCATCTACTAGTTGCATTGTAATTACTAGTTCTAACGTGGTTGCCTCTGCTCTTCCCCCTCCACGGAAGCTTCTTGGTCCCCCTTCCAGTACTGTACCGTCCTGTAGGCGCTGTGTCTGAATCCATCCTCCTAGTCTATTGCTGCCCTCTATCACAACTATCTGTAGAATAGAAAATAAGATTGTTACAGTAACAATATTTTTACTACCTATTCAGTAATACATCTATCCAAAAACAGGCCCACATTTAGCCAGATTAATGTATCTATTAAAACCTACCCTTCAACATTTGCTGTAAATAAAGTATATCACTACTTCCACAACCCCCAAAAGCATTGAAGTATACAGTGTGTGGCGGTCAGCCAGGTTCGATCGCCGGTGGCCAGATAGCTCAGTTAGTAGAGCACCTGGCCGGAGTTTCAGGGGGCCCGGGTTCGAATCCCGGTCTGGTCCGCTGCATTTTCTCCTCACCCGTTACATTTGGTGCCGTGCCATGCCCTGGAATTGACAGGCGAAAGACCTGCCAGGGATGAGCCTGGGTTGGGGTCTTTGGAGGGCCAAAGACCTTTAAGGAGGGAGGAATGTGGCGGTCAGCCGGGTTCGATCGCCAGTGGCCAGATAGCTCAGTTGGTAGAGCACCTGACCGGAATTTCAGGGGGCCCGGGTTCGAATCCCGGTCTGGTCCGCTGCATTTTCTCCTCTCCAGTTACATTTGGTGCTGTGCCATGCCCTGGAATTGACAGATGAAAGACCTGCCAGGGATGAGCCTGGGTTGGGGTCTTTGGAGGGCCAAAGACCTTTAAGGAGGGAGGAATGTGGCGGTCAGCCGGGTTCAATCGCCGGTGGTTAGATAGCTCAGTTAGTAGAGCACCTGATCGGAGTTTCAGGGGGCCCGGGTTCGAATCCCGGTCTGCCTGGTCCGCTGCATTTTCTCCTCTCCAGTTACATTTGGTGCCGTGCCATGCCCTGGAATTGACAGTTGAAAGACCTGCCAGGGATGAGCCTGCAGGGGTTCAAAAATCCTCAAGTCCGACGTCCCGGACTAACAAATTCCGGATCCGGACTCGGCATTTAGAATTCGCCAAAGTCCTGGGACTTGGCAATGTTTCTTGTTTATCTTTTTTTATAAGTTAAAAAAATGATCGTAAAGCTAAAAATAAAGCAAATTCTCAAATGTATTAAGTAAAAATGTGGGTTTGTGGGCGTTAAAATACCCATAAAACATTACGAACGTTTCGAAAATACAATCCGTCTTTTTATTTTCCATTGCGATTAGACTCTTGCTTTTACGCCATTCCTCGTGTTTCCTCCTATATGACAAACGGCAATGAGTTTGTTAAATTTCGGTTTTAGCTGTGACTTACAGCACATTCTAATTTCTATTTATTGTAACAGATGGTTTATTCAGTTGTGAGTATTTGTAAAAGTTATTGTAATGTATAATCTATCAGTCTGGTATTGTGTTGAAATACTCATGCATGACTATATGACAGTTTATGGGGGACAAATAAAACATATATTAATACATATAGTCTTTATTCATTCAATGCAACAAATGAAAATAAATTATAAGTTACATAAATTTAATGATGTATAGGTAAATATGGACTCTGAAATTTCTTTCTCGGACTTGCCTAAAATTTACTCCTCAAGTCCTGGACTTGACCATGACAAAAAAAATTTTGAACCCCTGGCCTGGGTTGGGGTCTTTGGAGGGCCAAAGTTTCAGGGGGCCCGGGTTCGAATCCAGGTCTGGTCCGCTGCATTTTCTCCTCTCCCGTTGCATTTGGTGCCGTGCCATGCCCTGGATTTGACAGGTGAAAGACCTGCCAGAGATGAGCCTGGGTTGGGGTCTTTGGAGGGCCAAAGACCTTTAAGGAGGGAGGAATGTGGCGGTCAGCCGGGTTCGATCGCCGGTGGCCAGATAGCTCAGTTAGTAGAGCACCTGATCGGAGTTTCAGGGGGCCCGGGTTCGAATCCCGGTCTGGTCCGCTGCATTTTCTCCTCTCCCGTTATAAGTGTAATTGACATAAATCTCTAGTAGCCCCACTTCAAATAAAGCTTTCTAATTATATTATAACCAAAAGCTTTTATATTCCGTTGAAGTTTGTTGTCACGAGTTCACTATCTGGTAAAACAGTACAAACTAATAGACCATGAGTCTGACAGTCTGAGGAAACTCGGACAATTACATTTACAGTCCAGATTTAGGCCTACCTTTGACACATTCGGCAGTGACATTCGTGAAAGAAAGAAGGCTGATGACAATCCGGCAATGCCGCCTCCAAGCACTGCAACCGTTCTCATTTCCTCTCATTAATTCAATGCCAATTTAGGAAATTTGTCAACAACTGAACAAGTCAAAAGAAGAAACGTGAGGAAATTTTCAAGCGCTTCATTGATCTAGACGGTTTTGTCTAATGTCAAAACCGATCTGAGATCGGCATCCGTATTTTGAACACCAATGTGATGTTGAGCATAGGCCCAGAATCCTAGATAATATTTTTCAATTCTTTAAGAATGTTTTATTCACCTTTTAACATTATTTTACAAATAATAAATAAAAAAATGTTAAATGATAATGTAACCTTAAACGTTTCCTCCTCCCCTTTTCAATTTTTTCCTCGAATTCAATTTTTCTGTAATTGTTCTAGGATACAAAATATCTCTTTATATACAATATGAAAGAAATTCAATTTTTCTGAAACTTTGGTATTGTAATTGTTCTAGGATACAAAATATCTCTTTATATACCATATGAAAGAAATTCAACCAAACTTGGCACGTTTTTGTTTATGTATATAGGTGTTTTTTCTTACTGAAAATTTATTTTAACAACTTTTTAATAAGTGTATTTACATTTGTTCAAAATTTTTAAAATTTATTTTACATTTAACAATCGCTGACAAAGGCAAGCAGTGATATAGAATGGATTTTGAATTCCTGGGCGGGGGATGTTGAAACTTAACTTTGCTTGTTTGGATTTTTTTTTTGAGGGGGGGGGCATGTTTTATTTCATTTAAGAACTTGACAAGCGGAAAAAGAAAACAATTGTTTGATTCGGGAGGGGGATAAGTTCCATCTCCAACATCGTTTATAGTACTACATTTTGTATTTTTTTTTTTTTGTACACTAATTTACTACATTAATTACATTAACAAAAATGTGAGTTTCAATGAACACAGGCACCTGACGAATGGATGGTGTAACCTCCCACCCTCCCCCACCCCAGCTTCTGAGAATTTTTATTATATAGACAAAAAAATTATAAAAATAAAAATATATGATTTCCTAGTCTATCACCTTGCTGATATACTTTTGTTAAGATTCAGAGAAAAGGTATATAAAAATACTAAAGGTAAGAAACAAAGTCTTGGAAACATATAGGGTACCCTACTTCGAATGAGATTTTCTACCTTACTACAGCATAAACTATGAAATTTATGCAAGTTGTTTTTCAGGAAGATGTTGTTTTATAATCCCCCCAAAATTGTCCTAAATTCAAGTGCACTGTACTTGGTGACCTTCTATTTCGCTGCCAGTGAGACTAACTACGATGTGGACTTTTTCAAGTGATTTTTAAAGTTCATATATGGTGTATTTTTGATAAGTTCAAACTAACTAAAATTAAAAAGATCTTTCTATTTTTTATTCTTTATATAAAGATAGAACTTTCCTGTAAATTACACAATTTAAATCAATCGCGTTTAGATATCACATTTAAAACAATTAAATCGATTTATTTCCGTCTCGGAATTAAATAGCAGACACAGCTTAAAGTTAAATTAACTATAGAAAGTGGGGATATTTAATTCAAAATCGGTGATGATTTGAATTTGAACGTGAAAAACAAATATGTAAATCTTCACTTAATCTCATATTTTTATTTTTTAGCTCAGATACGCCATACCGGGGTATATAGCTTTAAAACAAACTATGGAAAAAAAATGCCAATCACAATATAATTATCTTTATGGTAAAAGACAAACAGCAATACACTAATATAGACATGTTTACAACATTTATAAGCACTACAAAATTTTGAAACATGTACATCGGGCAGCATATTGGTAAACAGTGAAGACTACAACAAAGTTTAAATAAGCACTACAACATATTTACAGAGCATATCTATAAGCAATCAAAGGAAAATAAAATGAAATGAAGCAACTTTTCTTTCAAACAAAAGTTACTTAGTTTAAGACTTACACAACCTCCTGAAATCAATGAATATGTAATGTCAATTTCGGTGAATTCACTTTCGGGGAATATAAACTCACAATTGCCAATCGATAAAAGTTACATTCGGAAAAGTCACATGTACATGCATTCGAATGGGAAGGTCATTCAAATTACGGTAAAGTCCTAATAAATTTTTTTTCAAAAAACTTTAAAAACGCATTATAATCCGTGTTTAAGAAGAAAAGCAAAGACTTACTTTATCAAACCAATGGTGCTGTAAATGATGAATATTTAGCTAGCCGTCAAAACTGGATAAAAAAAACTGTTAAATACAATACTGAGTACTTTAGCTTCATTTTTGTATGGTCTACTGTTAAAAGGAATTTGTGTTCGAATCATGTTGGTGGTACCTATGTGTATTAAGAATTTGAATCAGTAAACAATGTAATTTTGAAATAATTTTTTAAAAAAAAACGTAATTTATTATATGTATTTCCTAATAAGGAGTACATAATTCTGAATATAAATGAAAATTAAACTTAGAAATTTAAGCTACGATATGCTTTGAAATAGTTACCTGGAAGCTACATCTGGAGGACTTGATGTATGTATGTAATTATTGTTTCTTGTCAGCCTGATGGGTTTCTGGGAAAGGAGTTTCCATAAAATGTTTAAAATATTTATTTCTTTTCTCTGATAGGCTCAACTTAGCCCAGACGTCTGATGGCACCGGATGTTGCTGAAGTGTGTCCCCCAAAATGTAATTGCATTGCCATGGATCGTTCGTCTTAAATCATTGATTTGGAAGGCACTGATTTCGTTGATTTTCGAAATACATATGATGAATTATACTTTTTTCCCAATTTTCTCCGGGCTAGCTAAGTTTGTGTGGATTCCAACCCCTCCCCTGTAAAAATGTGAAGATGTAAAAATACTCAGTATTGTATTTAACAGTTTTTTTATCCAATTTTGAACCTGCTAAATATTTCATTTTGGAGGCTTGGCATTGTTGTTCGTCTCTTCTTTAAGTGAAGTCTTTGTTAAACACGGATTATAGTTAAAGTTTTTGAAGTGGTAGATAAATGTTTGTCCAGCAATGGCTTTACTATAGTTTGCAGTTGAGTGTAAAGTTTTGACGTTTCCTCTGACTTTAGCTTCTGGTCTACCTTCGATGTTGGTGGTACCTATGTGTATTAAGAATTTGAATCAGTAAACAATGTAATTTTGAAATAATTTTTTCAAATAAACGTAATTTATTCGGTGATGGAGTACATAATTCTGAATTTAAATGAAAATTAAACTTAAAAATTTAAGCTACGATATGCTTTGAAATAGTTACCTGTTGCTTGATGTATGTATACTTGTCAGCTTGATGGGTTTCTGGGAAAGGAGTTTCCATAAAATGTTTAAAATATTTATTTCTTTTCTCTGAGAGAGCTCAACAGCTGTAAATGGCACCGGATGTTGCTGAAGTGTGTCCCCCAAGATGTAATTGCATTGCCATGGATCGTTCATCTTAAATCATTGATTTGGAAGGCACTGATTTTCGCGATGAGATCGGGAAGTTTGTGTGGATTCCAATCAAGGGACTGCTTTATTAACCTGTTGTTTATGGACTTGGAATTGTTGTTCGTCCTCTATTCGTTGATAGTTCCATTTTGAAGTGGTAGATAAATGTTTGTCCAGCAATGGCTTTAAACGGCTTTCGAAGTGACATTTAAAAATTCTGAGATTTGTGGAGAAAAGATTCCAGGTCAGCAGTTTTAGAATCGTACGAGAAAGACTCACGAAAGAGTCATCACTATTTATTACACCATTCTGTCCAAATGTAGAAAACACCACAAACTTCCTGTCCTTTGTACTGCACCTCTCCTTTCTTTTAAGTGTATAGTGCACAGCGGGTGTGTTGGGTTGTTAAAGGCGTGCTGAATGGCTTTCTCGATGGCCTTTTCTTCGTTGCTACCAATTTTTTAAGTCCAGTTGAAAAACCAAGCTTGGAGTTGATATGGCACAAAAATTTGTAATACGAATCTTCTCTCATCCTAGTGTAATTATGTCGGGCCAAGGAAGATGGGATTCTTAGTATTTTCCTGTTTTTGTAGGTAGTCTTACGAAATAGGGTCCCAGGTTAAAAGTTCGGTCTATGTCAATATTACGCTGCCCTTTGTCCCGATACAGTTGGTCTGCAGGTCCTCAAGTTGTTCATTTGAATACACAATTACACTGGGTGGTTTGTTTGGTGTAACTATCTTTTCCCCTACGTTAATTGTTTTCTCCATTCTGGCACATTGATTTTTTAGCAAGTACCCGGGTACTTCATCAGCAATTAATGTTGTTAAGTTTGATCCTTCCTAGAATCTGTGTATACTTTGTGTCTGATTTATTTAGCTTTTGGTACATTGATGCCTAATGGAATCATTCAGCATCATTTGGTGACTGGTTTTAATTGGCATCTGATGATTTAAGTCTTCTAAATTAGAAATTCGGACAAATTAGTTAACTTATTTGTTCGAACGAATTAGATATTTGTTCTAACGAATTTGAAATTCGTTCGGGCGAATTAGCTATTTGTCCGAGTGAATTAGAAATTCGTTCAGACGAATTGGATATTTGTACGGACAAATTAGAAATACAAGTCTAATTTTTAATTAGATTGATCCGTCGACAATTCAGTGTGTAAATAATGGCCTAACAATTAGTATCAAAAATACCCAGACAACATTTTACATAATGATAGATAGTATCGTATTTGCTGAAACGGTCATTGTATAGACGTTATAACTTAGGGAATGATGACTTTAAACGAGCCTGCTGATACAGTATTCCTGTATCATCAGCTTGTTTGTAATAACTTACCTCGTTTTAGAAATTGTTCATATGTAAAGTCTCAGTTGTCCACAGCATAAAAAAGCCCTGTTTTTAACGTATCATGAGGAATTGTCTTATTAAGTTGAAAAGTCATACATTTTTTATTAGCTCTACTGGTCAGAGACCAGAAGAGCGTATGCAATAGTAATGCGTCCGTCGTCCATCCGTCTGCCTGTCCGTCCGTCTGTCTGTAAACAATTTTTCAAAATGCTACTCCTCCTACAGTTTTGGTCCGATTTCAATATAATTAACTTGGCACACAAGTAGACTACACTACGATACATAATTCTGTGCATCGGTTTTTGATTTTGCCATGGTTACTAAAAATAGAAATTTCTGTGAAATTTAAAATGCTACTCCTCCTACAGTTTTGATCTGATTTCAGTATAACTTGGCACACAAGTAGACTACACTAAGATACATAATTCTGTGCATCGGTTTTTGATTTCAATGAAAGGTGTTGCAGTGGTTACTAAAAATAGAAATTTCTGTGAATTTTTTTCAAAATGCTACGCCTCCTACAGTTTTGGTCTGATTTCAATATAACTTGGCACACAAGTAGACTACACTACGATACATAATTCTGTGCATCGGTTTTTGATTTTGATGAACGGTGTTGCCATGGTTACTAAAAATAGAAATTTCTGTGAATTTCTTTCAAAATGCTCCTACAGTTTTGGTCTGATTTCAATATAACTTGGCACACATGTAGACTACACTAAGAAACATAATTCTGTGCATCGGTTTTTGATTTCAATGAACGGTGTTGCAGTGGTTACTAAAAATAGAAATTTCTGTGAAATTCTTTCAAAATGTTACGCCTCCTACACTTTTGGTCTGATTTCAATATAACTTGGCACACAAGTAGACTACACTAAGATACATAATTCTGTGCATCGGTTTTTGCTTTCGATGAACGGTGTTGCCATGGTTACTAAAAATAGAAATTTCTGTGAAATTCTTTCAAAATGCTACTCAACCTACAGTTTTGATCCGATTTCAATATAACTTGGCACACAAGTAGACTTTACCAAGATACATAATTCTGTGCATTGGTTTTTATTTTGATGAGTGGCAAGGATCATTTTTCTATTCGTTGCTGTTTTAAATTTTCAAGTTCCAACTGCTACTTCCTCTTCCTTTGTTTTAAGTATAAACCAGTAGAGCTACAGTCTCGACAGAGACTTCTGGTATTAATTACTTCTGATTGGTGCTTTTAAATATTCTAAAACTTCCTTCTAGTTTTTAAGGATCACTTCTGATTTACATCACTTCTAGAAAATGCTTTAGCACATTACACCTGAACTTTCTCCTTTAGCAGTAAATATTCCAGTAAGGAGTTAAGTTAGGGGCATGGAAGATCATTCGTTGGACTCTGCAATGTATCTTTGCTTGTAAAGATTTGATAAATTTAAGATTCCAGTATAGGTAGGGTAAGTTGGACTCACCTACATGTAACTATATAATGTACGTCAAATTGCTACCAAGGGTATGTCAGCAAAGTTAAAAAGGAAAATCCAAGTCTAAAGCATAGGCTTTATTGGAAAATACATTTATCATTTTATTGACAACTCAAAGTTAACATAAATCAGTCTACAAAATGAAACAAATACATGTGTATACATGTAAACCCTTTCTAAGCAAATTAAACCAGCTTTTAACCAAATCATCAACTAATTAATTTGGAACAATTTTAAGAAATAAAGTTCTAACATACAAAGAGATAAACAATTTATCTAACATACTATGAGTACAATGGCATAAGCATATTATATCCTGAGCCAATACATTATGAGATATAAAACTGAGTAAAAAATGAACATGACTAGTGTATGCAATTTAAATATGTACTACATCAGGGAATGTCTATGTGACTAGACAATTTAAAAAAAACATACATATAAATACATAAACCATTATTACTATACATTTTACATGTATATATATTCAATCAAGAAAATATATTATTATCACAGTAACTTGATCTTAAGAGCCATTCGGAAAACCACAGTGTAGTGATTCAGAAAGCAAGATCGACACACCCACAGGTGGCTGAATGAAATTAACGTTAAACTTAGGAGTGATACAAGTTATGTATGCAAGTGTAATAAATCTTCTACTCTTATAATCGTTAAAAACAACCTAACCTTATATACACTTATGTATATAACAAAATGTCTTCTTAGAATAACACTTTCAGAAATGTCTTTTTAAGTTTGACATTTTCCTTGGAAGGTATAAAGTTCAAGTTAAATGACCCTATCTTTAATCTTTAAGCCAATTTTTGTGCTTGAACAAACATGGAATGACGAGTTAGATCTGTCTCTTTTTTACAGGTTTGTTCCAGCATGCTAGAGGTTCACCGAATATGCTCTCATACTCCTGGGCTTCCTAAGCCATTTTAATTTTTTTTCAGACTGTTTTACAATAAAGCAACACATCCTGAGGAATAAAGAGTGTAGGTCAGGTTAGTAAATTGATATTCACTTCATAAATATGAATCATAAACTGATAAAAAACACTCAAATAACAGCAAAAAAAATGTATATAACAGCACCAAAACAATATATAACACCACAAGATCAATTGCTAAAATTAACACAGTGAAACTTGTCTAATTCAGATCTTCTGTATTCCGTAAAGTCCTTTTCAGTCAATTCCTTTGTGTAAAGTGTTGTTTAATCCGGAATGTTGTCTTATCCGGCCTATTTCTTTAATGGAATCAGTGGCGCCCGGATTAGACAAGTTTAACTGTAATGTGTTAAAATGCGATAAGAACCAACACCATTGTGCAATCAAACCATGATACCAGATATTTCAATGCATATACATGGCAAAGTGCAAATTTCCAATACCACCAAGAATATATTGATTTAAAACAAAAATAATAAACTATTGAAATGTACAGTATTTAGTACTGGTATCTTGTACTTGTTAGTATTCAATATTGATATCCGCAGCCCTTTTACACAATTTTTGTTCAGATTATGCACAAGTTTTTTTAAAGATTGACCTTCTTAAGAATTTTGGGAAAGGGCTTTATGTATGATTTAAACATGATTTGTGTACAATCATAATAATTTTTGTTGGTAATTTATGTTACACACTGGGAAATCCACTTTTCTCCTTGAAGGTACCTTTGGTATTAATATTTTCCCTGTTGTTGTACTAATATTTTCTAGCCCCCCCCCCCCCCTTTCTTACAAAAAAAGTCCAATAAACTTTGTTTGAAATTTCCTTGAACAACAAATTTTAAAATTTGAATTTGCAATCCAAGTGAAAATCTCAAAATAAGAAATATAACAGTAAACAATGTCTAAATATAATGCTTAAAGGCCAAAAAGCTCACCTGAAGTGCTTTTTTATTTGCAACAAAATTATTCAAATGAAACCCAAATACAGTAATGTGGATAACATCATGCATGTTTTGATCAATCTTAACCAAGGGAATAATTCACTTCCATTGATATAATTTTTTTCTAGTATAATAGTATACTTTATATACTTTTATTGCACTGTAAATAATAATCTCCTCTTTGATAAAAAGCATCAAGAATTAAGTTTACATGAAGAATTTGAATCTGATTGATGCAGTACAACCTCTGCATTGAGATTCAAATTGGAATGGACAGCTCTCTATATTTCCAATATCCTGAACTGAAAATCATTTCTAGCAGGGGGAACAATTTCATGATATTTACATTTTTCTTTGTGATCAATCATTTTTGCTTGTTTCTAATAAAGGAATTATTAAATATAGTCTTTTCTTTTATTAAGCACACCTTGAATTTACCTAGCCTTAAAGGAAAACTAGTGTAATATTATACTCTATATTATGAAACTCCCTTTCTCTCTACTCCAACCCCCCTCCCAAATTCTTAGAATTCTTAGAGGGAAATGAAGTCACTAAATAATCATAATTTTTAACAATCCATCCTGCATTGGAGGTATAGTTACCATAAAATAGGTAAAACTACTTCTTGCTAAAATATTGAGTAAACCTATTTTAAGAACAAATAGCCAAAGCTGTGCCTCGCTAAAATTCCTCTTATATGGTACCTTTACAAAATTTTGTATACACAATCAATAGTTGCACATTTTTAAAATGAACAGCGGCTTCTAATTGGCTATCGCGTTAGCAGATATCACCTTGGGAAGAATTATACAAACTGCAATGTCAGAATGACAGGGCTATCCTTGAATCCATTGTGATAAGTATTTTCATGTTCTCACATGATCCATTTGATCTGATGATGTAATCTCAAACAAAAGCACATGTTCTGGATCAGGAGAGTTTGAATATGTCTTCATAAGACACTGTACTTGACACATCACTCACACGCTTGTCAGCCAGTCTCATTCCCAGGTGGCGGAGGTGCATCATATAGTCCGAGTGGAATTTCCCGTCAGTGTAATTCATAAACCTCCTGTAATCATCCTGTAACTCCTGTAAACAACAAAAGATCAATCATCTACAATTATAGACTCTTTTGTTGGTGAATGTGGTTTGTTATTCACCAGAAAAATATCAATATTGACCTCTGCAAAGAGTCAATAAATTGTTTCAGTACATATAGTTATGATTTGAATGAATAAGATATTGTCAGAAAGCTGCATGATAATTCCATCATCAGTAACAATTCTTTATTAAACCTCTACTGATTTTTCACTACATATGAGGAAATCGATATATATTTTGCTGATTTCCTGAAAATCACCATAAAAAGACTGATTCCCTGCAGAAAGGTGCGTCAGTTTGATGAACTGTCGATACACACCTATTCTGAACACTATCATTTTAAGCTGCTCTAATTCCTACCTTGAAATCTGAGGTGACTGCTCTCCTTCTGTCCTTTTCCTGTTTATATCGTGTCTCCATATCTAAATACCTGTGCAAGAACAGCACATCCATTTATATATTATATTAATGTTCAGTTCATAAGATTTTTAATATTGTTCAATAGGCTATGGATCATGCATGGTTTTCAGAGCTCTATTTATACATGTAGCACCAAAAACATGTTGAAACAAAGAAATTGAGGGTGTAGTATTATATTTCTGCCTTTCATTATAATTTGGTAAATGTAGATATGTTGGGATGGTGACCATCTTAACAGATACCATTTTTAGTAAAGAACAAAAGGAGAAAATACTCAATATACAAATACCTAATTGCAAATAATTTTCTCAGTAATCTTAATATAATATATCTTAATAAACAGATTGTTAATATAAATTTCCAAGAAAAATCAGAGACAAGATTATGGCTGCCAACCCACTAGGTTTGATTAACAATTGATTAATGTTTTTAATGGTTAATCTAGCATAGAGTTGAAGATTATAGATCTAGAAAGAAGCTCAGATCTTAAAAGACTTTATATACGGCAAGTCCTTTAGTTAGTGAGATAAGATGTACTTGGGCAGTTTATGGGTGTTCTGTAATGTTCCAGTAACTAACCTTTTAGTCCATGTGTCTATCTCCTGCTGATGAAGCCTGGCCACCCTCTCTGCCTCCAGCCGAGCTTTTTCTTCACATTCCCGCCTTGTCCTTTCAATGGATTCTTGTTCTCTTATAAGGAATTTTTCCTAAATTCAATAACCACAGAAATATGATAAAACATTCTTTACTTGCAGTTAACTCTAAAACTCAAAAATACTCCATGCATCTCTTAATTTTCTAATCAATCTTTTGTCATAAATTTTATTGCAGTACTGATATTTGTTGTATTAAAGTCTACAGGGTCCAGACTAGTTTTAGACTTTGTTATACACAATTACCCTTACTTGCTGATCCCTTGTAGGAGTGGTAAAATATTGGTAAGTTATTGGTAAGATAATGGTAAGATAATGGTAAGATATTGGTAAGATATTACCTTCTGAATTCTGAGGGCCTCAGCAATGGCTTTCTCCTTCTCCAGGACAAACTCGTTCCTGAGTTTCTTAGTTAGGGCGATACAGGCCTCCTCTATGGCCTCCTTCTTTATCCTCTCACACTCCTCCCACTGCTCCTCCAAAGCTTTCTCTTTCTCACGCTCCAATTTTTTGGTCAATTCTCGGATCCTCTCCTCCTCAGCTTCATCTCTTTGTTTTTCTACTCTTGCTGCCAAGCGTTCATAGTACTGAAAATAGCAAATTGATCACTTGTTAATATTATACCAGTATGTATTATATAAAGAAAAAAAAATATTATGTATTTTATACGAGAAAAAATTATTAAAATATTAAAATGCAGTGGGCGCAAGTTTAATACAAGAGACAGTTTGAAATTTTTCTCAACCTGTTTTTTTTTTTCTTTTTTACATTTGGCTTCACAGATTTCAAATACATAAGATTACGTTTTGAAATCATTGATAATATTTTATCGACAAAAGTAAATTTTTAGTGAAATTTTTACTTAAAAATATTTAAAATGTTCAGTTTTGAAAGGGAGAAAACTCAAGCCTCCTACAAATCTTTCAAATCAATGAAATGTTATCCCTACATACTGTTTCTACAGAAATATTACCTCTTTCTGTTTTTGTAGGGCTCTCTTTTTTTCCTCATCTTTCTCATTTCGGAGTCGTTTGAGTGCTGCTTTCAGCTCCTTTGTAGCCCGAGCCTCAGCTTTTTCTACTGCCTCCTCGAGTTCACGAAGTCGCTGCTCTTTGGAATCATCTGCTTTGGAGTTCAGCAAATTTTCACCAAGTTCTAAAAATGTAGAAAGATGTTGAGATTGCTACACATATTACAATATTTCCCCCTTATTTAAAATGTGTGTCACAGCAGCTCACTAGTCTAGATATCATCCAATCATTATGAATTCTATAAATTTGTACTAAAGATTTTAATTACATGTCATGTAAAATAAAGTTTCCTATTATTATAAGGCTTGATTTGCTGTTGACAAAACAGGTCAAAATAGGTACATGTATTACAAAGGGGGAAATCTGTTAAATAACAGAATGGTAAAGTTACTCAGGTGAGCATTTTGGCCCACTGGCCTCTTGTTTGTTTGCTTTTACTGTGCTGCAGATGTATTTTCGACATTATGTCAACTAAAAAAGAGTCTCAAGGACGCATAGCCACTCTTGTTATGCCACCCGGTGAGAATATTCTGTGTCTCGGGACAAGCACTCATTTCAAGAAAAACCAGGTCCATAGGACAATCATTTAAATGATATATTATCATAGAAGGTTCCATCTAGTTCCCACCCCTCTTCAGAAGTATTCACATGCCTATATATATGAATTAACATGCCTAAATTTTGGAACATTTAACACTTTAGCAATTTCAATCAAAAGAACAGCATAAAATAAAGTGTGCATAATGATTTGTTTGAATTTTAAGAATTAAATAAGATGTTATTCTAGTCAATTAAGATACTTTAAATATACTGACTTGATTGCGCAGAAAACACCTTTGATGTCACCGGACGTTGAAATTTTTTTAAAATACCCTTCCTCCCATAACTGTCCCTCATTGTGTCTGACTTTACTGCACAACTCCACAACAGCGCAGGATAAATAATGACTGAATTTATCAATACTGGTCTATTGGAACATTCAAATTTTCTCAATAAGTGTTTGGCCAGCAACGCTTTCATGGTATTTATAAATTTTTAAATTCACTTCTGCTTTCTCTGTATTAACATTTAAGATACCTTTGTCGTAAAATTAGCAATGTTTAATCTACCTTTCTAAACATCACAGCTGCATCACAATGGACTCATTCCAAAGTTTATCATTAATTTAAATGGCCACAATATTTCTGTACCCAACAAAAGGAAAGGCTTTAAGCTTTCCATTATCTACAAGTCCCCTGTGATAAGTCAACAAGGCTACTCAACGGGAAATAAAGCACTGCCGATAACACGTTGATAATCGTATACATAGTACCCGGTATGTATACCTGCAGCAGGGGCATGGGGCATAAGTTTATATATCTGGCTTCTCACCTAAGATATTTTCGTGTGTCAGTCTTTGTGTCGATAACGTTGATTTGTTCAGAATTCTTTCTAAGCACGCAAGAGGGTCATATAAATTCTTTGTAGTTTTTATAATTCCTTTCCCTGACATGTTTTCAAGTGTGGATTAACCGGAAGTTTATTGTTGCCTAGATAAATATAATGGGTGACAACTAATTTCAGTAAAAATGCCATAATGAGAAGAATATGCTCATTTCCTCTAAATTAATAAATAATTATTTTTATCATTGATGTATCAATGTATCAAAATCAGATTTTAAGGCAAAAATTCTTAAAAACCTCAAACTTCTTGAACATCATATTTATAAAACACATCAATCAATGTGGGGAAGAAATTAAAGTCTACTGATTTTTTTTAATAACATTATCTTTAAAATATATTAACCATGATAACAGTAAAAATATTTTAAGGGAAAAAAATTATAATTCAAGACATTTTTATTGATAAATACTCAAGAATTTTTGCCTTCCATTTGGGATTTCGAAAAAAAAAGTTACCAGCATGGAGGAACCACGCATGAGCAACGCATTTTTTCGGGCAAATCGAATAAGAGAGAAAAATGAATTTATGTCTTTTTGAAGGAAGGTAATAGATAGGCTATCCGGCTATCGAAACTTGTTTTGGGGAGAAGGGCCTATATTTACCGCCTAGATTTACCACTACCACAACCGGAAGCGGAAGTAAAGGAATGGCGGAAAGAAAAATTTGAAAACAAGTGAAAGAATATTTGAAAAGGTAAATGGAATCGGTGTTTGAAGAAATGTAAATTTCTTATATATGCTGATTCTTCATTGATTACCATTTGCAAAATTGCTTACAATCGTTAGATTACTTTTGCAAAATAGTGAACACATGAGCATGATGATGATGAGTGAAAGGAAATTCAGTAGCAGTGCACGTCCAACTTTATGTGTTTACTCAGTACATTGATTGAATACCATTGCAGGGCTTATTCTTTTCCATATAAATTTATAAAACTTTATGTGTTTTCTCAGTACATTGATTGAATACCATTGCAGGGCTTATTCTTTTCCATATAAATGCCATATTTTACAGACGTTGTCTCTAGTTCTAATTTGCTGACTGCAACTTGTGAGGAAGAGCGCAGATTCAATCAAATCCAAGGGTGTAGGGTGGTTTCGCTCCGATTACGTGTTCGCGCAGAGTGGTTTCGCCCCATTTAAGGGTACTATACAGAATCGATTAGAGCGGCTTCCCCCTGATTACCTGTAATAGATAGTTTCGATTGGCCTGAATTTAGCGAAAGTTACCTCCCGTTGGTCGCCATATTGAAGGTTGACTCGTTGATTTTCCCTCTTTGTCTTACCAAGTTTAAGAGGTTGTAGAAGAAATATTTGGTGGAAAATCTTTAATAAATATTTTTTTTTTAAATAAAGGAGGCTTCCAAAAATTTATATACTTCAGAAAAATAATGATTTTTAATTCAAAATAGCATATATAAAAATTTTAAATTGGTTGAACAATGAAGGAATATGAGCATTTGGACCTCCAGTATGGCGGCCAACGGGAAATAACTCTCGCTAAATTCTGGCCTATCGAAAACTATCTATTGTAACTCAGGTAGCTTGTAATTAAATAACCCCAAGCGTAAATATCGTGAACTGTCGGATAATTATCACATTTTTTTTTTATTTTATCAGGTTGGGCACACACACCCAAATGGTCATTTAACCGCCGTTTGGTGGTCAATCGCCTATATCAGCGTCTTTATTACCTACAAAATAGGAGAGAAAAATCGTTTTGTTCGGTTCTCTGGAATGATGTGAAATGGCGCATAATTTCAACTCATGGGAAATAAAATATAGATATTTTTCTAAACTTTGGACGAAAAAAATCAGAATTTCAACGCGGACTTTTTTGCACAGTGTCGTTCAAATATTTGACAAAATCGTCACCTATGTAAACAAGTGTTACGTTTCTGTGTTTTAATTTAAAAAGAAAAATTCCCTCCATCTCGCGCATACTTTCACTTATCAATCGTGTTTATCACTTCATATTTCTGCCATCCAGGCAACCGATCAATTATCTTAACCAATTAAAAATTACGATATTTTCCGAACTTGGGTCAAAAGACTGATTTAACTACGAAGGCCCATTATTGTTAATTTTCAAAAAGTAAAATAAGAGGAAGGGTAAGAATTCGCTTTTATTTCTTTTATTTCGTATGCAATGGCAAAATGCAAAAATACGATATGCAGTGAATGCATGATAAAACAATCACTCGAAAACTATAATCTTGGAATAAAAACAAGAATAATTGTAAATGTCACTTTGTAAATCTTTTATTTAAAAATATTTAATAAATATAGTAGATACGAGGGCCGTTCAAAAATTACGCGGACTGTGCTATTATTTACTCTTACAGACGTCATATAGTTATAAAATTTCACAGAAATATGTATCTTAAAGATTCCAATAAATTTTGGGCAAAATTTCTGTATTTTGAAATAATTCTACTAAAATTATCGGTATGTTGATATCGTTGATGGAGAGGTACGGCGCACGACAAAAAAATTAAAGCAAAAACATGCGGATTCCAAAATTTAACTCATTGATTTTCTAAAATTCCCGACATTTTTCAACAATTTTCTCAAATGTACCTTTAAATTGTTCTATTATTATGTATTTAGATTTCGGACGTAATATTTGAAGTACTAACAGAAATATAGTGATTTTTCTCTGATGCAATTCCCGTGAAAATGACGTCTCCTGAATTGACGGCGCACCACACTTTTGCTGAAATATGTGTAATGCTCGAGATATCGGCAACATAGATCCAAAATATGCATAATAAAACATGTAGTAAACTAGGCTACTCGTGACATTCGCCCACAAATAGCAAATTGAAATTTTAGACAGTTAGACCTCTGTAAAAAGGCTATACGGGAGGAGGGGAAGAAGATTATAGACGAAAAGTTAACTTTATCCTGACTGTAAAGAACGTGATTGAGAGTCACTAACATCACACTATATCTCATAAGTAGTTTTTGGTTTAAAAAAAAAAAAAAAAAGGATATTCTTTACTTGTTTACTAGATTTTAAGCTTGACAAGAAATGGTGTTTTGATGTTGAGTAGATAAGGTAACTCAAACTATACAGGTACTCAAGGGAAAATGTTGAGAAAATGAAAGCTCAATCACATGTTTTTAATAATGCTTGTGACGTCGAAGATTTTGCTGCGCCGTGACTTAATGGTATGTCCTGAAAAATCACTCAAAATTAATACTAATTTACAACATTTTGATATGAAATTTTGAAGACCATATAAGTAAAGATTCTTTTATATTATTTGTGAAATTTTGCCCGATTATGTCGTCAAATATTTCTTCTGTGCAACAAGTCCGCGTAATTTTTGTACGGCCCTCGTACATCATAGATATGCATACTAAACCACAAAGGGTCGCACAGAAATTGTAACTTAATCCTAAAAGAAAATAAAGAATAAATGTTACATTCAAATGTAGAAAAAAATGAATATTAAAGCAATAAGTGCCCACCATACGAATAAGATACGAGGAGCTCGTGTTTAACGGGATTTTATAGAGATTTATATAGAAGCAGATTGAAAGATCATTTGAAAAGTTACTTCTCTAGATTAACACCTCTTGTTTAAATATATTTTTTACCGAACTTTACACAACAAAATAATTTTTCGTATTGTTTGAGCAAATAGTTCGGCCGTCACGAACAACTGTGGGTTTCATTTTTACGAAGTTGCAAAGAAATTCCACATAGAAAATTGAATAAATTGTATTAAATGCGCGAGGAATATGTTAATTAAAATTCCCCAATGCCTAAGTAAATGCACTTTTGCTTTATTTTAATAAAAATTGGCTTTGAATAAAAAAGACCACCATTTGGTAGGTAAAAAGACACCGATATAGGCAATTGACCACCAAACGGTGGTTAAATGACCATTTGAGGGTGTGTGCCCAACCTGTTTATTATACTTATACTGAGGCCATTTTTAGCCAAATTATAACTATTTGAACAAATTTGATTGTCTTATTTTGAATTATTTAGGACTGGATGTTAAAATGTATATATTTATTTCACAAATCTTGTTGATTTTTCAATGAAGGTTGTCATTGTTGTTCAGTTGATTTACAATATTAAAGACTTAGAAAAAATATCTATTTAGATCTATTAATAATATTGAGATTAAAAAAATTACTTTCAGTGTTCCGCAATGAAGACAGCTGGCCATGGCAAATATTTTGGGTAGAATGAAATTTTTGGAAATACATCTAATAAGTGCACGACTGGTCTCTCCTCATTATTTTTAATAGACCAATCCACACTTTACAAAAGTTGTTTCCCTTTGCGGGGTCAACCAAAAGGTCAAAAGGGAAAGAAACAACATTTCTCCTCTATGCTACCAAACATTTGGGTGGGCTATGATGAATCCACTGTGTTAAAATTGTTTTCTTTGGATGTGTCATGGGGCAATCAGTATACACTATGCAAGGATTTTTCCCAGCCAAATGACAAAGTTACAAACCTGAAAACTACAAAGGGTACTGTGAGGATTCTATGGGTTTATCCCCTAAGATGGCGGCCAAGGGACATAACTTTAGAAAAGTGTGGATTCAACTATTAATCTGCTCATCATTAGCAATCAAACGATAATCAAACGACTACCCGATAAGTGATATCTTCAGTTATACAGTAGAAACCAAAAGGGGCGAATCCACTCGGCGCGAACAAGTGATGGGAGCGAAACCACTCGGCACGAACACGTAATCGGAGCGAAACCACCCGCATTCAATCCAAGTGCTAAATCACTAGTAGTATTAGTGTCTACAGATTTCTCAAATTTGAGAAACATATGCCTTTAATTTTTTACAAATATAATTATAGCTTGATAAATTCAGATGTAGTGGGGCATAACTTTTTGATAAACTTGAAGAAAATTATTTAAAACTAGCCTTTTCATTTCAATGAAAAATGAAAAAAATCTCGTTAAAAAATGGTAGTTTTCCGACAAATATATTTTTTAGGCACTTGTCCAAGGGCAAGTGCGCGGTCAAAATTCACTTTCCCTACCAGAGTGTTTGCTTGCCCCACCATAAACTAATACTGTATTCATATACATTTGAAAATTAATAAGAAGAAAAATGCTCAGTAGATCATACAATTCTTAAGTCAAGGCTTAAGCTTTAAATCTATGACTTCAATATTGGTTTTATTTTTTTAAGTCACTTGTCCACTGGCAAGTGGTCGATAAAACTTAATTCACTTGCCAACTAGGACTGGCACAGTTCCATAATTTTTTTGGGTCGGGTCAGTTCTAAATTTTGTGGGTTCGGTTTCGGGTTTTTGGTTCAGGTATATAATAGAATAAAAACTCATGATTTAGATTATATTCAACAATTTTTTTTAAAATTTTCTTTTAAATCTAAGAAACAGCAACATAATGAATGGTTTAAAGAAGTATCATAAGTAGAAAAGTAATTGACCCAAATGATTCAAATCACATTATAATGGTAATTTACTAATGAATATAGACGCCATTTTTATGGTTAAACTTTCTCTATTGTACAAATTGCAACCGAACCGGATTCCAGAGAAACAGAATGGAACCTGACCTGAATTAAATGCTCTGCAGGTCATTTCAGTTACCCGTGACAGCCTTATTGCCAACCCCATAAAATTCACTAGCCCTGGACATCAGGCAGTGGGATTTGTCAGCCCCTGCGATTTGTCAGCCCCTGCAAAAGGGCTGTTTGGGACCTTAAAAGTACATTAAGTATCCAGAAAGTTTTGAAATGCATGTTTAATTATCCAATATCATTCTTAAAGCGGGGGACAGCTGAAAATTTTACAAATTATACCCAAAGAGAGTGACAAAAAATTGGCGATGTAAATCAGAAGGGTTTACAACGCTTAGATCCCATCTGTACTTCTATGAAAAGTAAATATGCATGATAAAATAATTATTTAGTTTTTCATTGCAGGTTTGTATCCATTCAAACAAGCATGGTGGTAATGAGGGATATATTTCGGCAATGCCAGAATGGCATGCAGTGCCATGGAAAACTCCTCAAGGAACTCCAGAAAATATACGACAAGGTAAACTCTATAGTCTATATGACATTCTCAGTCAGGGGTGATACTGAATTCTGTTATTCTGTAATGTTGATTATAAATTGTAAAATTAATTGTACTGATGAATTAGACTCTAATTTTAAGAAAATGATGAAAACTTCCAAAAAAAATTCAGAGTTTCTATCTTCAAAAAAATGTACCTAATTACATGAACCTAATTACAGACTGACATAGAAAAGTTCTGGTCAGAGTTCAAGCTTCTTATGATGTACTCCATGATCATCCAACAAAGGGCACCTTCTGTGGAGCGAACTATTGACTTTATTGCCAAGTTTGTCACCATAACAACACCCAGTATTCCCGAGGTGGAGGATCAGAACGACTCCACAATGGATGACGTCACAAACAACAAACTGCTTCAGAAAATGCTGGACTTCCTGCTAGAGGTGACACATTGTTCCAGACCAATGGCTTGTGTTTAGCAAGTGCCATCAGTTTATTCTTTCTAAACTTAAAAATAAATTTAGCTGAAATAGCATATTTTCTAGATATGATGAAGATTTATCTGTACTTTGTATCTGTAGTGCTAGTTATATTCCTTTTTTAGAATCATTCAGCCAATGACAAAGCAGTGCGTTTTCGAATCAGCCAGCTCATCCACAAAATTCTGGATAATCTGGGGGAGGACGCTCGGATTGATGACGATTTGTACGATAAAATCTATGAGTGTATGCTCGAAAGACTCCGAGACAAGATCCCCATAGTGAGAATGCATGCTGTTTTAGCCTTGACCAGATTACAAAATCCAAGGGATGAAAACTGTCCTGTCATTAAAGGTAACACATACAGGAAAATAACAAAATTGGGGGTGAGATGCTGACTCAGAAACCTTCTTCATTTAATAATCATTTTCAAAAAAATGTTTAGCCAAAACTAATCTATTCTTATAAATGATATTTTTGTAGCATACCTTTTTTTGATGAACTGTGACCCTAACCCAGATATCAGGAGAATTGTTCTGTCCAATATCGCCCCATCTGTGAAAACCCTTCCAGCTATTCTGACTCGGAGGAGAGATGTGAGAGACGTAGTGAGGAAAACGGCATACACCGTAATGGGGGAGAAAATTCACATCAAGGCCCTGTCCATAGCCAACAGAGTTGCTCTCCTTCATGATGGGTTGACAGACAGATCAGGTGTGGCATCATAATATTTAGCTCTATTAGAAAAAAGTATGAAACAGCTTTTGGCAAAGTGTTTGTAATGTAATCCTCCAAAAATCAACAAGAAAATTCTGGCTTTTGAAAAATTGGTTATTTCTGATGTCAAGTTTTGTCTGATTCTTGAAGTATATTAATCAAACACATATAGTATGTTTATATAATTTAAAAAGTAAGATAACTGCAATTCGAGTAAACAATGTTGTTAACAGGGAGCTAATGTGCTAGGCCTGTTTTACAACAATGAGATGCTGAACTCTGATACCTGTAAACACAAAAGTAGTGACTGTAGTTTTTCATACTAAACTTGCTTGAAGAGTACATTGATTGTCATCAGGTTTTCATCTTCCATAGTATTAACCAAAAAAATATTTTATTATAAAGTTTGATATTTTTGAATCACCATGTCCGTCTGTTTCCGTTGATGTCCGTCCGTCTGTCTGTAGACGAGATATCAGAAACTATTGAAAGGATTGGTCTGAAAATTTGTACACATATTATTCACCATATGAAGGTGTGCACCTGGAATTTTCAACTTGATTCAATTATTATTTTGAATTTTACAGGTGTTTTTTTCATTTTTATTTTGTGGTTTTGTCCGGACTGTTTCTCAGAAACTATTGCAAGGATTAATCTTAAAATTTGTACACTTATTATTCACCATATGAAGGTGTGCACCTGGAATTTTCAACTCTTTTTGTTAATTTTTCTGCATTTTACAGGTTTTTTTTAAATTTTAATTGACTTATTCTTTTTGGGCTCATGTATAAGGTTTGAGACATAGAATCTAGAATATCTGTACAAAAATGTGAAACACAGCTTAAAACTACTCATAAAAACTTTAAAAAAAAGAAACTTCATCAAGTGTTAAAACAGTTTTTACATTGCACAGAAGATAACGTAATTTCATTTGTCTCTTGGGAATAATGACTGGACATGCATCCAGTTAAAGATAAATTAATGAGTTTGGTGTGGGAAAACATTAAGGCATCTCATTATCAAATGTGTTGTCTTCTGAATGTCAAGATCTCTCTTCTCTTATTCTCTTAATTGTAATATATTGTCTGTCAAAGCACATTACTGGATGACCAGCTCTTTATTTTCAAAATAATTTGATATAAAGTTATCAAGATTAATTTGATTTTGTATAATATGATTTTTTTTTCAATAATCAGTTTGCAGAGTGTCATAACACATAATTGCAATATATATTTTTTTAATGCAGAAATAAAAAATAAAATAAAAAAATAAGGTTACAATGGAATTACAATGTATTAGTATTGATGTTTCATTTGGTTGCACCTTTGTTTCATTCATTAAGAAACATGATGAGCAATTATATTTCACTGCAAATTTTTGTAAGTAAATTGTGAACACCTCTAGATCCATAAAGTATTTCTGAATTGGCACCTTCTCTGAAAAACCCAATATTTTATTATTCATTTGAGAAATACCAGTGCTGTGAAAATAAAAGTAATTGGATTTTCTTTTACATTGACAGCTTTCTCTTGTTTTAGGTGTATACTATTGTTTTAAGCTTAGACAGCAGACATTGCCTGTGTAAGACAGAATTTTCTGTATTTGTAGAATCTGTTAAGGCTGCTTGTTCAGGGAAGCTGCTGCAAACCTGGCTGCGTACGTTCGGAGGCAATGTATTGGAGTTACTGGGAAGTCTAGACGTGGAGAACTCGACCGAGACATGTGAACTGGTTCTGAAGACACTGCTAAAGGAAGCCCCGCTACCAGAAGTGGTGCAGAAGTTTGATATCTTAGATGACAAGCAAGTCAAACTTTCTTTCTCCTTTTCTCTTGCATTTTGTTTAGATGAATTTTTTTTAGTAATAATAAAACAGATCTATCATTTAAAGCTTAGCCATGTTTTCATTGGAATTTAAGTTCACAGTGCCATAAATGTTAGGAGTAATGCATCACAAACCATTTACATGCAGCATGGAGATGGGAAAGTTGGTATGTAAACTTTTTCCCCTGAGACCAGACAGTTAAGTATAGTGTATTGTAGGATTCTGATTGGCCAGGACAAGCTGACGAGTGAGAACGCTATGTACTGGCAGGCGGTCTGTAAACACATACACTCATTGGGAGTTGATGGAGACGAGTTTCTGGACAAGGTGCTCCCAAACTGCCTAGAATTCTGTCAATATATCAGGCAGTAAGTCCAACATTTTTATTATTTCTATAACAGTATATTTAGGGCTATTGGTATTCAGGGCTAAAGGGTCAAGTATTCAAAGACAGGTAATAATTATTTCATTACGAGACAAAAAACATTGTCTTTTTATGCAAACTGATTACTGAAATCAGGTCTACTTCCTATTCTGTATGTACATGCAGTACAGTATACTTTACAGTAACTATTGTTTTCAGTACAGGTTTTTAGTGGAATTACACAATTTTTACTTGATTCACGCTTTAAAAAAAGCTAGCACATGTACATGTACATTTAAGTTTGTTCATGCCTGACATTTTAGGTATGTGGACACACTGAAGGAGAGTACAGATATTGATACACAGATGGAGAGAGAGTTCATCATTCAGCAACTCTTGTCTATGATACAGTACATGGAGCTCGCTGATCAGTCCTCACGGTAATTACTTCATATCAGAGTTATCATCAGGGTTCTGTCATTGAAAGTTCCTGTCTCAAAAACTTTTTTTTTGTCCATTTACCTGTCTGTCCTTTAGCTTTCATCATGTCCAGCTCACAACTTAACAACATTTTTGATCTCTTGAGTTTTGAGTTGGACTTGCATTTGAGAAAGTTTAAACTTTGCCAATAGCTACTATATTTAGGCAGTTTAAGAACCACGTCTTGTTTTAACATTTTAGTGCTTTGCTAAAATTTCAGAAAAGCTGTGGAGAATTTGCTTCATGAACTGCTAATCATGGACCATGTCAGTCATAGTCTTGTAAAGTATATAATAGAGCCACTCTCTAAGATCAAATCCCAGTCCTCTAGTCTGGTACCAATCCTGGCAGAGGTTATATCGGAGATCCGTGAGCCAATCACAACAGTGGAGAGGGGGCCATCAGAGGACCATCGCAGACAGAATGATATTAAGGTCAGGGCTTGGAGGAATTTAGAATTGGTATCTCATGTCAAGAAATAAACAGTACTATTTTGCAAATGTTTCATTGAACAAGTTAAAAAATCAAAAAAGAAGTACTGAAACATTTACAGGGTAATGAACAAGAAATTAAATATTTTCTAGAGGATATGTTATAACTTTGGCATGTATAGTATTAAAAAGTTTTAAAAATTAAAAAAATATTTTCGTAAAATATTTTCACATGTATCGTTTCGGGGTAACCGGTTTTATATACCAACAGGGCATAAACACCGATATATTAATCAAGGTACATCTGATGTGTATAACAAGTTTTGCATCAAGTCATTAATGATGTTCCCTGCATTTGTGTTAGCCAGTCTTTATTTATCATAACACAAGTAATTCATTAAATCACCTTTTGAATTGCTTTGTAAAATATTGTTAGGAAGAAAAATATTACACATTTAATACAAAAATAGTATTTTTTTTGATTTACTATTTCTTAAGGTGTTTGAATGGATTTTGTTTTATCATAAAGTATACATATATTTTTATTAAATTCAATTTGGCTGAATAGCAGCATTTCCTGTTGCTCATCGCAATAGCCGGGCATTGCTCTACAAGCAGGGTTAAAAAAGTGTGAACAGAAATTAAATATTTTCTAAAAGTATAACTTTGTGAGAATAAGGGTTAAAAGACCATTTTCATTTTTAGCTTGCATTTTTTTCTAAAGGGCATTTAGATATATTTATAATCAGTTATAACAAGTTTTTATAGAATAATTTTCTACAGTCATTCATAACACAAGTAATTCATTATATCTCTTGCGATATTGCTATTGTTAGGAAGTGTACACACTAATCAAAAATGTTTTTTGAACTTTGTGCAAGGAAAATGTATCATAAAGTATACATATAGAGTTTTTATTATTCATTTTCTGTATAGAGTACCTGTCATATTTCCCCTTTAGTCTACAGGGTTAAAAAAGTGTAAATCAAATATTATTTGTGATGATAAGTTTAAAAGACCAGATTCTTGTTTTTGAACACAGATTGCAAACATTCGAGTGAAGCTGAATGAACTGAAGGAATCGTTAGATGAGAGTGTTCGCAGTCAGGACTTTGGCCGAGCGGCTGAAATTAAACAGAGCATATCTGAGCTGGAGACAGAAAGGAACCAGCTTCTGGACCTCCCCCAGACCCAGACAGAGGAAATACGCACAGAGAGGGTGAGATCTAGTACTAACAAAATTATAAACTCCCCCAGACCCAGACAGAGGAAATACGCACAGAGAGGGTCAGATCTAGTACAGTAGAACCCCGTTATTACGATGTTCACTTTGTCAGGGTAAAATATCGTAATACCGAGGGCAACGTAATAAAAGTACCCAATAAACTCCAGGAAAACATCGTTTGGAAAACGTGTCATTGTATTAGGTGGTGTGTTTTTCTCCTATCTCCTTTTTATGCTCAAATTCTTAACCAATATGCTATATACACTTAATTCATCGATAACTTATCTTTAAAACTTATTTTCATGATGCTATTTCTTCTTTTTCGATCATAGTAAAAGCATAGAGTACATTTTTTAATAGAAACTTCGACAATCTTCCTTTAATTGCCGCCATTTTCTGTAACGTACTTTCACTTTTGTTTCTGTCCAGATAATGCGTTCTTTAAAATTTCAATGTGTTCGCAAGAAATTCAGTATCTTTGTATTTTATTTAAAGTCATTTCTAAATAAACAGCAACATTTTTTTTATTCAAATAAAAGGTCAAAGTAAACAGACAAGCAATCTGTCAAAATATTTTTTTTTTGATTACTGAACAGAGTTCAATTAGCAGTTCAGCAATTATCGATTTGATTTCTGCTGACAACTGAGAGGTAGTCCAAGCCACTACCCAAGCTGTTAAAACGTTTGTAGTGGAGTTCAAATTTTGTCCTAATAATGTTTGATACCCAAGCTGTTAATTCACGCAGTTTATTTGCAAGCGAAATTACACAAATTATGTGTACCTGTGTACAGCATACATGCATAATATTAAATAACCTTTCATTTATTAAATTAATTTATTAAACTAAGTATGAAATAAAGAATAAAAAAATTTAAAAAAAATTACAGAGATAGATAGAGAAGAAGCTAGAATTATGAGTAAACTTTAATTGTTTAACAATGTCTTTGGCACGTCTCCAAATCTGCTGGGCTCGCTGGAACAGTCCAGGTGGGTGCAATCAAGCGTTACTAATCACCTAACTGCCCTGTAAGTTAACACTCTCTCAGAGCACAGGTGTTCCAATGTTTATTAAGCATCTCCTTAAGTGTCTACCAGCAATCACCACTAAATAAACACGGAGTGAAAAAATTTTTGACAGAATTTTTACATCGTAATACTGAGACCTGGCGTTTTTGGACAACGTAATAAACGGTTCTTTTTTGTATAGATTCGTTAAGAAATGATTTTGTGCTTTGAATTTACAACGTAATAAGCGTTCTATCTTATAAAACCGTCACCATAATAGCGGGTCTCTACTGTACTAACAAAATTATAAACTCCCCCAGACCCAGACAGATTAATGCTAATTCAATTGTAAATATAAATGACGATGTTGAGTTTTTCACTGTACTGCTTATAATTAGGTGAAAATGAATAAACTGAAAAATAATGGTTGTACATATTCAGTTCATATCTAGAATCTATCTTGCACAGCGCTAGTCCTAACATCATAAAAGATGTATCTTAGAGGATTGAAGAAGTTTATTAAATACTTGATTGTAACATACATGTATGTTGGGGTGCAGTTCATATGAAAATAAGCTTGTAGAATTTTTTGATTATTTCGGTGATTGATGTGTGTGTGCTTTTGCTACAGACTGATGTGGCCACCATCCTTAAGTGTCACGCCATTGTAGCTGAGATGTTGGAGACTCTTTCTCTGTCCAGTGTCAGCCCTTCACTCCAGATGTTGATTGAATCTCTTGTAAGTTATACACAGTAATATCAGAAAGTAGATTGGATAAAAAATCCTCTATACTAATGCTTATTTCTAATGTCCTTAAATTGGAAAACCTTGTTAAACAGCTAATCTGCTTCACTGTTAGAAGTGTAATTCATAATTTAATATACATGTAAATGTAATTTGTCGTTCTATACAGATTTTGCCTGGGATTCAAAATGAAGATGGACGGATCAGAAATCTTGCGGTGAAGGCACTGGGACTGTGTTGTGTCATCAGTAAGGACTTGGTCATGCAGTATTTACCTCTATTCATGCAGGTACTTGATTTGTTTGGTCATAGGTAACTTACAGTCAATGTAACATCATGATTTTGAAAGTACATAGATATAATGCATGCAAACTTTTACAAATAAATGTTGCACACAAATATACATGTAGATGTAATGCCTGTACATATACAGTGATTTTCGGCAAATTGACAAATTTTGTAACAATTTATGTAAATCTTGAAATTTTTACCTAGGAGTATGTTTAAGGTAAATTTCATTATACAGTGTAATATATCTATAAATAGCATACATACAGACACAGATGTCAGTTTATGAGAATGCTTTGTAGGCTTCCCAGATTGACGTTGAGCTGGTTCGCTGTACCGCGCTGAGGGTTATCTTTGACATGCTTCACCTGCATGGTTTGGAGGTCATGCAACGGGGGCGACAGGATGATGAGACATCGTCCACCTCCACCGCTGACAGTCTGCTGGAGAGACAGGACAGCGTGGAGGACGGCAGCTCAGGGGCCGCCGCCGCCAAACTAGTCGCCATATTGTGTGCCTTCCTTGACAAAGAGGTGGGTAATTAAACAATAACACATTTAGAATATGCTTCATTTACTGTGGAATCATTTCCACAAAATTGAGCCACCATCATGAAGTTTGATGATTCCTCAGTATTTAACAAAAAGCATTTGTTCTCATTTGTTACAGCTAGAAAGGCTGTAGCGCCTTTTCAGTTTTTGAGACATATCAGTTTACTGTTTAAATGTATGTATTACATATAAGTGGAGCCTCGTTTATCCGGACGCTTTGGTTCCTAGTCAATTTGTCCGGATATGTGAAGTGTCCGGATACCTGAATCACCAGTTAAACAAGACAAAATAACATTAAAAATTTAGGGCTGAAACGATTCACCGAAATATCGATATTGTTCGATATAAGTGCTCTGTTCAATTTTCGATTCACCATCTCGATTTTCGGTTCGATACGTTTTTTATAATCGGGTTTGGTTAACTCTTTGAAATAGATCGGGTTCGACCTTATTTTAACATTTTGACACACACGAGGGAGAAAATTGGGACGGTAAAGTTTCAGAGTATGCTGCCTCTGCTATTATTTATATGAATAAAGTGTTCTTAATCAACAGAACCACAAGTATCAGAGATGTGCAATTAACAAATTAGTAAATTCGGACTTGTAAAAATTATAACTACGCATGTAATACATCAAGTACAACCGGTATTTTACTCATTTCTTGCTATCAAATTCCCAACCAGTGAATATTTTCCAGGCAGCATGCACCTACTGTCAATAAATCTCCATAATTTTCTCCATTTTGCAGTACTTCCTGACTTATTTACTTCCAAAAATGATCGTTTTTTCCCTAATCCGAATTTCCTCCGTTTATTGTAAATACATGCAGATATCTCATTAAATTATTTACGATCACTCAATCAACTGAAAGATCAGTGTGATTCACATGAAATATATTTCTAGTGTATTTAAGGATTTAATATGAAAACAAAATGAATTTATTTTCACTCTAAATGAGCTAGTGCAAAATAATCAGAAAAGGAAAGATCTTCAGATATTTTTTTAAAATTCATTTTTATTTTCTGTCATAATCATTAATTTTATATGATTTAATTTTAATAGTGAGAATAAAATTTTAATTTTCAAAAGATTGACCTTAGTACCCTTACTTTTTCAATGATTAATTTTTTTTCAACATTTGTTTTATTTTAGTATTTGTCTCTATATTTGGGCTAATAACTTTTTACTTGGGGCTAGTAACTTTATTGCTGCCAATAGCCCGTGGGCTAGTACTTGAATTTTTAGATTGCATACCCCTGGTAGTATATTTCTATTGTATCACCACTTTTTACTCTTTGTTTTTAAAATCTGAATACGTTTTCTTTAACCTTATGAATATTTTCGTTCTTAAATTGTATCATATTGAAAAAATTGAATTGTGACACAAGTATTGCAATACGTATCGTATCGTATCGTGGAGGGGGCGTATCGTTTCAGCCCTATAAAAATTCCGTACCGATAAAAAATTGTCCGGATACTGAAGCATCCGGATATCTGAATGTCCACTGTATAAAAATATTCTTCTTAATTTACTGTACTCGTATAACGTATTCAGTCAGTTTATACTAGGGATGTCAAATCCGTCTATATTTGATAATCAGTTTCTCGGACAATTTTCCACATCATACGGATATCCAGGTACTTGATGATATACCTAGTGTATACTTGTGAATTATGGGTAAACCCAGTTTGAATTAAAAATAATAATAAGTATTATATACTAGAAATTTCAGTATGCAGCCTTTCTCATATGACTCAACTTTTGCATACTTAATTGAATTGACACAAATGTAGAAATATTGTATTCTATCTTTGCCTTAACTGTGTTATACAGTAAAACTTTCATATTCAGTACACGTTTAATGGATTGAAGCTAATAGCAAAGGTGTTTTTATTCCTTGTATTTTCTGATACGTATTTTGAATTTAATGGATATAATGAATTACTTAAATAACAGAGCAAAATTGCAAATGGTTATGAGAATGTTTTACTGTACATGTAATTTATTATGCAGGGATCAAAATTTTATTCATCGTGTTGGATAAGTGTAGCATTGAAATAATGTTTGTCTTTTGTGTTAGAAGGAAGCACTTTTTAACAACCAGAATGTAAATTGAAATTAGGAATTTCAATTCATAAATTCATCTTTAACTATTATTCCAGATATATTCTTAGTGATTCTTTTTCATTATCATAGGGTAATGAAATATGTATTGCTTATTGTTTCAGAGTTCAGAGCTGAGAACTGTAGCTGGGGAAGGTTTGGCAAAACTTCTGTTGTCTGGTAGAGTGGTATCTTCCAAGATCCTGTCTCACCTTATCCTCATATGGTACAACCCAACCACAGAAGACGATACACACCTTAGACACTGCCTAGGAACTTTCTTCCCTATTTATGCATTTGCAGGAAGGTACTGTCTATTCACATTTTTTAGAATATATGTATATCAGTGTAGGTTCAGGATTTTAATTGATTTGAAATAAGTGTACACAGTCCTTATGAATAGTGTGTGAGTGACAGAATTAGAGAGTTAATAAACATATCGAAGCATTTCAGTTTACATGATTTAGTCCAAGGGTGGTTGTACACAGCAACTTATGTACGAATTACAAAAATACTTCATCAAACTTTGAAATCATAAATTCTTTGTGTGACTTGTTCAGTTAAGTAAATGACAGCTTATTTTAATTGAATATATCAGAAAGCACAAATTTTTTTTCTTCTGTATTTCTACAGTTTATATCAATGATTTTTTTGACAAAGGATAAATAATTTGTATAGTTAGTTGGTAAGAAATGTTTATTTGGTAAGAAATGTTTATTGTTTCTGTTGTACAACCAGAGCTAATCAGGATGTGGTGGAGGAGGCCTTTATCCCCACTCTGAAGACCCTGAGAAATGCCCCCCTCTCCAGTCCCCTGGCAGAGGTGAACGCAGAGAATGTGGCAGAGCTGCTGATCCAGCTGACCAACTCCAAGTTACTGTTGAAGAGTCAGAACGAAACGGAGACCATCAAGGTAAGAACTTATATCAAAAAGATTGTATTGGCTTGTCACAAGAACTTCAATTACAACTGTTGATATGAATATGATATACAGGGTGTTTCATAATACATGTTACATTTTGAACCTTCGATTTGACAAAAACAAGAAAAGATACAGAAAAGTCTTTTTATTAAATTGATGCTTGTATCCATAAGATTCATTGTATCTAATTACCTAAAATATTAAACACTGAACAAAATCTTAAACATTTATGAAAATTAACGAAAATTCCATGTTGCGACATTTTTTGCTACATTGAATTTCACAACGTCAAAAGCTCCCATTACATATTCTAAATAATCTCCATTATTTCAACAACAAATTAAAGTTGCTACCTGAAATTTGTATAGAGAATAACCTTGCCACATATTTTTGCGTAGACACTCATCATGCTCATCATTTGAAGATCTATGTTCTTTTTGAGGTCATTCAGTATATGTGGTCTAGGGTTGTAGACCCTGTTCCTTAAGAACCCCTAAAGAAAAGAGTCGACAGATAGAGATTGTTGAATGCAAAGGCCAGGCTCTTTCCTGGCATATTGAAAATTTGTAGACTGATAACTTTAAATCATATTTCAAAGTTCAAAGTATGCTTAAAATGCTGATATTGCCAGCATCAATTTCCGAAACTTTCTACTTCACTAAGAGTCTCCATTTCACAAAAAAACTCTGCTTCTTTTAACGTCTTTAGGCTTTCTGGAATACTGTTTCATTTATCACATATTGCCTGTCCCTGTCCTTTAACCTTGTTACAAGTAACAAGCCTTCTGATAAGCATTCTAGAAAGCTTCTATTCTTTTGGAATATGTATTTCATCAACTTTTAAATGAATATAGGACACATGAATTGAAAACAGCAGCCTTGCAATTCAGCACTGAATGGATATTTAAATTATGACATCTGCGTTTATAGCACAATTAATCATTGTAAGACCATGATTGCCATGACTTTTTCACAAGGAACAAAAATGCAGGATTTGATGTTTAAAATGATATATAGTTTGTAATAAAAGTATGATAGGTAAGAAAAATAATAAGATTTTAAAATGTAACATATATTATGAAACACCCTGTACTATGAGCTGTATACACTGTATAAAAGAATAAACCTGTGGAGAAATTATGAACAGGATATTAAATATAATATCATAATCGGACTTGAATGCAATAATACAGCCTGCAGGAAGCATCGATATTGAGCTTTTTAAAGCTTTTCATTTCTGCTGCATGATGATGTCCCTCTTTAAATTTTTTTTGTCTGCAGGAAAACCCAAGGCATGACAGTCTAGCCATAAAAATCTGTAATGAGATTTTGTCCAACCCTGACTCGTACAACCTCAAGCTCTGGGTTAAAATTCTCAACAAGCTGGAGCTGAGTGAGACCAATGATGAGGCCTTTAAAGTGTTAGCTGTACTGGCTGATCAGATGTTAGAGGTAATGTACAGAATTAAGTCAATATAAGCTAATTTAACATTTCATTATGTGAGTAGATTGTTTAGGAGTGTGTGTGTGTGTGAGTGTGTGTGTGGGGGGGGGGTAATCAATAATATTTATTTTTCTCATGCATCTATCAAAATCTAAAAAAGTTAAATTTATATCAAAATTAGTATCCTGTGAAGATGAATCAAGAAAGATTCTAAACTTAGATCTTGTTTTAGCAGATTTACATTTATATAAATCCTTGTAAACACATATCAGGTTGTCAAAGAGAAGATGAGCTTGAAGACACTGAAGAAATTTGCTGAGTTAGTGAAGGAGAGGGTGCCGGTCCTAGCCTCCGAGGGCGACCAGGACAACTCCCAGAATATGGAGGGAGGTACAGCAGAGGAAACCACACCCCCTAATGCTGGTTTGTGTGCTCTCATAAATTCTTTGTAATATGATGCATAATCCATAAAGCCCTATTATTGACTCCAAAGTTGATGGCCTTGCATCCATGACTACGGCTTTTAAATAATGTCTAGTGGGAGAAAATTTATTTAACATTGTCTGTCTATGATCCGTGTTTTGTGATTTTCCAAATTCTTTCAATTTGTTTGTCTTTGAAGTAAAAGTGTATTGGACTGGTTAAATGAAAAGGAATTGCTTTTAAAAGCAATTAATTGATTAGTAAAGCTCTGAGGTATTTTTTGTTGTTGTAGAAATGGACAAGACAGCTGTTAGTGATAAAACACAGGATAGATCTCAGATGAATGATACAGCTCTACATCTAGATGGCTCCCTTTTCCATGAGACTAGTACACTGCGTCGAGTCCCAAGTAAGTTTAAAGGGCTCTACATATGTTCACGAAGATCTGTTGACATTGGAGGAGGAACTGAATTTTACAAATATATTTTTTTAATTATTAGGTAAATCTGGAGGAGTTTCACCCAAAGTCGGCAATCCAACACTGGATCCAGATGTTGCAAAGAGTCCTATTGCAGCTTTGTTTTCCAAGACATTTGATTTTAAGACTCCCGATAGAACAAAGAATTTCAAGGCAAAAGGCCCTCTCAACTTGTCTGAGAAAAACACAGGTAATATAGAGGAAACCAAAGAGAGTGGTCCAGACACAGATAGTCAGGAGGAGACCAGAGAGGCTGGGCCAGACACAGACAGGGAGGAAGACAAATCACCAGATTCAAGAGGCAAGAAAAGAGGAAGAAAATCCCCAGAACCATCCTCACCACAGAGTAAAGGTACACCCGGGAAGAAGTCCAAGAAAACTGAAAAGAACAGTAAAAATTATAAAAAACCTGAGAAAGAGGCAAAAAGTAAAAGTGGCTCATCAGATGGGAAGTCTGAAAATAAAGAGAAGAAAAACACAAGTCCATCTATAAAAACTGGTCACAAGAAGTCAGTAGTTCCACCCAAAGCAGTTAATGCTCATAAAAGCAAGAAATTGAGTCCTGTGGTGGTGTTGACAAGAACAGACCAGGATACGTTGTCTACAAACAAAAATGAAGCAAGTCTTACCAAAGAAAAGAATAGTGGAAATAAGAAATCACCAAGGAATAAAGGAATGTTGGAGTCACCAGAGAAAGTAAAGGCCAAAAAAAGTGAAAAGATAAAATCTAATGATGAAACAAGGGCAAAGAAAAGTGAAGTCTCAAAATCACCTAAATCACCATCTTTAAACAAAAACAAGAAGCTTACATCTCCCCAAGCCTCTGAGGAAGAAGAGGAAGTTCCCCTGAAGACAAGGAGAACACCAAGGATAAGACGCTCACAGTCAATGACCACAAGTAAAACAGAAGACAAAACTCCTGATGGAAAATTGTCCAAAAACAAGGGAGTTAAACATAATTCTGCCTCAAAAGAGAGCTTGAATGAATCACCTAAAAAGCTGCTGCGCACCCCTAAACACACAGATGTCAAATCCCCTATGAGGGGCAGGAAATCCGTACAGTCGACCCCTGCTGATGTAGAGCCATCCCCACAAAAGAAGACCAAACTTGCAGATTCAGTCAGCAAGTCAAGAAAGAGTGTCCAAGGAATTGAAAAGAACAAGGGAAAGGAATCCCCAACAAGGACTGTGCCCAGGGAGGTCAGTAGTCCTGTTACAAGGAGTGGAAGGAAAGTCCCAGTAGAAACTAAAGGGAAAACCAGTCCAGGCACTCAAAATAAGACAAATCCTGCTTCAGCTTCTGCCAAGTCCAAGAAAACTGCTTCTTTGGTCAGTAGTCCGGGAAAAAGAACCCGTTTAGGTGCAAGCCTCTCTGAATCTGAAATGGAATCCCCAAGAACTAGAAGCAGAATCACATCTCCCGAGTCCAATGTAAGCACACCATCAGAATCAGTCAGGAAGAGCAGCAGAAAAGGCCCTGCTGCCAGTAAACCATTGTCAGCAAGATCCCCAAGGCTCAAAAACGTGGAGACCAAGGAAAACATGTCACCAAACAAGGGAAGTTCTCAGAGGGCTCAAAAAGATACCAATCAGCATAGAAATGTTTCTTCACCCCAGAGTTCAGGAAATAAGTCTAAATCTAGTCCAGCTCAGCCAACAAGAAGTAAGAAAATAGCATCTGAATCGGATAATGATTCACAGAGTTCACCTACAACAAGGTCTAGGGTACGAGGTAACAAGACAGCAGTCAGCGGCCATGAATCAATCAATAAAGACAAAGGAAACAAAGTTTTGTCAGAATCTCTGAATCTGTCCCCACGCCATGTCACCAGGGCTTCAATTACAACAGCGGACTCATCCAAGAAGACTAGTCGGAAAAATCCAGCCAAGTCTTCCCCTGAAGCTGATGAGTCACCAGTACCTACCACCCGCTCGAAGAAGCCACCTGTTCCAGCCACCACCAAACTGAAGCAGAGCCGCTCCACGGCCGTCAGGGTGTCTGCTAGAAAGGCTTGGAATGAGGACAGCAGGTTAGATCCCCCATCCCTAAAGTCTTAGTGTTTTACTTAGGAGTATTTTACCCTATCTTTGGACTTTCAGTAGGGCGTGACTTTCTCGGCGTTACGTAATGGAGAATACTAGTAGATTCTCATTGGTTACGAAATTAATAACATAGGAACTTAAAATTGTTGTTGATAACGATCAGACGACTTATGCCCCACCTCTGTGCCGTGAGAGAACTTTTAATTGGCTATTTACTACACCAGTTGACATTCGGCTGCATTTCTTTCATATGTATATTTCAACAGTGAAGGGAAGCTGTGTAAATTTCAGAAGCTAATTAGGTAACGTCGAGAATGCCACGCCTTACTGAAAGTCCACACTAAGCATGTAATTCTAATAAAAGCTAACACCTGCCACAGATATTAAAGTAGATAAGACAAGAATGAACTTTAATTAAAATATGATACAGTACAAGTTAATTCCAGTTGTTAGATAATTCCATCCAAATATTGAATTTTAAAAACTTAGTTGAATTTCCAGTCATCAGCCTGAATAATATGTATTACACTTGAAGGTATTTCTTTAGGTTCCCAGGCTTATTTTAGATTGTCAACCATGCTGAAAAAGATGTACTCCATTGATTTAACAATATCCTTGAAATAGGATTTAAAAAAAACATGCAGTGAAAATTATCAAGCATCTTCTAAAAATATTCTGACTAAACTTAATGTTTCTTTTAAGGCCAAAAAAAATTAATTTCTTGGTTCTCAGGCCCTCCCTCATCTCTTCCAAGGGCACCTCATTGACCCTTTTTATTGCTAAATCAATAAAATAAAAACAACAAATCACCTCCCTCATCATTTTTTGAGGTTTTGAACAATCCAAAAGCTGCCTCATCATGTTTGGGGGGCAATAAAAAGTAAAATAAAATGCCTCCCTTCCTCATCATATTTCTTGAAAAAAGGCCTGAGAACCAAGGAATTAATTTTGCATGGCCTAAGGCAAAGAAAATAAGCTCCTTCAAATTCACCAAGTTTAGAGGCCCACATCAGTCATATGAATTAATGTCCTAAACCAGGTGCTGGAAATTAATTGATATTAAGTTCTCAGTGTCTGAGTATATCTTGTTTATCCCTAAGAGGCTTGTCTCAGGTTCTGGCTTGTCTCAGGTTCTTTTAATCATTACTGCATATATATTTCATGCAATAAAGACAACTTACTGATGCAAAAAAAAAAAAATAGTTGAACAAATCATGCAAAATAAAAAAATCTAAGTACAGTGTACTTGTATTATAAAAAATCATTTTGTCTACAAAGTAAAGGGACAAAGTAAGTCCTCTGCAATACTCAGGGATTCCCATCCCTAATTGCAATTAAAAATAAATGATGTCCTCTATTAGTCATGTAAGATTTTTATTCATAAAAATTTTATGGTTTAGCATGTTCCTCTTTTGAAAAATTTGAAACTAATAAAAATATGAACTGGTATAATTCAAAACAATAGGAATGATTTTCAATTTTTAGCTCTACTGGTCAGAGACCAGAAGAGCTTATGCGATAGTAATGCGTCCGGCGTTCGTCCGTCTGTCTGTAAACAATTTTTCAAAATGCTACTCCTCCTACAGTTTTGGTCTGATTTCAGTATAACTTGGCACACAAGTAGACTACACTAAGATACATAATTCTGTATATCGGTTTTTGATTTCAATAAACGGTGTTGCCGTGGTTACTAAAAATAGAAATTTCTGTGAAATTCTTTCAAAATGCTACTCCTCCTACAGTTTTGATTGATTTCAATATAACTTGGCAAACAAGTAGACTACACTAAGATACATAATTCTTTATATTGGTTTTTGATTTCAATAAACGGTGTTGCCGTGGTTACTAAAAATAGAAATTTCTGTGAAATTCTTTCAAAATGCTACTCTTCCTACAGTTTTGGTCTGATTTCAATATAACTTGGCACACAAGTAGACTACACTAAGAACATAAAGAGACTTTATCAAGGATCATTATTCTATTTATTGCTGTTGTAAAGTTTCAATTCCCAACTGCTTAAGTACTTTTCTCTCCCATTGCTATAAGTACAAACCAGTAGAGCTTCAGTCTCGACAGAGACTTCTGGTTTCTTTTTTTTTTTTTTTTTTTTTTTTTTTATTTGGAGTATTGTTAGTACATGCTTTACAATATCTTTTCCATATATAGCATAAATCTAAGATAAAACTTTTTATTTGCACAGCTCTGGTAGAAAGACAGCAGGTCAAAAACCAGAAAAGAGGTATGATGACCACAGTAATCACTAATAGTATTGTGAAGCTGTTAAAGTATAGACTGCTTGTTCACAAATCCCTATAGCCATAAAGATTTTCTTTAAAGTGGGTGATACTGAATTTAGAAAAAAGTCAATAAGTTGTTTGACTTACAAAAGATTTTTTTTTTCTTCATAAATTCACCCTAAACAATCTTGAATTTCTTACTTCTCTGTGTGGAATCTAAAAATATTTTTATATTAAGTATGGTATTTTGTGCTTCCACTTTGAAATGGCCAGAGCATAAAATGTTACCTTTTCCCATCTTTTATCTCTTTGACTTTCAATATTATGGACATTGCTAAAAGCTGGGCCCTTGAGATGGCTAGCACCTGAATTATATCTAATTATGCAGTTTTTGGTCTGCTAAAGTCATGAGATTAAAATATTTTTATAAATGATTTTAGGCTATGTATGCTCATAATAATATTACATTTTACATTACAGAATGACTCGGGGCTCCCAGAAATGAAGTTAGAAAGCATCGGAAGATTTTCCTGACCACCAGTTTGGAATGGTTCTCCATGGACAGTTTAGAGTGTTTTGATTAATATTGTTCTCATAAACTGTCTTTATTAGAGAGATGTACTGGTGTATAATGTCCATGTCTGCCTGTTAATAATTCAGTTTTTCTTAATAACTGGACAAGCATATGGCATATTGACATAAAACTTGGTATTTTCTGATTTGTATTTTCTGATTTGTAATGATAAATTATACACATATAAGCTTTGTGGAATTTTTAAAATCTATTTTAGAGTTACATCTTCTTTATAAATATGAGCATTGCTAATGATAGGGTTATCTTCAATGGAATTTAAAGTTTATGTGAAAATGTTTTCATCTGTTTGGATGCCTTTTTATTGTAAACATAAGTATATTTTTATAATTTCTTGCAATTTTGCATGAAAACATAAGACTACAATGGTAAAATGGACACATCTTTTTTGGGGGCATAATGCAGTAAAATAGGGAGTGAACCTGACAGTGGGTGTATATTGCATCACAAGCAGAGTCTTAAGGAAGCTCTAAACACTAATTAAAAGTGCTTTTAAGACTTGGAGAAAAATATATCATATAAAGGTGTGCATATTGAGACTATTTAGTTAATATTCAAGATAGATAGAGTACCTGCCTTATTTCCACATGAAAAATTTTCAAAGACAATAGACTATTCGTGAGCAGAAATTACTGTTGTTTACTTACATAGGGAAAATAGATGGAATAAAAATGAATTCATGTATACTTGTCCATGGTCTAATATAATGCTAAGAATATTTTAATCTATTACAAATTGTGTAATTAACTGTAAATAGCAATTTTGTTCTATCTTACTTCTAAGGGCACATCACTCTAACTGCATAAAACTACCCTTGTAAATAGTATTCTTTAGTGTGCAGTGTTTAGAGCTTCCTTAAGTTAGTTATGGTTCCATATTAACACACACCAATATCAAATGAAGACTTACCTGTATATTTCATGTGAAGAAAATGAGAAGATATATTTTTCTTACAGTAATGTTTTTAATTAGGAGGATGGGCTATGCAGAGTTTGATTGCATTCACTCTTACCCCCCAAAAAAATGCCATAAGAAGCTGAATTCTAATACACATATGCAACTTTTCTTTTTTCTCAAAGAAACAGATTATTATAACCTCTGAATTTAAGCAATGGGAATTCTTACTTTTATAAAAAATAAATTTTGTTTATTAAGTATGTTATGAACAATGCAAAAAGTACATTTCTTGAACAATTCCAAAAAACTATTTGATGTCTTCATAATTTATTTCAACGTTGGATTCATATTATGTTTGAATTTTATAGCATGTATTTTGGATGGCAATGTAAATAAATTATCACAATTAGCTATTTTCAGAGTTTTTTCTTTCCATACTGCATCCAAGAACATTGATTAATTTTCATACCCCCCACAAACGAAGATTGGGAGGTATATAGGATCAGCTTGTCCATCTGTGCTAAGGTATCTGGTCCATAATTTTCTCATGGAGGAAAAATAAAATCTACTTCACACAAAGATGTGCAATGACCTTGACCCAAGGTCATTTTGGCAAGTTAGAGGTCACTGAAAGAAAATTTCATAATTCAAGTCCGGTCCATATCTTTCTTATGTATAACCTTAGCAAGTTCCCAGATTACACAAACATTGTTTATCACCTGAGGGTATGTTATTACCTTGACCCAAGGTCTTTTGTGCAAGCTGAAGGCTCAAAAAGTTCACCCAGTCATTTATTCAAGTTCACTAAAAGAAATGGAGCATAATTTGTGTCTGGTCCATATCTTTCTCATGGATAAGCTTTGTGGGTTCCTACTTCATAAAAAGATTGCTTTTGACATGTGGGTGTGACCTGACCTGAAGTCATTTGTAGTTTTGAACAAGTTCAAGATCACTAAAAGAAAAAGTTCAAAATTGATGTTTAGTCCATATCTTTTTAATGGATGGACAATTTGAAATTATTTTACAGATTGCCTATGACCTAAGGGTGTGCCTTGAACTTGAACCAAAGTCATTTTTGCACAAGTTCAAGGTCACTAAAAGAAAAAATTGTGTCTGGTCCATATTTTTCTTATGGATAAGATAGGTGGTTTTCTACTATACACAAAGATTACTTATGACCTGAAGGTGTATTATGACTTTAACTCAAGGTCAGTTGTGCAAGTTCAAGTTCACTGAAAAAAAGTCCATCATTTGTGCTCGGTCCATATAATTAGTTTGATGTTTTATTATGCTATGCCGTAGGTTATTTAATTTATTAAATATATATATGATCAATTACCAGTAAACTTCCAATTTTTTGCCAAGAAAATTTTCCTCAAAAAAGTTATTTCTATCAATTTTTCAGAAATTTTAATAATGATATATTTACTTTCAATACTAAATTTACAAATTGAATATGGATTTTAATATATCTGAAGCTATATAGGCACTCTGCATGCCTTGTTCACTCATCTCCTTGTCAGCTTGTATCAACCCAAAAGTGAACACAACTTCACAAAATAAAACCACAAATAAGGAAAGTGTTAAAATCTATGTTGTTCTGTGTGATCTGTATTAATTTTCTTTTCAACTTTATGGTTTCCTATTGGTTTCCTTTAATAGCAACAAAACATCTTTCAAGTTTTTGAACATTTTATGGTGTTTTTTTTCTTTGAACATCTGACATCAATTATGACAGCAAACAGCACTAGGTAATTCTGATAACAGCATTGTACACAATACATATATACAGGTGTCAACAGAAATGTACATCAGTATTTACATTTCAATAGGTTGGATTTTCTTAGTTTCTTACATTATGAGGTGTTTTAGGGTAGGTCATATAAAATTATGTTCAAAATGATTTTATGTACATAGAATTAAAAATGCAGATGCTGAAAATACAGGTTCAAACAATTATTGACACCAAAACAGTGAATATTAATGCAAGGTAAAGCCAAAATTCGATTCAAATATATAGCAAATATGTAGGTATGTAAAAAAAAAAAATAGAGAAAAGGTTCATGCTAACCATAAACATACTTTAAATTTTATTGAAATTAACTTCATTTATGTTCATTAACATATCAGGTTTTAGAATTGGCTCTTTTTTGTCCCCCGCTTGAAAAGTGGGGGATATTAATTTGGGTTTGTCCGTCCGTCCGTCCGTCTGTCCGTCCGTCCGTCCGTCTTTCTGTCTGTCTGTAACGCTTTCGTTTCCACACGATATCTCGAGAACCCTTTGAGCTTTTGCAATGAAATTTAGCATAGCAACTCCCTATGGACTAAAGAAGACCCCTATTGATTTTGAGGTCAAAAGGTCAAAGGTCAAGGTCATAAATAAGCAAATTCTGTCTGTTAAAACACTTTCGTTTCCACACGATATCTCGAGAACCATTTGAGCTATTGCAATGAAATTTTATATATCAACTCCCTGTGGCCTAATGAAGACCCCTATTGATTTTGAGGTCAAAAGGTCAAAGTTCAAGGTCGTAAATTTATACATTCTGTCTGTATGTAAAACTATCATTTCCGGGCGATATTTTAAGAAGATTTTGAGCTTATGCAATGTAATTTTATACCAAAACTCCTAGGACGTCTCTCGCCCCTCTCAAAGTGCCCCGCCCCGTTTGTTTTATTAGTATTTATAGTATTACATGTCGCTATTTTTAGCGCAGGGGCATGAGGAGAGTTATTGCGTATGAAACAGGTTCTCGGCGGACATTATGTTCTTATTACATCTATTAGAACTGTTTAATAAAGGCTAGATAAATCAAACACCATGGATTGTGTAAAATTTTGAGAATACCGAACATGAAAACATGTATACATGTATGTGACTTTAATTCTGCATATACTTTACAGTGCGTTAAGCGATTCCGTCGTCTAGTGGTTATGTCTCTCGCTTCAAGTGTGAGAGATCCCGGGATCGGTTCTCGGTCGATCCTTTTTTTTTTTTTTTAAATACCCCCCCCTTTTTTTTTAACTAAATGATAGTATTCAGCATGTGAAATGAAAAATTTATGAGGTTATAAAATCATCATTACAGTGTGATAAACATTCCATATAAAAAAATCTTCTATACACATAATAAAGAATAAGCAATCAAATCTTTATATGCATATTGACATACATGTATTTTATTTGCTTCAGTATACATGTATACATTTAATAATTCTACAAATTCAGTCAGGGGGAGCCGACTTTTTCCCTAAGCGGGGGACACGAATTCTCTGAATTAGCTTGTTAAAATAATAGGAATAGTAAATAAATAAAAATGATTATTCTTTTAACTATACATAGCTGTGTGTTAACTGATGGCATGCGTGACCTAGTACAATATTGCTAAGACTAAGCTGGTCTTTACCCATTCTAGCTTTTTATTTTCATACAGGAGGAATATATATACTTGAAGAATGGCAAGAAAATATCAGGAAGAGTGGGCTATTACGTCATACATCTAATGAGTGTGGAAAGTTTCACAAAAATGAACCCCCTACCAAAATAAAGCAATATGTTAAAGAAATGGAAAAAAGTTTTGATCTAGTGGAAAAATCTAACGTTAAAAATATTTGTCTAAAGAAAATAAATGTTTAAGCCTTGTGCTCAAAAATACATTTTACAACATCATCATACATCTGATATCTTATGGACAGAAATAATTCAGTAATTTTCCTTTAAAGTATTCAGAGTAAGAATAAATTTCCTGATATTGTTCAATAATAGTATAGAGCTATGCACACCTGTTTTACCTGCCTATCAAATAACTTCATTACAGAAACCAGATAGATTTAAATCATGATTAACAATGAACAAATGAACAGCATGCCCCTGTAAACATAATTACCACTAAAAGAGATAGGTAATCAAAAGACATGAACATGTACAATAAAAGCAGAACAATGCTTTATATTGTCCCTGAAATCATTCATAACAAATAATGAAAGACAAATAAAATTTCATGCACATAAACATTAAAACACTAGGCACAGGTCTAAGAGTTATCTCCCATTAATCAAAACCATCTACCTCTAACAAGATTTAGCACATTTTTTTTTAATGATTTACACATCAAATGCCCTTTCCGTTTCTAGAGCCGTGAAACTAATGACCTCTGGGCCATTGGTCAAGGTCACCACACTTTCTGTACCATCTTCACAGTCCATGTCTTCACACGAGGTGGAGGTGTCC